CCGCTGCCACCAATGTAGCGTCCCGGGACTCCCTGAAGACAAAAGAAGACACAATACTCGGGCAGAATATATATATTCAGCACGGAGAAGGTGTCTGGGCTATTGGCATGGCCCAAAAGGCCAGCCCACCCAGCGAGGTACAAGGGAGCTAATTCAAAGTACAAAAGTGGCGCCTCACCAGAACCGAGGGATAAACCACTATCGTATTACACAAGTAAGGTGTAAATGCGGCGGCTCCAGTTCCCCCGAAGCTTTAATGAGTCCAAGTTCTACGGAAGAATATTTATTACCAATGCAATGCTTTGGCTGTTTGTTTAACTTTCAATTTCGGCAAAGGGCCACTTAGGACCCCCGTTACTGCGCCTACGCTAGGCGACTCGGTCCCCAAGATACGTTAGTAGTCCATCCATCCATCCCGTTCGCATGTCGATAGTACACATTTTCCCGGATAAAATGGCTTCTTTTGCATTCAGGATAGTCTTGGACCACTCTATTAATGCAAAGAAGAGTTGGAAAACTATTCGTATGGAATAAGCACCACCACTCAGAGAGGAAGTACAAATCGCAGGAATTAAAGTGTCCGTGCAGTCAACAGCACAGTTAAGCGAGTTATCTCTTCAATTTACAGCCATTCTTTGCGTTTTAGGGTCACTCTTGACGGGGCATGAAAATTACTTGTACAATTGAAATGCATGTGATATAGTTTCCCGGTAAGATAGAGGATATCCTACCTTAACCTCACTGATGCTTCACAATAATTCCTTTGTGTGCGAAGTTTCGCATAATTTACAAGCACTGACATGATTTTTCTCAAACCCAATAGCATACGAAATTGCGTACCTGTACTACCTCCTTTAATCTTAACATCTATGGCAAGAGTCAGCCATCAGCGTTTTATTCAGGTAATAGAGACGTGCTAACGTTACAGCGCTAAGAATTTCCATGTAGGCTTCGCAGACACCGCCTAATGGACTTTTCCTAACAGTCTAAGCCTTATGTCGCTTCACTTGTTATTATTATTAATAACAGGATCAAAGAAATTATCAAATACTAGTTGTATTTTAAACGCCTATGTTCGGGTTCTTTAAGGACTCACCCATCTACTGCAGGTGCTTCTCGTTGAGAAGGAAAGGTGTTTATTTAGCTGTAGAAAGCAGAGCAGATGTCCATTTGGACTACTTTTGCTAAATTCCACCTTTAATCTCCAGTTTTACTCCATAAGATTGAAAAGAATGCTTAGGGGAAGGCACCTTGTGTTGTGTACTATAAGAATCTGCAACTCATCAGAGTATGCTACCCCGATAAACAAGAGCATTCAATTTGTCTGCTTTTTAGCTAAAAAGGATGCATTTTGATAAGTACATTGCACAGTAAACATAACCTAGCGTTGATTAACTTTAACATTTGATGCTATAATTGTTCCAATTTTACCGACTTTTCTTAGAAACATGTGATCCAACTTTATGCAAAAGTTAGCTGACCTTCTACAAAACACTTCACGTCCAATAAATTAACGCAAGTAGTTTAGTCCAGAATTGGAATTCTGAAAAAGACACTGTATTCCAATTGGCTTATTGTACATTTTGAAAAGCGAATTCCTTCAATGTGTTGCGAAAAAGCTCTTATTAATCATCCTACACTGTGAATACCTAATTTTGCGAAAATACCCACAAAGGCCTGCTTAAAACGGCCTTGTTTTACTGCTTCGTTGTTACGACGATTAGGTAGTGCATCATGTCCTCCTGAGGCTTTTTTCACGTTTTAATGGAAATTCTTCGGTATACAGGTAGGACGCAGTGAATATTTCAAGCGTTACTATTATTGCAGTCGACCTAAGGCGGTAGAATTCGCTTATCATTTGCTTTAATTTTCTAAAGTTGTTTGTCACTCCATTTCTCGCTAGTTAACTAAGTGTTAGTGTTTCTCTGGGGATTTTATGCAAAATTTTGCTCTGTACTCTCTCTCTCCCTCTCACTCAATCTCAACTGTTCCACTGGCAATAATGAGATATCAGCCATACTGGACTCAGTAACATTTACTCATTGGACACTACGAAGTGGTAGTCCTTTCCTTGAACAAAAGATGTTTTTGAGGGGTGTGCTTGCTCGCTTTTGAGATGCGCAGTTTTTTCCACTTTGTATTGTCATTTTGATGTGGGTTCTTGTTTTCTGTTTTCATTGTGATTCTTGTAATTAAGTTGTTACAGCCAGAGCAGTTATATTTGTGCCATTTAGTTTCATAGTGTTTTATTCGTCCATTTCAAGACGTCAAAATTTCTAAATTCCATCCTCATATCGAGCTGTTAGTTTTAGATGTGTTTGAACCCCTGTGTATTTTTCCAATTATCGGGGGCTCCTAAGCAGGACTTTTTCTTCTAGATGTCGGTTGATCATAGGGATGCGTTACTATGGCTTCAAAACGAAAATTTCAACAAGGAGGATTACTCGGTCGGTGCTCGCGCCTTTCTGGATAACTCTAACGTAGATATTAATTGCAAAGCCGAGTTACATATGGGATGCTGGGCTGGATCTACTCCTATTAAGGATTCTTCACCTAGCTCTACCGAACCTACGTCTATGTTGAGTGACAAAAGTAGCTCTCGTGGAACTGTTGAAACGAAGAATTCTGAAAACACTTGTTTTTCCACTGATACCGGTGACACGGAGCACCCGACCAGCGAGGGATCCTTATCACCATTGCCTCCGTCCCAATTTCTTACTGAAACATCAAACTCGGTATCGTGTTCCTTGCAAATTGCTCCAACGGAATTGAGTTCATTAAAATCAGAGCGTGAGGTCTCTAATTCTTCAAATGCTGCGGTGCTACGTAGTCGCGTGTCTCAGATGGCTCACAAAGAACAGTTTTCGCAGGAGTTTCCCCTTATCAGTTCGAATGAGTACGTACCCGCATCTGCTGTCAACGATCGTCCGCCGTTCTACAATTCTCATTCGAATTACTGCAACGGTCCTGCACAAAATCGGATGGGCTTCTCCGAGGTGGAGCGATCACACTATCATATTCAGTCGCCATATGGATACAACACAAGTCTTGATTATTGCTCTGACTCCAGGATGTTCTTTAATCCACCTCTTTTCTCAGATGTTCCAGGGTTGCCTAAAAAGCACCCCTATCAAAATGAGGTGTTTTGTCAATCACGGCCCCAAAGATTTCCAAATTCCTGTCAACAAAGTCATCCACCCAGTCCTCATTTTTGGAAACCAAACAGTCGACCACCTGGGCTCCCAACCTTTCCTCAGGATAGTCTAGACGTGAGGAGGCGCTTTGCCATTCAACAGATGTATCAGAATGCCCAGGTGCACCGGTGGTTCCCCGGAGTTGCTGGCCGGGAGTTCTATCATCAAATACAAGATCGCGTTCGGCAGCCGCATTGTCCTTGGCTTGACCCATACAGTCATTTCCGTGGTCCGCCGTCAGAACATACTGAGCCACTGAAATACACAGTTTACTCCGCTGGTGGTGGTAGACTTCGCTACCCTGGTTACGCCCTTGGAGTTAACTCATGTGGACCAGGTCGCTTTGCTTCGCCTTACCCTTGGTTCACTGATGCGCAGCATTACTTTTCTCAGCAAAAACCACTTCGTCCTGCTCTAGAGAGTCCCAAGAAACGCAATGCTTCGTCTACACGGTGCTATAAACGTAAGCGTGCGCTGTCTGTCAGTAACGTGAAATTTTCATCGCCTAAGTCCTCCACAGCCGAAGTCTATGACTCCCTCGCTCTCAGCCGACTTCTGTCGGTCAATGCTGCGCAGTGCGTGTCATGGCCAGAACTGGAAAATCCCATTGACATATATCCACCGGAACCGGCGTTGAAAAAGAGGAAATTACCATGTCATGAGGCACCACCGAATTTGGAGTCGCTGGCGAGCACGGACATTCTATCTCGCCGTGCCCAAAAGTACACCTCCCTACCGTTTGCCCTTCGTTCACCAGGGGTCTTAAACTCTCGTGACCTCCTTTCCTACCTAAATAATGATCAAAAAACCAAATTGGATTCAAATAAAAACCTTCTGAGCAATGCTCTTGCCGCTGCAATTACCCGATTAAGCGAATCTAGATTGCTGACTACTCCTCCTTCACCGACCGCTCATTCAAGCATACCTGATCCCTTAAATTTATTCACTACGCGGGAAGAGGATGAAGCCACTTCACCCTTCTCGGAAATTGTGCTACCGCCGCCCAAACGATACCGGGTTCCTGAAAGTGTGATATCTGAAATTCAGAGTAATTATCAACAAATTGGAGAACCAACCTCTTTCCCTCGCTTTTGTGGGCTTCGAAACATGCGTCCGGAAAAAAGAATAACTATGGATATGATTAGGTCCGATATAACTCCCATGCATGTATGTCAACAGTGCAAGATGCAGCTATTATTTTCCAGCCCTCCTGTGTCTGATCCCACATCTTCCCCTGAGGAGGTCTTTTGCAGTGAAGCCTGCATGCACAAGTATCATTCGACTCCAAGGCTGCACAGGCCCTCCACTGCAATCTCAAACACCTTATATGCTGATCCCTCCATAGCCCCGGTACCGGTGTTGCTACAGAACCATCCTTCTAAACTATGCAAAACCATACCAAAATCGTCTTCCATTTTTAAGTGCAGCAGACGAACTCAACGTGAGTCGTCTCTCTTTGTCCCGACACAACGGTGGAAGGGGTCGCGCTGGACTATCTTTTCCTCAAGCAAACCGCCCGCCTCTGTCTCATACATTGACTTCCCGGCTGCTGCGAGAAAACCAAAACCACTTGCATTTGAGGTTCTCAACAACGCACCACTTCCCATTTGTGTGCTGTGCAAACGGGGGCCTGATGAAACCGACGTGTCTATTGTTGGGCGTTACTTGAACTACGCGTGTGACAAGTGGGTTCATGTTAATTGTATCCTCTGGTGTTATGGGGTCTCTGAAACTATAGGTGGTTGTTTCATGAATGTTGCCAAGGCCCTTGAACAGGCTGAACACCAACTGTGCGAGCGCTGTTCACTGCCCGGTGCTGGTGTGCCCTGTTTTGCAGGGGATTGTGCGTACCACTACCACATTTATTGTGCTTACAAAAGTGGCTGTTCCTTCTATGAAAATAAGAGTATGTACTGTCCCAAACACAAAGACCAGTCACCATCAAGTGAGAAGTTGAAGAGCTTTGATATTAAACGTCGTGTTTACCTGGACAGGGACGAGTACGCCCTGGTTGCGGATGTAATTGGGACGCAATGTCTCACCACCTCTGGCAACCGACTCTGTTTGCGAATCGGTACGCTCATTCTGGACTTTCTCGGACAATTGCTTCCCGAGCACCTGGAAAGCGGTCGGTTTCACAACAGATTCTTCATCTATCCTGTTGGTTTCTCAACTACACGCATTTATTGGTCCTATCGGAGGCCCAGTCGGCGCTGTCATTACATTTGTACAATCACAGACTCCAGTAAGACAAGCCGGCATGACAAAGATCAGAAATTTTTGGATAGCCCGCCTTCTGCCCACCCTAGTCCCATTTTTACAGTCATTGTCAAGGAGCACGGCCTTCCTGACGCAAGCTTCAAGGCAGGGGACTGCAACACGCTATGGCAGCACATTCTCCACCTTGTTCGAAATAGTCGACAAGAGGCTAGTTCAACTACGCTTCGACTTTTACCCGAGATGTTGCGAGGTGAAAGTCTCTTTGGTCTCAGTGAGCCTCATATTGTACGTGCAATAGAATCCCTGCCTGGTGTGGAACACCTCACCGGTTATGTGTTCAAGTTCGGTAAGATGCAACTCATCTCCCGAATGCCTGTGATGATCAACCCGACAGGTTGTGCTCGCTCCGAGCCAAAGCGGCGGAATTACGTGCGAAGTTGTGATCGGGAGCGCGAGCAAGAGCAGGGACAAGGGAGAGTGTCAAGGCAAAACCATCCCGCTACTTTATCACCCCACTTAGGATTCCTGCGGCCATTAAATCAAATACCTCGCTACTGCTCCTCCTCCACCATCGTCTCAATCTCCCTTCCCTCCGGCTCCACATCAGCTCCAGCAGGCAAACAATCGCCCTCCACACAGTACCGTGCGTTGCAGAGTGAGTGGCGGAACAACGTTCTTCTCGCTCGCTCTAAAATTCAAGGCTTGGGGCTGTTCGCCTCCCGTGATATTGAAAAGAATGAGTTCATTATCGAGTATCTGGGTCAGCTGATCCGTAACGAGGTGGGGAATAGGAGGGAGCGCCTTTACGAGTCGCAAAGTCGTGGAATCTACATGTTTCGTGCTGATGATAATTGGATTGTTGATGCGACTATGTACGGCGGTTTAGCGCGGTATATCAATCACTCCTGTGAGCCGAACTGCATTGCCGAGGTGATTCTGTATGACAACCAAAAACGCATCATCATTATCGCGAATCGTTTGATCAAAAAGGGAGAGGAGTTGACGTACGATTATAAATTGGACGTCGAGACGGACAAGGGGAGCCGGATACCGTGCTTGTGTGGGTCGCAACTTTGCCGCAAGTGGATGAATTAGCTTTCCATTCGTCCATTCATTGCCTTACACTTTATTGTTACCGAGTCTTTTTCAAAAAAAGAACGTTTGATTTATTTTTTTGTATTTTGTTTTAGTCGTTTCTGCAGTCTATTACTCCCCTCTCCCACACACTTCTCTGTTTTGCCTACTTCCTGGATCTCATTATTTTCCTGAATTGTCGTATTATCATTTCTTCAACTACTTTTTCCTCCATCAGTTTCTTCCTTTCCTCTATATTTGTCTTTTCTCATGGTATTTCTTCTTTTGGCCGCCGCGCTGCTGTGATAAGTACCCGCTGTGGGATGTGTACATTTGTAATTGCAAGAAGTAGGCGGGACAATGTTTTCTAATCCTTTTATCCCACAGATACACACGTGAAGAAAGCGACTTCAGATACGTATGAATTGCGGGAGATATACTATATTGCACGTTGACCTATACACACACGATTGTACGCATACATCAATCTGCTGATCTTCTACCCTCTCTAGGCTACGATTGTTTGTGAAATTTCTGCCACAGCTGTAATGTTGTTGCCTACCACAGCCGATGTACATAGAAGATGCACGCTCACCCTCCCCTCTATCTCTCCCCAACAGACAGTGAAAGCACCGCTTTGCTATCCACCAAATCAACTCCCTCAGCTGGCTGTGCTGCTGTACTTCCTCCTTCCTCTCCCTTTCCTCTGGTACCCTTAGCTTTGTGCATAATTTGTTAACTCCCAACGATTCTATCTCTATCCATATGCATATATATATATATATATATATATATATATACTTAACTACAAATATACACATGGTCGCAATCATGCTGTGAATTCTGCGAAAGCTGCCTTTTGCTTGCGATGTATGTATGTATGCGGTATTTGTTGTGTGCAATTGTAACCCAAAATCTGCAGTACTTAAGCGTATAGTCTCTCAGTAAGTTAAGTTGGCACTACCGATGCCCGTTTTTTCCCGGCTGAATACTATGCTGAAGGGGTAAAAAGTTAGAATATTCTAAAAACTATTCGCTGCGACTTTTAGACTGATTTAAATATCAGTAGGTTAGCTAGGTTGGTAGTGCCAGCAGTTCCGGAGCCAACTCTAATGGCTCTGGGAATTTACCAGCAGTAAGTTAAAGTGACGTAACTCCGAGTCATTACTTTTTACTCCCCATTTAGTGAATTGGGACCACTGCCACCATTTATCCTTGCAAAGATTGCCACCTAGGCAGAACCTATCTTATCAGGACATTGAATGGGATTAAACACGCGCGTACGTGCCCTCACCCTCCTTTCCTTTTCGGCTAGATGCCAGTCGTCGAGAAGAGTAGTCGAGAGGGTCGGTTGCAAAAGCGATCAGGAGAAAAGGAAAAACACCGAGTCTCTCCCTCAAAAAGTGGCGGCGGTGCTGCGAAGCGTCCGCGTCGCTCGCGTTCTGCATCGTCCTCCTCGGGATCGTCATCTTCTGGTTCCAGCTCTTCAGATTCGCGGAGTAGCTCAACGGGGAGCAGTTCCAGCAGTGGAAGCAGCTCTAGTGGAAGCAGTTCTAGTAGTAGAAGCAGCAGCAGCAGCAGAAGTTCTGCCTCGCCACGTGCTGCTTCGCAAAAGCGGAGTATGTTTAATCTCATTTCGCTGCCGTTTGCCGCCTACCACGCAAAAATGAGTCGGAAATCCCATTGCATTATCCCGTGTCAGTGAATTAGTTAGGTTGTCGGTCTAACAACGATCCGTTGATCAAGAGAAATCACGCACCAAAGTTGGGGATTTCTGTTTATTTTGCCCACTCGCTTTTAGGTAGGCCTTCGGATAGCAGAACAAAGAGAAAGGAGACCGTTCCAGTCAAGTCTAGAGACGAGAAGGAGGCGCTAAGGAAGGGATCTCCCTCCTCCCGTAAGTTTGGCGGCAAAATTGATTACTGATCCACTGGATTCATTTAGTGCACCCTCTGTTAGTGGCCAGTTGATTCTCACTTTTTCCCATAACCCCCCTCCCAGATCCCCGCACCGGAAGGAACGGGCGTGATGAGAGAACACGTTCTAACAGGCGATCACCATCACCACGTGAGTTGTGTGCAGCGGTTGTAGGATGCAACCATGGTGTTATGTCCACTCTGACACGTTTGCTGCGTGGTTGCCTCCCTTTTAGGCTCCAAAGCGAGCAGAACGCGTGTCAGTTCTCGCGGCAAGGAGGAGAAATACATTGGTAGAAGGGCCTCACCATCGCCGCGTAAGATTGTCCCCGTTTGTGGTGCTAAGCATAATCAAAATGATGCAGGAAATGCGATCTTGTAGATTCAGGTTGAGATCCTTGAGAGCCTTGGCATGCTGACTCATCGTCGCTACCATTACCATTGCCACTTTACATGTCACGGAAATAGGCTTAATTGCCTCAGCCATATTTTTTTTTAACTTAATAAGACACTAGCAACGTCATGCGTTGCTCTGTTATTGGATACCTATGAAATGTGTTGTGCATCTATGGCTACTTACCACCTCTGACTAAAGTCAAGTCAATCAATTAACCGGTTTTTCAAGGTCGTGCACCTGAGAAGAAGTCTGTCGGGGGTGGTGACACAAGCAGTGCAACTCGTGCTTCTGAGGAAAAGACTACTTCCCGAAAAAGGTCACAGTCGCCTCGTAAGTGACTGCAGATGATAGTAATGTCTATTCTCCACACTGATTAATCATCCTCTCCCTAATAGGTCGTCTATCGGAAAAAAAGACGAGTATCCCTGAAAGCTCGTCGTCTCGTGCTAAGGATGATAAACCCCCAGCATTAACAAAACCCTCTTCGCCTCGTAAGTTTTCCATCTCTAGCGTTGCTAGTCTAATTCATCGTGAGAGTAGATTTATGAATTTAAGACCTAGAAAGTTACTTAAGGGGTGCTGCTATTTGGCACAGTAAACACACAGTGGCCGTTTCCGACGTTTATTGATCGCTCAGTGAATTGATCTCGCAATTCCGCTGACTTGGTTGTGGTGTGAACTCGAGGCCCCGGCTGGTTAACACTACGGAGGTTCTGCTGGTGCTGTAAGAACTAGGTCTCTAACTGTATACTCTTCTTTAGATCGTTCTTCGGAGCAGACGAGGCGAGCCGGCGAGGAGAAGTTGACGACGACCACAGCTGACACCAAGCCACCGGCAGCGAAATCTGCTACCGAAGAGCCGTCCAAGAAGATCTCCACAGAGGCTGTGGAACAAAAGGAGACGACTCAGACGACTGTCAACAAGACAGGGAAGCTGGAGAGTCGGGAATCAAACGTTATCAGTGAGAAGCAACCACAGCAACATCATGATGGAGAATTAAGGAAAGAGACTGCGAAGGAAGGGGAGAAATTGGCAGCTGCTAAGGAGACAAAGAGGGTGGCGGAGGTGGAGACGTCGAGAGAGAGGGAAGAGAGCAATTCAAAATTGGCTGGCCTCTCTTTGCCCGAATTCACTCGTGTAATGGTTACGAAGCTCTCCAGGAATGTCACTCAGGTAGGTACTTTATATCCGTGGTTGCTTGCATGAATTTTTACATTTTTGACCTGGTAACACGGTTACCGTAACTGAAATGGCCTACCTTTGTGGGTTCTTTGAATTTCTAACCCATCGAGAAGCGAGTAATCTGGTGTTACTAGGACTGGTCAGGTTATTCTCCCAAGGCTGAAGATGGACATACACCACGTGATCCACTTGTGATTTAAATATTTTTTCCGGAACCTAATCCGTTACTCATGAATCCTTGATCGAGTCCATACCAAATAACCGGTTAATTGGTGTTCAACGAATGATCTCATTTTCAAGGATAGTGTAGGTTATTTGTTTTCGCAAAATTTCTGTTTGAAATAAGGATTTTGAAAGTTGGTTTTCACAAGCAGGATTCATACTTTGGATGGAAAAATCGAGAAATTTTTAGGCAGAATGTTTGAAAGGTTGATGTATGGCGTTAGGGACGTCTGCTTTAATGATCCAGTATCAAACAAGAGTCCTTGCAGTGACTGCCGCAGTCTTTTTACAAAAGTGAGTTCTGGGGACTTTTTCTAACTTCCGGAAGTCTATGCGTGCTAACTTGCATTCATTGGTATTTTACTTCCAGAGATAGAATCGCTTTTGGATTGCCAAGCAGGTAAGGAAGTAAATGGCGCAAAATTACTGAAATAACGTTTTTCATGCTGTCAAGGCTGGATGCTTCCTGTCATTCACCATGGAGTCTTTCATGATGCTCGCCTTTGATGACGATTGAAAGCTACTGGGATAAGTGCAACTTCATCCAAACCATCGACCTGCATTCCGGATGTCGAATGCCCTCTTCGATACTTTATTCATCAGTGTTTCCTGCTGTTGTTGATTCATGATTGTTTGAAATTAGCAAGATAGTCAGATGTCCCATGCTCAGTGGTCCCTTTTCGTGTAGGAGCATTCATTCTGCTCCCTATTGTTAATTAGTAATGTAGCCATTTGATCAAAATTGGATTACTAATTGGACTTTCCACTGCTCCTTGTGCACTTTGTTTAATTTTTTCATTGTCCTGGTTATACCTGCTAGCTTGCGCTAATTGGTATTTTCCATCATGGAACGTAGAGTCATTTTCAGTGAACTTGGCTAACCTCGTACTTTTCCTAGGAATCCCAAGTAATTAAGAGCTCTAGCTGTTCACCGATTTATTGAATCGAATGCTCTGGCATTGCTGTGAAGTAATTTTTTCGCCGGTAGCCAGAGGTGAATGTTTTCCTCCCCACTTTTGTGTTCTACACGTAGGGTATCTCCTATCGTTGAGACGTTCGGCTGAACAGTTGTTACACAGATTTATCGGTCAACATATACTCTAGTGATTAAAAATCCCATTAATGATTCCTTCTTCTCTCAGTCTTAGTTCCGCAAAAAAATCGGATTTCAAAAATAGCATCCAATTTATACCGTTGATGCGTAAATCCTGTATGTCTATTTCTTCGAAGGGCACTTTAAGTGGGTCTCGTGTTCACTATCCAACTTCCATTTATGTCTTAAGCTTTCTGTTGTTGTGTTGAGTCTACGACACAGCTTAGTTCTTAGGAAACATTTCGCTTTAAATTCTGCTGATAGGAGCATTCACTGGAGTCAAAAATCAAGAATCGTTAGCCGTTTCTACTGATGTCCCATCACATGTTCCATACTGATCTACTACTAGAAGGGGTTTTAATGCTGTAGGAGCTATCAGTCACATCCCTGTATTTCTCGTGCATTTCATTCATTCTTCCCTGTATCTAGGCGCACATCTCGGAGATCTTCTCAACCTGGGGCCAAGTGAAGGCAGTGGAGATGCCCTCAGACCATATGCACCCCGAGTTCCATCGGGGCTTCGCTTACATAGACTTCACCAGCCCGCAGGCAGCCTCTGACGCAGTGAATTACATGAACGGGGGCCAGATCGACGGCCAGGAGGTGAACGTAACCGAGGTTCTGCCACCGCCGTCAACCCAGCATACCACTTCACGCTCGGGCAGACAACTCTCGCCTCTCGGCTCTCGCGACACCAGGCGCCGTCACCATCAGACCTCCCCTCCAACGTATGATTTCTTGCTGGCTATGTTGTCACTGCCATTTGCCTACTGATTTGGTGGATAGCGCAAGAATCACTTGCTTAACTTACGTTGTGCTAGATATGCCTCTATTCGTTTACATAATCTTGATTTTACCCGCGTCCTTACAACTGTGTTCTGTCCAAAGTAAATGGTCTCACTTTTCAATACGAACTATTAATTGGGTTTTCATTCCGGATTTTTTGTGAGCTTTTTACCGTAACTAACATTTACTGGCTGATTGATGGCTTTGGATCGACTGGTCCGTTTCACCTACCTATTAAGAGTTATCTGATCTGGTTAGGTGTACTTCACAAATTATGTTTTGCGTCACGTTTCTTCACTGATCACGATACACACCGGTAGGCCTCGTGCAAACTCAAAAACTGCGAAATCATGGGTTTCAATGTTTTCTGATACGGTGTATATCTGTTTTGCTTTTAATTCCTAGAACTGCATCTTTGGATCTTAGAGAAATCCGGTTGTTTAACGTTATTGAAGGAACGGACCTGTGTACTGGCGCTATAGTACTGCATGAGTGACCGATTGAAAGTCTGGATCCTATCAAATTAAATGTGTCCATGGTTTGTGGGACCCTTCTTGACTAATCATGATATGCGCTAGTGGTCTTCATTCATACTCCAAAACTTGCAGTTTTGAAGCCATCTATGATTATTGTCGAGTCTTTTAATCACCCTTGCAACAGTATCTTGTCAAAGGTGTTCCCAACTGCAGTGGTTAGTTGTTTGGTATTACACGCGGTCCTAAGTTTGTCCAATTAGAACTAGGAAGTGTCTTAACAACGATATTTCTTTTAGTTGTAATTTAACTTCATGGGTTCTTTAGTCATCACAGGTTTCGTTCACATTAGCGTTATGGCATTCTATTCATGTCATTTCCATCCAGACGTATACGTACTAGGGAAGAACCGGGTGCTACAGTCCATCTTCGATACAGTATCCAAAGTAATGAATTCTGCAGGTCTAGATTTGGTTCTACTATTTACATTAAAAAGGACTGGAGATCAGTAGCATGTGTGATATCGGCAGAGCTACATGCTAAGTCTTGGGAGGCCAAGGCCTGCGTACTTAAATTTACATACGTGAAGCATTCATAAAATTGTATTGACTGCATTGTAGGCTTGCTCACCTTTGTGTTTTGTCCCCTCTTTCCAATCCCACCGTAGAAGTCGGCGTTCCGGTCACGAGGATGCAGTGCTGCGCTCACGCGACGGTGGCGGTGGTGATCGCCATCATCGTGGTGACGATGGTGATCGCACGCGTCGCCAACGCGGCCATTCGCCCTCACCACCCCCGCGCTCCTCCCGCGCCACCGCCGGCAGCCCATTCTCTTCTCGCCCTGCTGCTGCTACCGGTCGCGGCGGTGGCGGCGGTGGTAGCAACCGTTCTCCACCCGGCGCTGCTGCCTCCTCACGCTATCGTCGGCCCAGTAAGTGCGCTCTTTTGCCTTCTCCCCCCTCTCCTACTTCGGCTCAGCCTTAGTTGTGGGTGCGCTCTCAGCGTTTCCTGTGCAGGCTTGTGCGCGGGTTACTGATGCGCATAGTCGATTTGTTTCCTGACAGATTTATAACCATGGCCATCACCACCCGCCTACCCACGCGGAGTGTAGTTTGTGTGCGCTTGTGAAGTCGTTTGATCTTTATTCGCGTGGGACCGCTTCGTTCTCACTGCCTCCCTCTCTGGCAGAAATGAATTAGTTTTACGAGTGTTCATTGGTCTTGCTCGCTGGTTAGCCTATCCCGCGCGTACGATCGTTTGCGCGCGCACACCCTGCCACTCCTACTAAATGGCGAGTCACACACACATACAGGCACACACAACTTTTGCGCGCGCATCCGGCTGCTCCGGGTAGGGGCTGTGCGATTTTACACGTCCGCCAGTCTTTTCCGATATCAAGCTTATGATATGTTTCGGATATAGCAGGTCACTAACCTAGCCTTTCAACGAACACCTCTAGTTTTGGTAGGTTTACCTACGACCGAAGGCTTCCAATTTCTCTAATGCAATCAAAAATTTCCATACGCGATTAAGTTGACCATTCGTTTCTGGTCGAAAAATTGATCTCCTGAACCTAGAGTCTCCTGTTCTGATACCTGGGTACCTGTAGTTTCCAACGCAGTCTAATTTTACTACGCCTAAACAATGTAAGTGATTATAAAATCCCAAATACAACCTTCGACAGAGTAGTGCATGTTCTTGGCCTCAAATTGATGTAATGTGGTGTAAGAGACAGTTTTGTCATCACTATGTCGTGAAATACGTCCCACAACTTGTGTAAATTCAAAATCAAAAATACCTGACGGAACTATATTCTCAGTGTTCGTAAACATTGCACCAAAGCCCACTTTTGGTAAGATTAAGCGACTTCCAACATTGCCTAATTCTCATGGCACAATGAGAGGGCTACGAACGTTATGAAGTTCCGGTTGGTCTTGGTCTACCAATGCGTATGGCCGTGGCTTAACAGTCCACTGGATAGTGTCGGCACTTCCAAAGTAACTATACTTGTAGTGCGCCATCATGATCTCACCATAGAACCGTATTCTCCTGACTCAAAAGTGGTGCATCGTGATGGTGGAATGGGCAGTTTTGGATTTGAATAGCGTGATCCTAAATAGTATTTCGTTCTTAAGTGTCCTCATTCTCCAACTGACATCATAATTCCATTGTTGTCTTACCACGCAACATGTTTTCAAATAATGGCAAAAGTGGAGTAAATATAGGTGATAATGTTTTACGGCATAGACTTTCCAAATGTTTGAACTCTTTGCGGTTTCTTTCCACCGAGACTAAGAATGTGCTTTTCTCTCACCAGGTTGCGTCCAAAAAGCTTCGCAGAACAGTAGTTGGTTTTTAATTGCTCCACGCCGCTAACTTCTACCTTGGGGGTTGTTTCACAAATCACTCACCAGCTGGAACCGCCCAGTTTCAACAGTAAGATTAGAAATTTGTGATCGTGTTAAGGTTTCTGGTGAAAATCCCTACTTTCCTTGTTTCTCCAAGGCCAAAGCGAAGTAGTGGTGGCAGTGACAATATCTGATTTGAATGCCTCGATTTTAGAATTGTAATCATGCTTTTGATGACCGTCTTCACCTTCTATGATGATCCACTAATTGCACGTTGATTTTCGCATAGTTTTCTTAAATAACTGAAAAGTTTAGTAAAAGCTACCAGTAATGTTAATTTTTCAGAGCACACTGCTGTGGGACTTCCTAATGCAGTGGATTCTTTCCTTAGTGTGGCGCCATGGTCGCAGAACATCTCGAAGTAGCGGTTTTTCTCCCTAAACTTTGGCAATAGTCTTGTGCATCTTCCACTTCCTCCAGTTGTCTACTAAGCGCCTCGTTTCCATTTGAGTACATTTAAATATCCGTAGACGTATTGACGTTTTTATTACCCATCATGATTTTCAGCTTAGGATTCCATCCCTCTTGTCTCTGGGAGCCACCGTGGTGGTTTATGCTGGAAGATCCCAATCGTAGAATTCTGGTCCTATTTTTCCATACGTGGCCAATATCCCACTACTTGGTTTCCTCACCCACTGGATTTTGACGGCGCTGTTATTATTGAGATATCAAAGCCCTTGAACGCGACAAAAAACCTGTCTAATCGTTACTACTAACTTTCTTGTATGCGGTATAATGCCTACAAAACATCACAGCGTGAGTAGTTTTGTTTTTTTTTTCTAGTTGTGTCACATCAGCATCCGTTTCGTACACCCTTCACTGCTTTACCTTGTGAAATCCAGGTGTTTAGTAGGATTGGGCATTACTCAATGCCTCAATTTCTGGCAGTCTACGCGGTTATCTGTATAAAAGCGCTGAATTTTTCACTACCTCTAGAGAGAAGTGCTATAACGATAAGAACAACAATTTCTTACTTAAGAGTCGAACTTGTACTTCTTTAGTCTCGCTTTTGATAAACCTTAATTTCCAATCACTTGGTTTCTTTCTTTTCGCTTATTCTTTATTGCCTGGCGTCGTCACGCAACTATACCAAGACTCCCACTCACCGTGATGGAGAATGTTTTTGTACAGACCCTTTGTCTGCAAAAGCATAGCAGAGTAGCGGTTGTTATTCTCCAGCCGTGCCACGTAGCGCTTACTCACATTGCGAAAATGGTCCAAACGGTAGCGATGTGTGTTATATATGCCTGTGGTAGGACTCATTAGCATACATTAATACCATTTAGAACGTGGTGGTGAGCTGAAACAGAAGTTCCTCCACATTGGCAAGGGGTCATAATCCTTGCTGATCCCGTAGCCATAGCGTCGTGTCTAAGTCATCCCCGAAGACGTCACGAAGCCCAAGAGCACTGGGGAGATCGGGGGAGACAAATAGCAGAGCAGCGCTCATGTTTTTCAAAATAAGATTAAAAGTGTTCCGTTACGCTAGGCCCGCCGGCGAGACGTGAGAGACGCTCAAGAAGTCCGTTGACTTCAAACACACGACCTATCAATACAGCGTCTCGAAGTGGTGGCGGTGGTGGTGGTGATGGAAAGCCAAGCGACAGTGGAGTGGGTGATTCCGCTCCAAAAGAATCGACTGGAAAGCAGTCGCAGCGTGCGCCGAGCCGTGGGAAGCAACCGGTCAGTGGTGGAGCCTCTCGAAAGCGCTTCCCCTCCTCTAGCTCCTCTTCGTCTTCCTCCACCTCCTCTTCGTCGTCGTCTTCAGCAGAAAGCAGTTCAAGATCGTCTTCATCATCCAGCTCGGCATCCTCTTCGTCACGTCGTCGTCGTCGTCATCGGCCACGCCCTCGTGCGCGCAGATGAATAATTCGTCACGGGTTTTTATAGGTTTTGATACAGGTTTACATCTCCCCTCCTCCCTCCTAGGCCTCTTCTACTCCTCCTCCTCCTATTCCTAATGCTTCAACTGCTTCAGCATTTTAGGGTTCTCTCCCTCTCTTACTCATGCTTCTGCTCCTACCTATCTCTAGCTCTCTATCCTCTAATCCTCGTATCTCTTGCACTCTCGCCTCCTCCTCCCCCCCCCACTTGAAATCGTCGTCGCATTTGGAAAGTGATCACCGTCATTATCGTGACTGCGCGTGTACGTGTTTGGAATAAATGCCCTTTGCATATTATCGTCGGTGGATTTCTGGCCTTGTTTTTACCTCGGCGGGAAGCAGATGTAAAAAATTTCAATCTCGTGGGGCATCTTACCTCGATGCTTACTAGAGTGGAGTGTGATAGTGCGACGATGCTAGGAGGGTCCGTTTTGACCTAAACATCACTACTCTAGGATCGCCATCAGTAATCAAGTGTGGTGCACGGCTGTACAGTGACGCCGGCGAAGCCAATGGCACCTCTGCGTTTCGGTCAGGGAAGACTACTTGCCCCCGCACGTGTGTTTAAGTGTTCTGTACCGGAGTTCATGTTAGAGAGGTGCCAACGTACTTCAGTAGTCAGTGAAGGGAATCCCAAGTCTCCTCGTCTTTTGGGCTGTGATACGGGGGGGGCATAGACCCGAAGAGCAGTACGTATTACAAAGACACTTTGAAGTTGGATTAAAAATCACAAAGGGCTTCGAAGGAAGAAAGTTATAAATGGCCCAGGAGGTAGAAAAGTAAGCACAAACCACAAAACGATTTCCCCAGTGATAAAGATCAAGACACTAACTGGAAATCCCCTCAAAGTGAGGCATTTGCATAACCCGAGGACAGATGAGGCGTAAAACTGCTCGGGTGGAAGTACCTACATTTTCAAAGGAAACAATGAGGCTTTTTCTTAAGACAGGGAGATTACTATTTTCCAAAGGGTACAAGGTTTCTCTTGCCGCTGAGCAAGCGGCGGTACATGATCTCGCGACCCTGTGGCGTGGATAGACGCGCTTCTTCACTGAATTTCGTTTCACGTTTGCTCATCAGCATAGGCTTTATTTTTTTCGTCACAAGGGTGGTTGGGCCGATTCGAAACATTATCTTCTGCATCATGCGCTCGTAATCGCGAGGTAGGGTATTGGTTCTGGAGTTGTTGGCTAGGGTATTGGGATGCATCTAAAGCGACATGGGGGTGTAATAGTGAAAGATACATTTATGGCCCCGACCCCACAGAAATTCAACAAAATAAGCTGGAGTTACGGTGTGTAAAAACACTTACATAAGTGGCAGAATCAGAAAAACTGAATTTAGGTGAACATAAAATAAAATAACAGAGATACCAAAAGGAGCACCGGAAAATTTGAGACATTAGCGCGATTTTCCTCATTACAATACTTATTCATGTAATCAAAACAATGCCTACCTGAGGTTCGTATTGGGGATTCAGATTAAAACTCCTGTGGCTAAAAAAATTCCTCGAAACCAATGCTGAAAAATATTTCTTGTTCAGGACTTTTATGAAACCCATATGGGAAGCACATAAACACTAACTTAGGATACGCAACAATCCAGGTGTGTAGATAAATACACTCAACTGGGGTTTTCAACTGATTAGGAATTAAGAGTAGATTGCAGACGATCCCATTACTCCCATGATATTTTCTAAACTATTCTCATGACATGCTGTTGTTATTTATTGTAGGAAAGTTGATGAGGAAGCTTATTTATAATTTATTAAAACCAAAATCATGCCCAATCTCCTTTCACTATAATTGTTCATATTCTCGCGGTTTATTGCGTTTTAGTTTCCCCAATTTTTAAGCGCTACAAGGCAGAATTTAATTTCAAAATTAGCGTCCCAAGGCTTCGCCGAGGACGAAAGAAGGTATAATATTCCGACAAGAAATATATTCATCATACAAAAGGAGTAAGGACTACTGACATTACCCAGAGGCCATCCCACCTGGCGAATGTATAATGGCCAAGAAACAATGTGACCCTTTTCCAAAACGGATAGTCGAACATCCAATGCATTGCACCAACGTTCAAAGCACATATATCTGCACTTTAAACACAGTAAGAAGACCCGAAGACAAACCACACTACTTGTAATGTGTTGGTTGCATTACTCTCGGCCACTTTGTGTCTCGGCCGTTACACATTCGCTGAGTGGGCTAGCCCGTGAGTCATGCCGGTAGCCCCAGGCACTTCTGCATGTTAAATGTATGTAAAGCCTGACATGTACTGTGTACTGGGGTGCTACGCTACTCATCTTTATTACAATCCTCCAAACGATTGACAGTTAATGCGTTCACTAAGTCCGCTAGCTGTAGGTTTCTGAATACACCTTAATCCATAGCTACAATAAAAACAAAGTGTTGAAGCAATATTCCAAGTCATTCCCTGTAATTCGAAGAGGCGAGGTTGTGTGGCAGAAAAGACATTACAATGGCACAGAAGAGCTGCAGAAGTATTAACAGACACCGAAGGCCAATCCGCAATGCGAAATTGCAGAGGCTGAAGCACTGAAGCGTCCGGATACTTCCCTGAGGACGAGAGAAGACACGATACTCGGACAGAATATATGTTTAGCACAGAGAAGGTGTCTGGGCTACTGGTATGGCTCGAAGTCCAGCCCACCCAGCGAGGTACGAGAAGGTTAATTCAAAAGCACAAAAGTGGTGCCTCACTAATACCGGGGTGTAAACCACCATCGTATTACACTTAAGGCTCCGCGATTGCATTTTTACTTGGAGGCATGGCCTTTAGCCATGCTAGTAGCCCCGCTCCTTCTCTATGTCTATGATGCATATTTTGCCTAAGTATCATGGGCATTGACTTTAACAAGTGCAAACTTTAACATTTTTGATTGACAAAACTTTTTAATTATACCAAACCCACAGCATACACATCTGCTGCAACCGCCCAGCTCACTTAAATACATTTCTTGCTTGCTTAGAAACGACACATTTTTGATTTTATTGAGAAATACTTATTGGAAAGCTTTTGTAAATTATACCCAAACATAATATCATGTACTTTCGGCCTAAATACATGCTTTTGGTAAAAGTGAATTTCGGATTATTCCTATGCAATTTTTGTATGAACTCGAAAACCCCAATTTTTGCATAATATGCATTATATTCTGATTGATGCTTGTTTTGTATCACCACAGCTTTTCCTGAAACGGCCTTCAGTATCACGGTCTTTGGTTGGGTTTTGGAGGATCCTATTCCCTAAAATGGTCGGCTACAATTTTCCAATAAAAAGAACCCCTATTACTCAGGAATATGAAATAACCCAAACCAGCCTTGGCAGTGGAATTAATGGAAATGTCATTAGATGCATTCACAAGGCTACCGGGAAACCTTGTGCACTAAAGGTTTGCTGAATTTCTCCCTCTACCCTAATTGACAGATTCTTGGTGATGATGAGAAGGCCTGCCGAGAAGTCGAGTTGCATTACCGTGTCAGTGATTGCGAAAATATCGTCAGAATAGTGGACATTTTTGAAAATAACGACGTCAAAACTGGACGTAACCACCTACTCATCGTCATGGAATGTATGGAGGGTGGTGAACTGTTCAATCGCATTCAACAAAGACACCGAAACGGATTCACTGAGAATGGTTTGCAATCCTCTCCACTATTTTTCTCTTCCCTATTTAGATGCAGCTCGCATAGTTTACCAAATTGCCACTGCTATTCAATGTCTTCACGGAAGGAACATTGCTCATCGGGATCTTAAGGTATTTTTAATCCGGTTTTTTATTTTTATGCAGCCGGAAAACCTTCTTTTTACGTCGGACACTGCAGATGCAACTCTAAAATTGACGGACTTTGGATTCGCTAAGGAAACCTCTAAGGAAACGTTCCTTCTATCCCCATGTTTTACCCCATACTACGTTGGTATGTTTTTTTTTTGAATCCAATGGAGTTTCCGTTTTTCGTAGCTCCGGAAGTGCTGGGTACCGCAGCGTATGACCAGCAATGTGATATGTGGTCCCTTGGTGTCATCACATACATTCTGTACGTTCTGTTGTTGTAGCTCACTCTTCCCTAGGCTGTGCGGTTATCCTCCCTTCTATAGCCAGGGTGGTGATCCCTTCTCGCCTGGAATGAAATCTCGCATTCGAAACGGCCACTACACATTTCCACCGAATGAGTGGGACGCGGTGTCCCAGGAAGGTATGGGTTGCAGTCTTTTTTATTACATGATGATGGGAACTCGTCCATTTCTATTTTATATCACGGTGTGAAGTAGTTGTTAGCAAACTCAACCAGCCAGGTTTTAAATTCAAAATCCATGATTTTTTTTGATCAAATTTTGCCTGGTATTTCGTTGCAAAAATCACCTTTAACTTTTCAAAATCTGAACGCAACTAACTAGTAATTGCTTTTTTTTACCTCCCGTTTGCCACCGTTTCAGTCGCCCCGTCTTTTGAAATCTCATTTATCAATTTAGTGCAAGAACTTTTCAGAGCGCTGAGGCACATTTGATATGTATTTCCGATCAACCGTTAGAAACTAGTTACTTTTTTGTAACTCTGAGTAAATGTGTTACTCCAATTGTCGGTCAAGTGTTGGGACTTGTCACGCGGCATTATTCTGTAGTTTTAATATCTTCAATTTCTGGTCAGTTATTAATGAAAGCTGAAATGAAAGTCTTTGCCGAGGGGTTTTTTTCCGGAAGTGTGTGATGTGAAAAAAAAACAAGGGACATAGGTCATAATACCCACGCTTTTGCCATCATGGGCTTTCGAGTCTTGCGTGGATGTGCTCAATTCAGGAAAACGCCTCTTTTCACAATTTACATGTCACAAAAAGTAAAGCGATCTTTTTGTGTTGTACAGCCAAGGACTTGATAAATCGCTTACTGATTGTGCAACCGCAGCATCGATTGACAATTGCGCAAGTAATGCAACACCCATGGGTTGTTCGCCACCGGCTGGTTCCCCAAACACCTCTCCTCACAGTGAATATTCTCAACGAAGAGAGGCAAAATTGGAATGAGGTTCAGGTAGGCTCGCCCTTCTTCCTCCTCTTTGTTTTTTGTGTAAAATAATGTCCCACTTGGAAGTGATTTTCAGGAATCTTGGGTCACTGGTCCTGACTGTAAAATTCCATCAAAACAGCAGATTTCTGTCTCCGGGGTTTTTGACTTTGTATCTATAGCTTTATCTTTTTCGATGAGGTTAGCAACTAAATAGCCGCCTTAAACTCTGAATGCCGTAGCCTAGTGGTCTCTGAATAGCTGATGCTCGAAAGGGAGCAATTTTACCCTACCACCTTCGAGTTGTAAAGTTGATGAATCGCACCTAATCCAGCCGACTTCAATAAGAAGAGGCAATTCCCGATCGAGCGCTCACAATGTGTAGTGTAACAGCTTATCCATTTTCACCTGTTTTGGCTTTGGGTCAGGCAGTTTTACGTTATCACCGAATATCTTGCTACTTCAAAGTATGCAAATAGAAATTGAGACCAATTTTATGTACATTTATGTATTTGTGGCTGATTCTTTCACCATCAATTGATGTCGTATTCAAAATGAAGAGAACCGCTGACGCCTACATCATTGGAAGCATGCGCCAGTGGGAGTTTTAGGCCACTTAATAGCGCTGTTCAGGCATGGTTTTAATTGTCTTAATGCAGTGTTGAAGTTTGAAACCGCCCACCATCAGTCATTTAACTGACCTAGTTTATATTGAAAAACCTTTTCTAAAGTCACTTAAAAATGTGACATGCTTCAATTAATCTGCTTGAGCTCTGTTACGTGTTCGCACTCCTCCCTTGGGAGGTTCTCTAAGCTTTGATCTTCATAATTACAGGGCAAAGCGAATGTGGATGAGGTTTCGCGCCATCTGACGCATGATAGAGTTTAATCTAACGCAGTGGCTACTCGGGCCTCCGAGGCGCGGGATGTATTTCAAGACATCCCACGTCTGCTTGAATGTTTTAAATTCAGCAAATCTGATTGTGACTGGGTTTTTAAAATTAGCTATTATAAGCAGAGGAAAAACAGGTCATACAGTTGTAATGTCGGACTCAGGCGAGAAAATTGCGACGTCACATACGTGTGACGCCAGTAGTGAATCTGTTAATAGGCTTTTGGTTTCATTAATCAGATTCAAAAAGGGCTTTTCGTTGCATAGTTTTACTCAAAAAAATCTGAAATGGTACCGACGGGTAATGCTGCGTTACAGAGATGCCAAGCCTGCGTGATTTTGTTCTGCATATAATACAAGTGGTAGTGCCCCTTAAGAGTGAAAAACACTTACACAAATATGTCTTTTCGGTGGTGGATTAAAGGAAACAACCCTTCTGATATATTAGAGTGGTTTTTGTTAGTAATTTTGTGTTAATGGAAACGGATGCTCGAATTCGTTGAGAAGGTGCTCCGTCGAGCATTAACGATAGTACATTACATCTCATGTTCGGGATCACCGTTAACTCTGCCATTAAAAGACCTTGGAGTTATAACTAGGGAGCAACGTGCCCCCAGACCAGAAGTACCTTTTTGTCTCTACGACACTTCCGTATTTTCTGTGGACAAATACCGTTCTCGGTGAGCAAGACGCCTCCTTGTTTTTCGTGTCTATTTGCAGAAAAAAATTCGTTACCGTGTCGATGATCTCATTTCTAATCATTTTCTGACTTATCGATTATGAGAAGCAATTCGAGAACTTCACTTTCGCCCTACATTTGACAGTTAAATTTTTCCTGATTCGTGCTCGGCCCAACACATCCGGCAGCCAGCTGATTAACTTGGTCTCTAAAATTCATATTTTGTAAATTTCCGCTTAACCTCGACACCAAATTTCCCTTCTGACCATGGATTTCCAAAAGCCGACAATTTTGTTGCCTTAACCTTCACACGTTAGGTTTTCTGCACTCAAACCGGTCATTCCAGACCCTAAACACGTTTTTTTGTGTAGATGTAACTGGTGATCAATGCCCAGAATTGTCTTTAACTTGCTCCACCTACGTAGTTTTGAGTTCCAAGCGTTTTCTAATTTCACGTCCTGCAATTATACGATCGGTGGCGAGCGATATGAATGTAAATACGGGTTTCGAGTAGTAAACCGTTACTCTTTAGCACCAAACGCTTTTGTGCGTTACACTACTTCTTGTACTGCTGATTTCAAGAAAGCTCCTGTCTCACTTCACAGACCAGTTCCATAAAAATGCTTCCTTTGTACCTAAAGCTTACCGACAATACATCCTTCTGCATTACTGATAGTGCAATTAGTTCTTGAGGAATCGTTAGGCTTAGTGCCTCAAAGTTGCCCCCAGTTCCCTGAAACAGATGCGGGATACGAATAAAAAGCCATTTCCTTGATTAATCACCCCTTGTCCCATTGCCTATCAAGTGCCTGACTGTTCCGTTGCGTTGTGTCTTGTGCACACCGAGGCAGCCTCACCCGCAACGCCTCTGCTGAGTCACTTGCCCCTCTTATCAGATTTGAGTTCGGGCACAAAGGAACGAAGTCAGTTCTCTTGAGCTTTAATTGAAGGGAGCTGCCTAGGCTTCCCAATTTTTTAGGTAAGGTTCATGGGCGGGGCAGAGTCATCTTTGTCAGAGCGTTGGGTTCACCATTGTTTTTGCATTCAAAGAGGAGATGTTTGATTTCGACAAAACCTTCGCTTTCGGGGTCTCGTGAAAAAAAAAATCACCACAGCCTAGATGTCTTTCCGTCCTAACGGTATCAATTGTTATTGATTGTTTACATCATTTCAAGGCAATTTTGCATCTCTTTGCGGCACTACTTGGTCCAACCAATTATCCCTCGGCGACTGATGACGCATAAAAGCCACATATTTGTGATGCCGGGTTCAGGCAAGAGTTTCGAAGGTCACATAAGTGCCAAGTTGTAGCAGGCACGTCATCACTGAGGGCCAAGTATCCCAGTCTGGAGAGGCTGAAGGACTGACAATTCTGAGGGCATGGGTAGAGTTCATGTCGAATCGTGGGGGGAGGGGGGGGGAGTGACACTAGTAATCAGAACTGATGTCTCCAAGACATTTCCCTTTCGCAACTCCTTACACCCTTGATTATTCTAAGGGTGTCACCTTTTCAGCAAAACACTCGTTTTGCCCTGTTGTCTTTTCGTGGAGGCAAATTCTGTCTTGCAATCACTAGCAGCATAAGTATGGTTGAAAAACATACTTGGTGGAAGTGCGGGTGGTAGGCTCAAGCAATAAATCCAATCAAACTCATTTTTTAAGCTTTTTCTGTTAGAATGGGCACAAAAGTTTTCTACAAAAGGGATTTTAAGTTTCTACCTCTATCTAGATTTGCATGCTCTCATGGGGATTCGCAGAAGACGGCATTTTTGAAAGGAGTTATGGAGCATTAACAATTTTTCCAAAGAAATATGTCATGGTCAAAACTACCTCGTAACTGAGAACTCAATACGGACAAAGTTATCTTTATTATACACCCAAGTAGGTGTAAAGTCGGCTTGAGTGCATAGGAATGTGTATTTTACTAGTAAGCAGAGCATGCTGTCGCCTCTAATTACTCATTTTGGGCATTTGATGGGCGGATGATGTTAACAGTGTCATGCTATCCAGTCGTGAACCCCATGATGAGATTTTCTCACTAGAATTAGCCAGTGCCATTTACAAGGCTTGTGCATAATACGCCTGCGAAAACAGTTTGTTCTATCTGTTGCACGCGTTTGTCTCCGAGTGTTTTTGGATGTCAACTACTGTGATCTTCATCTCGACTTGTTGGCATCGTAGTTATCCCAGGAGGATTGCGAAAAGTGGTGTCAGCCATAATCACGGCGTTAATTTACTTTAAATTACCTCCGAAACTACTATGCCAGTAGAATTTTGGCATGGTAGGTGTACGCTCGGACACTGTTTTACAAAATGTAAACAATTTCACTTGGTGAGTTGGTATTAAGTAGCCTGAACCGTCGTTACAAAAAGAAACAAGCTTAGCTCTAATGGTGAGTCGGAAGATCTTGAGCGTTTTTTTTTTCTGAACCTCACTGGAAAACTGCGTCATGGAGATCAGACGATCGTAAGAAATTGCGAGCTGTATGGTTTCACCTGCTGCAATTTACCCAGCACTTACTCGCTTGCACAGGTACCATCATAGTTGCCGTGTACTGTATTGTGAATCGTTCACTTGGTAAGAGGTTAAAAGGGGAAGGGCATCGGTAGGATTTGGTTTTAGGGAGCCTGATGTGGCCATTTGGAGACATTGCCATTTCTATGGTGAAAACATATTTTGCAAAAAACGTAATACTTGTCCCTCGAATTACTCATTCCTCATTTAATTCAATCGCATTTGAGAATACCCCCCATTTACCACTGAGATTGTTGCTAGGTCGAGTGGATGGAAAGACAGGCTCGTCATTACTATCTGTTTCGATTCCAGTCGTTACCTGTCGGTTCAGTGAAATGGTGTTCTAGCCGATATCAAGAAATAGCGGTAGTTGCAAAAGGCTATGGTTTGGTTTTCTCATCTTGCACTAGTTTATCGAATGCCCTGATCATATTAACTCACTTGGCTGCTTAGTGCTGGAGTATTTCGGTGTACGACAGTTTGGGGTAATGAGGGCGTTGAATAAGTCATTCGGGCTACACATCATCTACCTTGATTCCCTTGACTGTTCGTTCGATTAGCATCCCGGTGTTCTGGACACTTTCAAATTTGCGGTGTACTACAAGCCCGATCTGATCATAGCGACAAAAGTGGCGGTAATTCGAACAGTCATGTACGCAAGTGCTCCTTATTCCGCTTTTGTAGCGTCTGAGTCCGCCCTGGGAACATTGAATATGGCTAGAAATTAATTTCAAGTATATACAGAGGAGCTGGTGGGCTGTCAGCACAGAGAACATGGATGGGCGCCATACCACCATGACGTTCAGCTCAGATGTCTAAGTACTTCGTCCATTACTGCGGGTATCTGAGGTGGAGAGGTTCGATTTTCTTTTGGGGGAAAGTGGGTGGTTATTTAGCTACGCGCCACTTCTCATGGCCTTTGATAATCTACTCCAGTTCCGTTTGTTATTTACTTGCTCGGACCGAAGATACTTTGGCCACTATCGCAGACGTTCGATGGACGGCCAATAGCTTTGACACGTTGGCTACTGCCGCACTTTTTAAAACATTTTCACAACATGTGACTTGTGTTTTTTATCGCTCTAATGATGACTGGTTGCAATAAATTGCGCCGCCAACAGGTTGGATGAATTTAAAATAATAAGTTGGCTGTTTTTTGGCTCTTCGATAATTCCTTTTTTGGTTTCTGCGTGGTAGTTGAATTTACCAGTTCGGCAGCACTGGCAGTGTTGGTAGCCACCAATTTTCAGTTGGAAAGCTGGTAGTGGAAGTGTTAAACGGTTGCCTAGCCGTGTGTTCCCTCTTCCCGCATAGGAGGGCTTCCGAGAGGGGTTGCAGATAATGCGCACGGGGAGCGGCGCTCCACAACTGAAGAAGCTGACCGACGCCTCCAACCCCATTCTCAAGCGTCGCAAGGGGTAGCGTGCTCGGACCGTTCACAATGACGTCTCAGTGGCTTCAGCCTCCTCCAGCGGCGACCCCACCGCTGCAGCCAGCAATAGAATACAGCACCTCTGAGCTTACTTGCCCAGCTCTCCTCCCATTTTTTGTACTATGACGTCTGTTTTCTAACTTTGATTCTACACCTCTCCTTCCGTCCGATCTCCAGTCAGTGAGTGTTGGTGAAATGTGATAGCACGCATTCTTTTTTCTCTTTTACACCACCTAGGCGTGCTTGTGATATCATTAATCCCTATTGCTACGACAAATGATTTGTCACCAATTGCGCCGTCTGTTAAAATACTTTCTTATTCTAGAGAAGGGTTGAATAAGTTAAATAAGGATGTTTTTTCATCATGAAGGCATTCGATTCGAATTCGGTCTTTTAAGTTGCCAAACGAAGAGTGATACTTTTGTGAATTTACTGTATGCAGTGGGAAGTGGCAAATGTGGCCTAGCCGTGGAACAGTCCAGTCCAGATGACATCTGGCAGCAGTGGTTCAGCGTGCATGGAATAGTACGTAGTGACGAAATTTCTCGTAAACGAATTTGTAAAACTCACAAACGGTCGTTACCATGGGCGGACGCTTTAAAGACGCTCAGTTGTGCGCCCGTCTGTGACCGTACCAGGCTGGGTGTTTGGAGATCGCAGCGATACCTGTAAACACTCTCTGTGTGACCCATTGTGCGACAAATTTACATGTGGGACGCCATCGCTCACGTACGATGTAACCCCGGCAGATTTATGCCTTTGACCACCACCAAAAGAGGTAAATGCTGCGCTGAAGTTTGGATTTACCTCTGAAAAGTGCTATCAAGGCTGAACCGAGCAAGAATGGAACAGGCATTGGTAAGCCGGTGCATTTCTACAACTTTCCTTGTTTGATTGACTCAGTGTTTTCAAGTAGGAAAGGCGGCACCAGTGAGCGCAAGAGATTGGCATACGTTTTCGAGTTACCCATGTTAGTCTCCACTAGCAACTTGGTCCGCAAGTGGACACCCGATCGGGGCATAACTTTATGTACAGCGCAGACGGATTGTTTGTTTGAATTCGGGAGGGCTCATGGTAAGCCCACATTATTTTTGACTGATTTAAACGGGGGACGTTGGATGACAATAAACACGGATGGCATAACCAAATAGATAGAGAAGCGGAGATGTAATTAGGCACGCCGATCTGAAAGCAACTCTTTTATCAGCGTAGAGCGGGGCCGAAGGAGTGGTAGCACAGGTGAGATAAACGGGACGTCAAAAAACAGTATGATGGCTGGATTACTACTGACTAGAAAGGTGGGCATGATGAGTGATGAGATCCCCTAATCATAGGATGAATGGATGAATCGTATCCAGAGGGTAATGCCTCTGTGGGAAAGCATGGCAACGCTTGCCCAGTAGTAGGATGGAAGGGAGCGGTTCCGCATCCTCAAATCGCCATTATTATTCACTGTTCGAAGCTATATGCATGATGTTGGATAGTCAAGTCCTAACCCCCGCTTCAGCACTAACCGTTGGGCAAAACTCGCAACCGAATTCAACACGGTTTCCACGTCCCTTCTTTTGCGAATCTTTTCAGATGCAATTCTCCACTGATAACGTGGGTTGATATCCAGTCAAAAAAGTTGGGTTGCTTGCCAGCGCTACCAATGCAGCATTCCATAGGATGTGATGAGACACAAATGCCTGGGAGTAGGTTTGTTACTAACGTACGAACGGACTGGAGGTCTAGCAGCAGAGAATACATGGGGAGCTGAAGAGCAGACGTAGTTGGGTGTGCAACTAACGCAAATATTACTTTACTGCACAGCAGTAAGCACTCGTATGGAAAAAGTTGGCAGAGGAGGAAATCTGTTAGTCAGCTAGCGAAACTATGTTTCTTCAAGTGGAATTGGATTGCAAAACGTAGCCTAGATTGTGGACTTGCCGGGCTAAGCAGACCGCCTGCACCCCTGGGCCGTGACTCAGGGGCGCGAGAGAGAGGCGGTGCTGCTGCCCTTGCATCCTTTTTCGACAAAAGTAGGCATGTTAGGCTTGCCTCCTGAAAATGCTCTTCCCCTCTTTCCAGAAGCACTAATCCTACCGATTTTCAGGACGGGGAAAGGGTTCACTTCCGGATTCATTTGGAGGAAAGGAGTTTTGAGGACAGAAAATGAGGTATTCAGGGTTAAAAATGAATTTAAAAGCATGAGAAGCATGGAATAGGAACAAAAGGATTTGATAAGCAATTAAATTGTTGTAATCCAACTTCTGTAAGGATGTAAACATGTAAATCTGTTGTATTTAATTTGATATGCTTCACTGATAATTTGGCTTCGTAAGGCGAAGGCTACACCTTTTCGTATGCCAAGCTAGCACCCCTCCACAAATCTTCTGAGCATTTTTGTACTGCGATGAGTTGCCCCTTTTTGCCATGACTTCGGCTCACTACTCTCTGAAGCACAATGCCTACCCACTTTTACCTCACTTTGCCTTCAATGTGTAATAATGGTTTAGTCAACGTCCTGGCACCTCTTCAAGCACAAAGCCCTTTCAAGCATCCATTCTTCCCTGTTCATGAATGGTAAGTTTTTAAAAACGAGTCTGTCTTTGAGGCTCTTGTTTTAAGGAGGTGGGTTTGTAATTGACAGAGAAATTTCATATTACGCAGTCTTGCAAAGTCACAGGCTTCCTCTGCACCCCAGGTTCTTCTCGGTTCACATGCCGTCTACTTACAACCAAGTCAATGTGAACGCACAGTCAGGCAACACTGTTGTATTTTTCTTTTGGCGTCTTCCTTGAAGCCTGTCGGGGGGACGAATTCATTACTCCTAGTGTGGGAGGTTATAGGGAGGGTCAAAGACCACGCCTCATAACGGAGAGAAAAACAGCAGAGGGGGAGGAGCTTGAGTGGTTAAATTCACATTAAAATCAGTTACAAATCACTGCATTCTATTGCATCAAGTCCGATCATATAGACCGAATAGAGGCAACATTCAGTTTTTGGGGAGGAAAGTGAAAGTAGCGAATAGTTCACTGTACACGATTGTGAATAAGTTGCATTTTCCACGCGAAATCAAATGACGCCTCAATGTTTCCAAATTCAACAATAAATTTATCTCGCTTGGGAAATGTTTCCCCTTCAGAGTCTGCTAAAACGAGAAGGTGGTGCGATCTTTGCTTAATTAATTCATTAATAAAATGAAAACACCGAGCCACCAATTCCCCCACTCATAACAGTGTAGCTCAAGTCTAAAATTACACGCTACAACTGAACTGCGAAGGATAGGTCACATTTAAATGGACATGGAGGGATAGGAAAGTGGTCAGTCTATGAAGGCCCGTCCCCGTTCAGTGAAGCAGTGATGGACACGATAATAGCTTGGCGCATCGGTTAAAACCATATGCAGAAAGTGTTAGGCTTTCATGATGGTCACCAAATGTGTAATTGCATCAAATGGGAATCTAATCACCCGGAAAAAGAAAGTCCACATCATGTGAAAATGTTAATGACATAGTCGAGAAAATGCCCCTTTTTCATTTGCATCTTCATTACTCGAAGTGTCACCACAAGGAAATCATGACCTTGCCTTGCGGAGAAACGGGGCTTTAACATCTAACCCAATTCAACTTTGAGACTAGGATTTAATTTTCTAAAAACTGAGTGAAGGAGCATGAAAGATGCAAGTAAGGCACCCCTGTTTGGTGAACCAACGACCTATCGAAGGGTCACAAAAATGACATTATCGACCAAATTGGACAATGCGGCTAAGGCGAAGACACATTAACCAGAGGCTTGGGCGCAAAATATCGAGTCAGGTGAGCAAAACGTGGGCTAATTTTCATAGTCAAAAGAATTTCCCATCCGCACAAAGCTCAAGCAAGCCATACTTGTGACCCCAGTCAGTGAAGAACGAATTCAAATTCGATTAGCATTGATACCGTATGGTTGGAACCGCCTATCCAAGCAGTAAACTTCATATGCCGGTCTCATTGATTCCATTTCCCCTATTTTCTCCGTTAACCCCATCCCGGTGATGACAAGACTCCACTTCGCAATGCACAACAGTATCGCAAGGTCAGAATCCGTCAGTTGGAAACTGGTACTACGCGGAAGTGTCCTGGATACTTTGCAACAAAGTCCGTCAGAAACAATATTACTTTCTTTTCATTTTAACTATCCAAAGTATCAATGAAAGGAAATTGGGAGTTGGCCTTCATCGTAAAAATATTAACACATAAGTAGAAGACACGAACTTGTATCCTACGAAAATGGCGGTAAGCTAACTCCAGGACTTCAAGCCCTAGTTCCTTTGCTAGAGATGCCTGCAACTCCAAGAATGCGTTCCAGCTGGAGCTTATAGAAGTTCCAACTGATGCCCAATCTCCGAACATTATAGGGAGTCGTACTTTTACTCAGTCCTGCGTGAATGACCCGCAAACAGCAGAGGTGAAATCTAACTCTACTGCCAACTATTCGATGGTTAGTTGCCGCGGATACGCATAGCTGACACCGTTGGGAGGTAACTCAGGAGCAGACTCGTCCGCTGTGAATTCTTTATTTGTCATTTGTCTGGTTGGAGTCCTTGAAAGGAACCAGGATCTTCGCCATAAAAACTGCAATTCATAAAATCAACAACCCGGTCGCTTTAAAACACCTGTCGACACTTTACAACTAGAGACAACCCAGTTTATGGCACCTCAGAACTCAATTTTTCATTTGCATTGCAAAAAGCTGCTACATCAAAGAAATTCAGACCATGTCTCAACAATAAAATTACATCGGTGAATAACATGGTAAAAGATCTAATTGAATCACTTTATCTTTTTGCCTCCAAAAATTTCCCTTGTTTTTCACCCCTTTTCCCACTTTATAATGTTTTCACCCAAAGGAAGACGAGACCCCAATTTCATGATAGAAGTGGCATTCCAACGTCGAACATATGGACTTCAAAAAGTGAAGATGGTGTTAGAGTCTCTCCACAGGGGAGAGACCAGCGGCAACAAAGAAGGGCTGTCGGTGGTGAACGGTATGGAAGGGAGAGACGGTGGCCTTGAAGGAGTGGGAAATCTTAGCCGATCCATCGGACTGGCGCTTCCGACCACGACATTTTGTCGCCTCCTCTTTAGCTTCCATTTCATCTTCCCTTTAGAGAAACAAAGAAAAAGGAAGAAATTGTACCGGAAGCCTCGGTAACTTGGGCAAATAAGAGCTTACTAATTCCGCTGCACGCATAATAGTGAAATTTTGTCGAGAACCGCGCGATCGTACAACTTTTATTCAGGGCGAACTCGAGTACTACAAAGTGTACAGCCTGGGGACAAAAGCACTACCGCTTCGGGAATTTCTGATGGAATTGTGATGCTAATGGTCTGGGAGGAGCCTGGTTGCGCAATTGACGGGGTCTACGTCATTCACACTAAACAGCACATAAACAATACCACATTACGATGCGAGATTACTACCAACGATGAGTGTCTAGGTAAAACTGAAGCTAGTCTCATCTCATTAAAAAGCTTTGAAAAAAGTACTTTTTTTGAAGGACAGAGTACGAGTTCTAATCGAAACGGGGCATGCACCAAAGGCATGGGATGAATACAGGCGGTTTTGTTGCGTGCGGCAGTTAGAAGTTGCTCGGTTTTGAGTTGAATTTGGAAAAGTGTAGAACCACTTTTTTACGTGAAAACTAGTTGTTGTGATCAATTGTAACCACGCAGCGAAATTGAAATTGCTTGTTTTATTACCAAGACTAATCGTCGCACAAATTTCAGATCGCGGTTGCATTGCTTTTCGCTACTGATAGGACCTTATCAGTGAGCCCATCCATCGTTGTCGCTGTTCAACTCTGCTTGCCAGTAAGGGGTAAGAGATTTTTTTGATCTTTTTTGCATAATTCCCAGTGGAATTGAGGTCGCATAGCTGCACAGATGTACGAGGGATCATACACTATAGTGAAGAGTTTTTGAATGATACAAAATTTGCGATGGAGACGGAGAACGTGTCGAGAGTAGGGGATAGACAAGAAGGATTTTAAACAGGTAGCCAATGAGGGAGTTGCCTTGTCACTCAATGATCCCACCGGTGCCTCTTCGGGTAACAGCAGCTTTAAAGCTCTTCAAAAACCTCATCCCACCCGAGGGCTTGTTTTCCTGGGTAAATTAACCACGATTACCAGACAAATATACGAACTAGGCTATTGGTAATCATTTCGAAGCACATAAACTCCACAACAAACCCCGCAATTTAATACAAATTTGAACAGATTTACCCCAACTAACAGTAAGCAACCTCTTGATTTATCGCCCCTTGTCGTCATACATTCAACACGGCAAATACTTGATAAAGTTGACCTCTAGTTCAAAAGTTGTTTGAACCTGACCTTCCAATGCCGACCAAAACTTCGTCCAATTGGTGCCATCACTAGATACACGATACAGCTTTCAACAAGCAATAGTGAGAATTTATTTGACCCTCCAGGAGTGCCACTTAACTGACCCTTCAAGAAGCATTGAAACCTTGCGGAAACAACAATGTTTTCAAGTAACTAGGTGATGGAGTTACTTTTAGAAAGCATTAGAGTTTACCAGGAACGAGTCTGCGCCTCTGATTTCAAAAGAAGAAACAAAACTGTCTTTTCTGCTTTCAATCGTATAATAAAGCCGTGACAGTTACAAAATCTTCACGACTTCACCCCACCTCTCATAGCAGTAGATTGGCAGGAAGGCCAAACAATGCGGAGTCATGTTGACGACCTCGACGACTCGAACCATTCGGATAGTCGGTTCTCTCATGATGAGTGAGGGAAAAAGCACGAATACTTACATCCAGACGCAAAGACATTACATTCGTCCATCAAACCTCTCTTTCAGTGATATTTCCCTCAACTATCGTGGATCAATGCAAAAGAAGTAATTTAAAATGGCCAAATGATTAGAAAGGTGCATTACTTTTCATAGATTTTGGAGAAAAACTAGCAAATGAAACCAAGATTCCAAACATATTCTTGTCCTCACAAATTCCGCAAAAAATGTTAAAAACGCCTTTTTGCTTAAACTCTAGAGTTACTGGATATGCATCCTCATAAATTTAACGACTACCTATCCTCGTTTGAAATCAATTCCCAAATCTCCTTCAGTAAGGGTGAGTGCAAGAGGAGGATAATGTAATAGACAAGGGAAACGAATGCCACATCTACTCTCATCGAACAGTAGCGCCCTCCTTGGATGTCCGAGCTTAGGATGAACCATAATGCAGCGTCACGAGCCACTTATTCCCCCGGCTTCATATCTCAGTTTTGACTGCAAAACTCGATTTTTTGTGCCATTTATTTGCATCAGCTACTGTGGCGTACAGTTTCTCTCTGACTACGCAAACTGGTGCATGATTTTGGGCCAAATCCGGAAGCAGTGCCGAGTCCTAAGCGTGGAATTCAAATGCCTTCATCCGATTTGTGGCTTCCATTGTGCACCAAACCTCCTCATTATGTGAGCGACCTTAAAAACAGAGGCTTTCGATGATGAATCAACTTGGCAAAAACGTCAAATGTAGCAAGTGTGTGCGGGTGTGTTTCACTATCAAAACACATGGAGAAACACACGATTTAAAGCTTAAGTTCTCGCCTTAAGAGGCATGCAGAGGTTACGCCTTCCAGGATTGTGATTAGACAGTCGGTCTCATTGTTTGCCTCTGGCACCTCTCAACACTACACTCCTTCAAAGATTTGGCTGATGAATATGCACTTTTTCCAATATAAAAAGGCAGACGGTTCTCCCACGACCACGTTAAACGACGCCCCGTGATTTGGCGTGCCAATCCAACTTCAACTCATAGAAGAGCCTCTTCAAGGTTTTAGCAACGCACCCAGTGGTGTGCAGTTGACTAAAAAACAGTTTATTTCATTGATAGATTTGAGGCTCCAATAAGACCACTGACTTCATTTTACTAGAGATTGCGCGCCTGTATCAAATTTTTAATGGAAAAAGGCCGATTAAAGTCTATGCCTTCACCTCCCCACAAACTAACATCATGATCTGAGCCCGATGTCTTCCACAAAGCTAGTGACTCATCCCCAAGATTGAAATCACCTGTCAGATCAGGATTTCTCAAACTACCGATCAACGTACCGGGCAGTTTTCGGCAGTGAAACAGCATGTCCTTTGGTGCTGTGTGCGTCGACGACCAACCAGCCTCATCGAGCCTGCAGAGGCGAGTGGGAACGCTACACGATGGTTCCCCAGCCCCACAAACTGAGCACAGTGTTGATGCTTCAAAGCTGTTTACACGATTCATTGGTTATTTAAGAAAATAAGTCGTCCAAGTTAGAAGACGATACAAGCAAATTTAGTCATACACCTGGAATATTAGCAAAAAAAACACGAACACAAAGGTAGCAGAAAACACGATAACGATGGACGTGAAAATCCATCACCCAGTGTAACTGAGGCAGAAGGGAAGTTTGTTCGTCGATGAGATGCAACTTCCCTACTTAAATAAGCAAACTGATAGAGAGATTAATTCGGGGGTAATTACTCCCACACAATCGCAAACAGAATTGAAAAGGCAGACACTTTAGGCGCTTAGATCAGAGAAGTCCAGCAGGCAGTGGCGCTAAGAGCTGACACTACATGCACTGCCGTGCTAATACAACTACAGGGTCATAAAAAGTTGCCCTTTTTCGTTGATACAGCCCCTTCTGAAGCATATTACAGTGCGGGTGAACAAATCACACTCAAATTAGGGGCGGGGATATTTGATAGGATGGAAGAAGGCTGAAGTGACGCGTTAGCAAAGTGCTCCTGGCAGAATTTTGGTGGTACACACAAAAAATGGTGGGCTGCTCAAATAGCGTCACTAAGTCAGTAAGGAAATGCAGGTAGAAGTGACATCTCATCAAAGAATGCCAAGTAAAATAAAACCCATATTTGTAATGCGTTGGTTGTTTATTTAACTATCGGTTTTGATAAAGGGGCCTTCGTCGGGTGAGCTGGCCTCCGAGCCATACCAGTAGCCCCCCAACCCTTCAATAGGTCAGCAGAACATCTTTTCGTTCTGCATTACGTATTCTCTCACCTTCAGGGAAGTCTCGAGGCGATGCATTGGTAGCAGTCGAAAGCAAACCCAATCCTAAAGGACATCTATCCTGATTTCTGCTACTGGCTGACAGGACTTAGTGGGGCAGAAGAAATACGCATGCGGTGGATGGGAGTCGGTAACGACCCTAAGAAAAGGCTGCAAATAACGTCAACTTTCAGCAACTACCCCAGTCCTGTGTCCTGCAGGAAAGCTATTGCCAACGGAAGCAACACAAACCATGAACCGTCTGGGGAAGTTCCTTACGGAGCTGTCTACCGTTACTGTATGAAGATGTCAATTAACTGAACACTCAATACCACCTTCCCCTCGCTACTAGCAAGACAGGACCTAGAGAGAAATGTCTGGGCAGCACTGAAGTGAGAAAAAAGGGGGCAAGGAGGAATAAAGGTGAAACCCACCTTCACAAGACTATGCTAAATCCCGTCCTTTATTGAAAAGCCGAGAGGGATCAGTGATGTTGCAGTCAGATACTCCCCCCCCCTCCACAGTTGCACGCAATTTCAGTGACTGGCACGGTTGGTTCGTGGACGTTTTGTAAAGTAACGATTACGTCGTGATGGTCGACGCGGAAGATTGACCAAGGAGAGCGCCGGAAACGACGCTCAAAAGAGGAGAGGAGCTATGTAGTATGTTAGGTGTTTCTTTTTAACTCTCCGTTTTGGTAAAGGGGTCACGGAGGGGCTTTGCCATTGTACCTTCGCCGGGTGGGCTGGCCTCCAGACCATCCCGGTACATTTACCTCATCCACAAATAGTTTACTTGTGTAATTTTTTAATATGAATGATGAAAAATACGCATTTACTGTTCGAGGGCATTGTTGGCAGTATGCTTTACTACTAGCTGTTAAGATGTCATGATTCGGAAAGAGCAGACGAATAGCTGAGAATCATCTGTAATGAAGTGTTTAAAAGACATGTAGGCATTCTTTTACTAAAACACACGCCAATTTTATCCCTCAAAAGTGGTCACAAATTAATGAGAATTGCACCAGATGATGATTTGGTAGTGTCAATAAGTTTACCGTACATGTGGATTTTAGTGACGCCGTCTAGTCGCCTAAGACGGAAAAGTGCACACAAACAATGTGATCTAGGAACAATTGACTTGGATTTATAAATTAATGAAAAAAAGTGGCTGACAGGTAAAGGAGTCTTGACGTTACACTATCAGTGAGAGGAAGGTAGCTGATCACAATGAGAAGTGTGAGGGTTTCGCCCTCGAAAAAGCGACTCAGTTTACCGCCTCTGTGTTCCATTACAATGCATAAACAAAAAACAGCATCATGTCAAGAGCTTCAAATCCAACTATTGTCGCATCAAGAGTGGAGTTATAGGAGATCCCTTATGTGGATGGTGGAAAAGGCCCATTAAACATGGAAAAGCGGGAACAGCTAGCAGTTATGGGCAAATAACAGTAAATGTTGCCTGTATATTTGACGGGTTTTGAAGGTTCAGTTACCGTTGAGACTCTAGGGAGTCTAGGAGTAAGGGTTGGGGACTACTAGCACAGATAACATGATCCAAATCTCACGTCACTAATGTGGAGGCTGAATCACTGAAGGATTAAAACAACCCACCTAGTCAAACGCAATTAAAGCAAATGTCATTTTACTTCGTACTAAAAACGCGTCTGGATCTTCTTCTGCTCCAACATTTAATGCCCCAAATTTCTCTCGTTAATTTCTTCATCGAAAGGCACAATGAAATAGTCTCAGACAGAAAGACAAAGCTACTGCATCTTTTTTGTCAATTAACGCCTGACACTCACACGGTTCGATATAAACAAGAAACTACCACGAAACGAGACTGATAAGGAGACCAACACTTCCAATCGGTCTAATGACAAAGTGGTAAAAACGATTTCAATGCAACATCTTCGCAACTACTTGGTCGAACTAGTTGAAGAGGAGAATTGATGATGGGGAGGGCAAGAAACTCACCACACGACCCTGACTCCTCTCTCCCCCAGTAAGGTCTGGGCAGTGGCCCAGGAGGAACGAACCAGCGGCGGGAAGCCCAAAATCGGATCCATGCAGATCTGCAGGTACTGTTTGGTTGCCGGATCTGCACAAATAAAAGATGGTAGGAAAAACGCGTTTTTGTGTACGTATACAGTTCCAAAAAGAAATACCTCATTACCGCTGCCCAACTGATTACGGATTCCGTCCTTTTTTTTCACGATTTAGTGCCTGAAGATGAATTCTGTCGTTCTAAAAGATCAACTTTAAGACTGTCTAACTGAGGGGCTCCGACATTATGCCTTCGCCGAGTGGGTTGATCTCAGAGCCACGCCAGTAGCTCTAATTCCTACTTTATGCCAAATATGTATATTCTGCCCTGATATTATGTTTTCATTCTTCTTCAAGGGAGTGTCAGGACGCTGCACTGGTGGCAAAGGAAAACGATTCGTATCCCAAAGAACAAATACCCTGATTTCTATTACTAAATGCTAAGCACTAATGTGGCAAAAGAAGGGCTTCTGCTGCGGATGTAAGAACCTGTGAAGACCCCTAACAGAAGCATTGAAACTGACGTCTACCTTCGGTAACCACTCCAGTCACGTATCCTGTAGGAATACGATTAACAATTGAAGCGACACTAGACGTGGCAGTGAACCATCTGGGTGGTCTAGATAGATATGGCTAGGCAGTACTGGAGAGCAGAGCAGCATGGAGGGATAAGGGCGAAACCCTACCATCACGGAATTATGCTAAATCCCGTCCTTTGTTATTTAGCTCTGCTTTTGGGCCAGCGTTCCTGGGCCTAGTGATGAACACGTGCGATGGCCGGCCGACACATTCCCTAGTCCCCCAAAACAGTTTCCATAAGGAAGACAACACCAGATTTAGTAGAATTGTCAAGAGAGATCAGTGAAGCTGTGGTCAAGTATCTTCCCAGTCTCAGGACAATTTGATGACTGACACGGTTGGCCTGTGAGTGTTTTTCTTACAGCACCGATTGCGTTGTGATGACCGACGAGGAGGCTGACCAAGGGGAGCGTCGAGAATGATGCGAAATAGAGGGGGGAGGACTATGCAATATCCTATTTGTTTAACTCTTCGTTTTGGTTTCGAAGACACTTAAAGCTCCACTTTTGTATTTTTGCTGGGCGACATGGCCTCTGAGCCATACCAGTAGCCCTTCTCTACGTCGGCAACACATATTTTGCCCGAACATAATATCTTCTCCCGTCTTCAAAGAAGTTTCAGGGAGCTACACTACATCCCTTTCGCCTTTCAATTGACATACGAATGTTAATGTTACCAAATTATTCCTTGTGGAAGCATACCCAAACTTCAATCGGTTTTTGAATTAATTTTAAGTCACATTGTACTTAGGACAAAGTTTTGAGTTTTTCAGTGCAACCACCCACTTTTCCAATGCACATTCTATTCAGCGTCATTTAGATGACAAAAAACGACGTCACAAATCTGTGTGAACGAAAATGAATGAACAGTTGCGTCGTATACCGTCCTAGCTACTTGACCGCTGTTGGAATCCCACTACATTAAAAGAGAGTAAAAAATGAAAAAAAAAAATGACAACTACTCGCGAAAATAAATTGATGCATGCCACATCCTCGCCACTGGAAAAGAAGCCATGCCTTGAAAACCATCTTTTTACATGGGTGTAACGTGGGAGCTGGTAAAAGCTACTTTATAACCATCAATTAGTTCTTGCTGCTCAACAACTTTTTGGCACTGACTATACAAAGTCCAATGAACTTCGCAACCATGCAGCTGCCGTGCTAAAGTCCCACTTCCATGGAAGAAATGATAAACGGTGTGAATATCCTGAAAAAAAAGCTTTGGAGCCCAGCTATTTAGTTTTGACGTCATCCACAAATGTAACCTTCAAACCGCAATAAGAACTCACCAGATTAACATTTAAAATGAAACGAAAAACAAATGCTTACGAACAGTAGATAAAAATGTGGCAAGTTCAAAGTGTTCAGCTGCGTAACGTTTTCTCTCATATTGAATGCTAAACCTTGAAGAAGGTTGCAGTAAAGCTCCATTCAAGGTAATGGTAGCCCATTTTTAAAATAGCCAAATGAATTCTTAGATTTCTTCGTAACAGAAATGAAGGAAATGCAAGGAGTTTCTTCTACTACTTTACTGTCGGATATAATCGCCATTTCAATCTATCTCTTGCCTTTTCCAAACGTGCTATACGTTTACTGTGAAGTCCACTTTCACACACTGTTTCGGCTTTAGAAGCCATGAAAGTATGGCTCTATACAACTGTCGCCTACGCTACTCTCCACGAAACCGTGTGCTTTTCCACTGCTGGTGTCAAGTGAATGTGATAATTATCACCTGGTGAAACAGCAGCATCGGTTGGCACCGAGATACAGCCGTAACTGCTCTTTGGCTTTTGGCAGATGAATAATGCCATCGCGGCGTACCACATGCACGCACACACATATAAACAGACGGGGAGAGAGAGAGAGAAAAGTCGGTTATCTGAGAATGAAGTTGTCCGTATTTTTGGGCTGTGCGATATGCTGTGAGTGGATGGTTTGAGGATGATCGGGGATATGTTTGTTCACCATCCCTCATCACAGTCCAGTCTGTCTGTCAGTCACCAAACAATCTAAGTTGACATTTTTTTAAAGTGAAATAGTAAACAACAAATCGGTAATCTTAAAAGCTTTGTCCGGCGTCTGTCAATGAATGACATATGGTAGCTATTTGCCTAACTTGTTCCCTCATCACCCACGACCATAAAAAATGACTGCAAATCGTTCTTAATCTCGGATCATTCTACTCAATGACGACAGGTTAATTTATTCTATAGTGTTATCAAGACTAGAGAGTCTTTCTGAGCGCGATACATCCTCAATACGTGACTTATCTTTAAGTGTGAATGGTCCATTTAAGCCATTTCTAAGCGGTGCTTATCACTAGCGCACCTCCTTCAAGTGCTATACAACAATCTTCAAGAGCCTGCTGGAGCACTGCATTCAAGTAAAACTCGGTTCATGAATCAGACAAGCTGGAATAACATTCAACGGGTGGATGCCAAATAAGAGAAAAGTGGTAGGAGGCAGAAAGAAGAGAACCCTGCTCTATTCGTCCTTCATAGTTCATGCATATAGATAATTACATGCATGTAACAAAGCCCTTCTCCATAGTTTACAAGAAGCCACCGCGATGAGGTATTCCGAGAACTAAATACCAAATACTCGACAATTGAGGGACTAAGCACAAAACTAATTCTCAAAAAAAGTTTCTCAAGGGGGGATAAGTGACACATTAGGGAGATATATACCATTGGTTATGCGTCTAAAGACGGCTGAATCCAGGTGCAAAGGCAGATTTGAAGCCATTTTAGAGGCTGTGTGGAGTACTTCCATCTCACCTGGAGTAATAACAACAAATAAATGAATACAGAAATAATAAATGAGTAAAAAGATGTAAAGATGGATTGGTCAGTAGATTTTTTGAGCTGCAGAGTAAATACCTCTTTGAATTTGCATTCAAGTAATGGGACAGATCGAGGTCCCGTTGGATTCGTTAAACAGAACTGGAAACAGTTCCATACTTTTGACACATAATTGAAGATGGTTTGGAGAAGAAAAAGCCGTTTCGGTAACCAAGAGTGAATGAGATAGTACCTTGACACAGAACTACTAACAGTAATATGGCCAATAATTTGTAACCGGGAAATTGAAATTAGTGAATAAGCACAGAAGCTCAGTACAATTTGTAGTACAGTGGACTCTCGACTCGCCATTCTGCGACTTATGCAACTCCGCTTCTCGCATCACTCTACAAAGTTTTATTTATTTCTCCTCTGTGAAGCTATTTCAATCTCAGCACCGCTCAATCAGCTTTCTGCGCGCCCAGAACATGTTGACATCCTCCGCGCTTTTAGTGACCAACTGCGACCCCAGCGATGCACACTACGGCAAAAGACATTTCTGATAACAGTGATTACCAACTGGGTCTACGCACCAATTATTTTTCAGTGTCTTTTGGCTATTTCTTTGCTACCGCATGCGCAGCATTTCCTTTCAACGTTTTCCTCACCAAGTTATGTCGTAGAATTTAAATACACCGACTACTTTTCGGTTATCTGTGATTCCTTGCAGAGCGCTTAGCACGAACAATCGAGGGTATGCTGCGTGTAAAAGTGCTTTACAGGACCGAGCACATTTCCAGTACTACTGGAGCGACTAGGAAATTGAATTATTGTAAGACAAAAGCGACATTAATAAACTGTTCTTGTCCTGCAATCGCAAATAGTAACAGAACTATTTGAATGCGGAAATGTGACATCCCAAAGTCAGAAATGGGGTGTTGACCAAGTCTTCAAGTTATAGGATAAGTTCTACTTGGTGTTTATACGATTTGGTTGGTGATTATCAAACAGGCACGGAAGTGCACTTCTGCAATCACTCCTAATAGCTACTAGGCTCTGAAATGAGGCGGACGCTGGAACAAGAGAATTTCAATATATGAGCGAAAGAGGGGGGTCATAAAGAGATTGATTTGGCAGAAGATTCCATTCAGAGATAAGTACAGAACGGAGGGTCCTTAAACATTGTGCTGTTCACAAAAGCGTCCAACAAGAAGAGATTTACCAAACATTAAAAGTAGCATTTTTAAGAATCTGAATGCCAATTCTACAATGAAAAGGTAGGAGGGTTGTGACAAAGAATCCCCAAAACACTGTGAGCATATAGGCAATCAGGTGAGAATGAAAACTTCGTGTCTGGTAATGCCGATGAAGTTGAGAAATAGTTCAAAAATATTGCACGAAAGATTGAAGTAGCTCAAGGACACATTGCAGTAGCCTTTAGGTGTCTGAAAAACCCGTTTGGCACAAGAAGCATTGTAACATGAGTCAAACAACGAGATGAAAGCATTTCTGTACAGAACACCTTAATCGGTAGGACGAAGTGTGGGTAAAAAAGCTTCTCATTTTAATGAGCTCTGGCTATCACGAACAGGTACGGAGAGTATTCCAGGAAAAGTCAGGGATGCTGTGATTAAGTAAAGTAGCTTAGAGGTTGGATGAAGCAAAACCACGGGGAGAGAGAGATTATGTCAACTGGAATGAAAAGCTTTGCCGCATTCACCATTTCTTCCCCAGATATCACCCAAATAATTCTTACTTGTTTTGTTTTTACAAGAAGGAAACTGCGTAAAAACTCAACTTTTTATACAAGGAGGACGCACTGTGAAACCATAAACAAAGGTTGAAAGTTTTGAATTGTTTGCAAGCACTACCTGAAAGCTTCCAAGAAGCGATCGTTTAACCTCCTCAAGACGGGCATGAGCAAAGTTCAGAAAAGTATGAAGGTATGGATAAGTCCTACATCACTCCTGATGCAATGGTAGAACATCAGGAACACAGGAGATTCATAACATATACTATGCTAGGTTTCTGCTGCACATGGAACTACAGAGGAGTGCTAAAAACAAAGCCTGAATCGAAGCTCACCTCCAGGATAGCCTGATCCGATGGGGGTGCCTGGGGATACGGGTCCACGCCCCTCCTTGGGCCATCGAGACAAAAGGCGGTCACGTGTCACCTACAGTGGGTAGAGGTATCAATCATTACTCGGGAGGGCGACAAGGTGAAGGAACAGTGCACATTTATCATTGGGAAATGAAGAGGTGGGAAGGTCATCTATTTGAACTCCCCTTGTTAAGAAATGAAAAGTAGGGATGTGAAAGTAAAACCCATTTTTACTTTCAAAGTATCAAATAAGCTCTAACAATTTTTCTTGATTTCGTTACTATATGTGCATTACTAAGAGGCGAATATTCCAACCAATTCACTTAAGCTTTCAAACTATCCATGCTGCAACATTGCGGCTACACGATGAAACTCGTATTCATAAATAAGGTGGATAGTATTATTTGTCTAACCCTTCATTTTGGTTTTGTGGGCACTTAATGTTCCACTTTGTACTTCCTCTGGGGGAATGGTCTCCAGGCCATGCCAATAGCCTCCAGCCCTTCTGTACGTCGGCAATACATATTCCGCCCCAGTATCGTCTTTAGGGAAGTTTCGAGGCGCTACATTTGTGGCAGTGGAAAGTGAACTCGATCCTTAAATGAATAGCTATCCTAGTTTCTACAGCTGGATGTTAAGCCTTAGCAGGACGGAAGAAGTGCATGCACTACAGATGGGAGTATCAGCGATGTCCCATAACAACTACCCCAATTCCCTGTTCTACGAGAATGTGATTAACAACCAAAGCAACAATAGCCATGAACCATCTGGAAAAGTTTCGTTGCAGAGGTGTCTACGATACCTAAATGAAGGTGTCGAATAAGTGAACATAGGGTACCTCCTCTGCCACTCGAGGCGCTGCAAAAGGTTCAAAAAACAATACTTGAAAACGGCGCCAACCAAAACATGCAGGTGGAATGGTGATGAAGCTACATCCTTCTAATTAACGAAAAGGTACTATAAATGCTTTATTTACCATCTCGGAGGTGCTGTTTTTAAACTTAACGCATGTGCTGCCAACCAGTCTCCTTATCCGAGCCCACAAGTCACATATAGGCAAAACATTTCATTAAAAGTAAGTGAAGCGATCCGGAATGTAAGAGAAGAAGGAGGAGTAAATTTATGTCGAACTAACACAATAAAATGTTTGGGTTGCAGTAGATTGAATTTTCTCCGAGAGACACCACCAGTAAACGTGTCAAGAGGATAGTATAGTCAACACTTAATGGCCTCACATAGATCACCCTCAGTTTTGTAATCCGATCAACTTGATGAAAGGTGTAAACGCTTGAGGTGCATGTTATGGGACAATCAACATAATAATTAAAAAGATGTACGATGCAGTTTTATGAAACCGAAAATATTGCGACATCAATGCGTGGGATTAATCGCATCGTCTATCATTTAACATCGACTTTGACGTTACATAAGAGGCACCTTACAAATCATCAATTATAATACAAACGCGGAAGTGGTAAGATAGATCGCGATTGAAATTCAACAAGTACTAGGAACACATAAAAGATGGTTGGAAAAATTGGTCTACCATACCATGGTACTTGATATTGCTTCTAGATGGCAACTCTGGAGAACATAAATCAAAGTATGGATTCGAGATAACGAAAAGTGGAAGGGGTTTGAATTCTCACATCCCATACATGCGGAAGTCACCTTCAAGCCGTCATTAGCGATGGTGATCCAGAGGGTCGACAGTCGACAAGCAGTGGCCTTCAAAGTGAGAGGAAAATATGGCGTCAGTGCATATCATTTCACCTCATCGAACGAACCGCTGGTGGTGGGAACACAGCACTTAAGTCCACTTAACGCATGAGGATGTCCTTGATCCACGCAAAGACAAGTGGAGGAGTTTGTTTACTAGGAATTTTTACCTAACATGTGGCCATGACCCTACCTTACAGGAAGGCGGCAGGTCGAGATGGTAGAAAAAGGGTGGTTCGGTGGTGAAGTAATGCGACGGCTGATATTAGCAGTAGTTGGAGCTCTAGTTATGGAACAAAAATAAAACAAACTCGCAAGTGATGACGAGCATGTTCCTCACATAAAACGAACTGCGCATAAACTGAGTCCGAGCGTCTAGAGATGGGAAAAGGTGACGGAAGAGGGGGGGTGGTGAAGTGAGCACCTTCCTGATGGCCGAATACAGCGGTTATTCTAGTTTGAAAAGAAATCAGTCGATTTGCAGCGTGGTCTTGATGCATTTCAACATGAAAAAGTGGGAAGAGGTTACCTCTTCACAACGGCCCTCATGGTGATGCGATTAAAATAGAATAATTCAAGAAGGCGATTTTCAAAGTTCCTTCTGAACAAAAAAGGAAAAGAGTGGTCTGCATAAATGTCGACTTTTGATAAGCGGCAGTGTTCTTCAAAACAGAAATAAGCGGTTTCAAATCGTCACTTTCATTCCCAAAAATGGAGATGTTTAGAAGGCAGCACAGAAACTCAATTATGAGCGACAAAGGATGGGAATTTTAAGGATCTACGCCTAAACAGGCGTTGAGCTCTTTCTGCCTTTTTCAGTTGAACGACGAACGTTCTCCGAACCTGAATCACAAGTATAAATGCTCGAGAAGAATGACTGCGGCAAAAAAAAGTACGAAAAAAGTCCGCCTGGCGACTCACCAAAATTGAAGACTAATTTGAAAGGACTGATCGGCAAAAAGGAGGCTGCGGTGTGCAGATCTCCAAGCCGTGGACTTTTTCCTCTCTAAACATCCCGACAGCAGCACGTGATGAAATGGTGTCAATTGTAGGATTTGCTAAAAAGTTCTGCCTACTTGACCCGGATAAAACGATAGAGGGCCATGAAATTTGCACTTTATGAATCAGGACGAAAATAATTTATATTCGTAGCACAAGTCTGTTCCCTCGCAAGGCACTTTTAGTCAAACGATGAACTTCACGCTATCTGCAATAAAAAATCATCTAATGAACGTAAAAGAAATGCATTTCATACTCCAAATTTGGGTATATCCAACGCAAAAGACTTGTGTGGGTTCCTCTAAGCCCCATATAAAAGTTATTGTACTTAAACCTATCCCCTCCCCGGTTGATTGTGTACTGGATAGAAAGAACTGAATATTGAAATTTGGCGTTTTTTTCACCTTCTGCTCCTCAATGAATAGGGTTTTGTCTTGCAAAGCCCATATTCCATCCACCTTCAACGGCATGTGTGCACGTGGAATTCAGGTCACATCCTCACAGCACACTTCGTTAAAAATGTGAACACGAAGCACAATCCCCGTCAATAAGTTGAACTGCAACTCAACTGAAGTGTCCGAATCAAATTATAAACAAAGACGCAAATAGGACAGGTGTTTGAGCAAGTTAAAGTACTCCATGAATTCTTCTCACCACGTTCACTGCCAATTTCAAAGGCGAGTCGGCTGCCGAATTCTCAATGTTTTGCTGCTTGATTTATAGCCGATAAAGCTTGAAAAAAAGAACAACTCATCGCCTCACCGTCACAACCTCGACCAATTTGTTCGCGACACGCAATTTTGTATGGCCACTGGCATAGACTGATAAACACGGGCCAAACAACGCATGCCGCTGATAGCAGACGTATGAAGTGATTATGATAGAGGTGTAATAAGGTTGGTAGGCGCCGTCTTTATCGTTCCGGATTAGTTCCGCGTCAGTTCGACCGAGAGCAGATCACGTCCACCATGGAGGGAGACTATTTTTTTGTTTCGACTTTTTGGAAAAGAAACCGCATCCCAATGGGTTTCAACTTTACCAAATTGACTATTTTCGGCAAATCCCCCTTTAAATACAAGAGCAATAAAATGAATGAGATTGAACTAAGGACCCGCCCTGGCTTCAAGTATACGTAACATGACAAAGTAACCTGTCTGATTACGAGGTTCGGTCAGATAAAGGCAGGATTTTTAAGGAGACGTTAACAGCTATCACCCAAAAAAATGAATAAACTTGATGACTAAAACACGTCTGTTTCAAAAAAAAGTTAGGTTTCTGGAGTCTTACATGCGAGTTCCTGGAGTGTAGATGCAGTAAGTGCGATCAGCAACGCGTAAAAATGCTCCAGAATAGCCACGATATTGAACATACCCAGAAAACCAAACTGGATCCTCGCTATATGTCACCGATACTTTAAACAGCCATATATACATACCAAGTTATTAAAGGAACTTGCACGGCTTCCGATGGAGTTCGTGAGGAAGTCTCATATGGCGACTGAATCTGGTGGAGACCATTTGAACCCGCCTGTGCCTGCAGTAACGCTAAGCTTTTAAGGCTACCGATGTATTACTCAGCATTTGATCCTAAAAAACGTCCACTCCGTCAAATTGTTCGCTGACTAATTGACAGACTGAACAGTGATGAGAAATGATGAATGAAAATGCCCTTAATTGCCCCAAACCATCCACTCAAACCACACATCTAGGATGCGCACAGTTTCATTCCCAAAAGACCTATTTTTGGGCAAGAAACAAAGGTAAATAGAGCCGGATCTTCCACACGGCTTCCAAAGATAAAACGTTGAATAGAAGAGGAATTCGCAGTAAGGGTATGCTGTGTTGAGAAAGGATGAGAGATAGACCATAACGGTGATTATATCCACCAGTAAAATGGTAGAAGAAGCTCCTTGCATTTCTCTTATTTCTGTTACAAAAAGTGTAACAGAAATGAAGCCCACGATTACAAATTGCTAATCATTTACGAGGTAGCCAACCACTAAAAGTGTAAATCTTGCTGTTCTCTCAGTAATATAAAAAGGTGCTTTCGGTTAAAAAAATTCATTTGGAAATTATAACGGCTTGAAGGAAGAGGAATTGTAGGCTTTGCTAGTTAATTTAAGGGCGGACGAAAACCGATGGAATGAATGAGAAGGGACGGCATAATTTACCCTAAACTATTCCACTTGAAGATTTGACTTATTGAAATTTTTGGAAACCCATTTGTAAGTGCGACAAAATCCGAATCCACAAATTCAACCTTCCTGACATTTGATAGGAAGTCAGCGCTCATTCACGGGGTCATGACATTTGATAGGACCTCACTTTCAGAGTAAATATTCTCGTGATGGCTTCACTGAGGGAGCACACAAAATCCAACTGACAAATAGTGATGACCGGCCATTAGATCTTGCCAAGTTCCTAAGGCAGCATTCTGGAGGTTACCTTCAAGCTGGAAAAGGACGTTTCCTTGAAAGAGGATCACTTCTCACCCATGAGTTGCGTTAACAGGCAGAATGTATCTCTCACTTTGAATATTGCTTCGCCAATTTCACAAAGTAGCCTAGCAGTTTCCGAGGCTTCTGGAAGAGAAGTGCTTGTCATTTTCGAAATGGCGGTAAGATCAGCATTACATTTAGAGAAGAGCACAAACACACGAGGGAGACCACGGACTCGCTTTAATTGCTTTACAGGTGTTAAATCAGTGCATTCAGATCGAGCACCGAACAAAATGTGTTACTCAAAAGTCTGTTTTCAGACGCTCCCGACCATAGGGGTTGTATCCAACGCTTAGCCTTACAGCTCATTTCGCATAGTCACTGGGAAGGAGAGAGGTCCTTGCATTACGGCTTCTTTTGATTTACAGTATGTAGGAATCTGACTTAATTGTAAGCGTAACTACTCCGGAGGCGGCGCTGGAAACGTACACTGTGCAGCTCGGCCACAATGCGAGGGATGAATGAAAAGCATTAACACAGTGGAACGTAGTAAACATCACTTTTGCCGTAATCGTAGATGCCTGCGTCATTTGCATCTAATTGCACAATTAACAAAGTGCGAAACGCCTGACTGCCTTAAGCACACTGCCTGATGGGTTGACATTTCACTGGCACGCATTTCGCTAATGACACCTCTTGTTGTGTTTGCCTACCTTTTGAATGGTTGCTTTTTTTGAGACAACGGGGGAGTGTGTCAGTAGGTACCCATAGGAGGCAACAAAGAAGACGACAGAACTGCCTAGCTTGCAAGGGTGTGACGGTTGAAAAAAAACTTCGGCGCTTCGAGAAAGTTCGTTTTGATAAACGATCCAACAATTAAAAAAAAAGTTTAGATGTGAAGGAGGTAAAGGCAGTTATGGTTGAGGCGCGAATTAGCGGCAGGTTTTCTGACTTGGTACAATTAAAATGAACACTTGTGAATGGGCTTAAAAGCCACTGCAACGAAATGGTTAATATCAAGAATTGGCGAGACTAACATTCCAACAAAATAGGAATAAAGGAATTGGCTAGGAAAAACAAATTGTAAGCATTTCGAACGTAATCCCGAAGACAAAACTATTATGATATAAAGACGAACAATTTAAAAACACCCGGTGATAAATGTGGTTGGTAAAACACAGGTCAAAACCGCATTACCACTTACGAAAAGCGCGTGGTGTACGGTCAGCGGTCTATTTTTGACCAGAACTACTCAGTGTGGCTGCATGGCCTGGGTTGTTCAACCACCCGGTACAGGAGGTGAGTGTCTACTGCAAGCTGCTGGGGTTGTCTGCAAATCTAAAAGCATGTTCCTATTCGACTTTCTAGAAGTTTTCAACAGATGGTCAGTCCCCCCCCCCCGCCTTGATTGGGTCATATCACGGATAGATGTACCTTAAGTACACCAATAATCACTCTAAGGACGAGGCTAGCCAGCTGCTATAGTCATACCTAACGAAAATAATGGCGCGACACCAGGGCAGGCTCTACGCCCTAGCCACCATCAGCGTTACGCCCTCGCCGTACGTGGCCAATAGGGACGTCCGTACTTAAGGCTTTTCCATTGATTGTCTGATTAGGGGCTCCATAGGGCTCAACCCCACGCACAGCCACAATAGAAGCCATTGGAAGAAATGAGAATAAAGGCAGTGCATGACTGTACTGTTATTGGTAAGCCGATTTAAAAGTGCTTGGAAAAGAGGCCTTAATCTTTCATCCAGTGCGCCCGTCAGAAAGCTTTGGTGAATCAAGTGACGACCAAATTGTTTGACCATTTAGTACGAAGAGTGCTAGCAGTAGCAACAACAAACTTCAAAAATGCTCCCCGAGTCTTTATCGTTGGCGGTCAACATAAAGTCACCACATGCTTTGGTTAGCTAGAAAACATTTGTTCGGAAAAAGGCAACAATCGAGCAAATCTTTGAGTCAAGACGTGACATTTATGTAACAAAAAAACGAGGGGACACATCATCGTTTAACTCGACCTTTTGCCTGTTGGGCAGGACCTTCGTAGAAGATGGCACATTTTTGCAGACCAAAATTCGTCAGAACATTTGAATGGAAAGACTGAAAGAGGTGGAAGGAGATCTACAACACGTATTATAAAACATGGCTAGTTAATTAAGGCCAGTATAAGATGATTTTTGAGGATGAATTGACTTGGAAGCTAATAGCAACGTCAACGATAACGTCAGCAACACTGGCTTTGCTCTCTGAAAATTAACCAACTTTTTAATATCAAACTGAGCTGCTTACTTTTGGGGGTCGCTAAACATGAAGTCGGAGTTTGGAGAGCAGTAAGTACCAAAGCCCATAATCTCGCACAGTTCGAATTGATAGCTATTCTAGGGGTGAATTACATTCTCTGTTTCAGACACACGTTTTCGTTCGTGCTTAGGCATGGAATCGTTTCTACCGGAGGAGTAATTGTGTGAAAAAATGGAAGAGGAAATCCTATCCTGGTGAACAAAGCCTCGGAGCTATGGCGAGCTAGCAGTGAACCGTCAAAGTATCGAATCCTACCGAAAAACTGCCTCCGAGGTACTACTCAAGCTAGGTTGGACGAAATGCTAGAACGCGATTCGGACTCAAAAATGCCCTATTGAGGCCTGCTTAGTGAAAGGTAATATGGCCAGTTATAATTGAGAAAGGCAGATCCTTAAAGCGATTAAGCAGACGAAATGATGAAGATTTTTAAGGGTAAGACGTCAAAAACAGTTTGTAAGGACAACTTAGTCCTCTTCTACACATGCTGCCCCTCAACCTCGGCTCATTAGCCTACCACTAGTGCTCTCTCTAGAACATTGGAAAAAACCTCTCCTGAGTTAGTCATCCCACTTCGCATAAACCAGTCTCTGTTGTCAGTAGTTGAAGTACTAACACTACTTAATTGGTTGCTGCATTGTGAGTGGTTTGATAGATGACATAGTTTCTACTCAAAACCAGATATTGCACATTCGCTGCCTTAATACGATAATGCTAACTACTATACACAGTTAGCAAAGTTTCCCTAAGATGGAGCTGGTAGTTGCTGGTTCAAACAAACTACGCTCGACCGATTGTCTCATTGCACTAGTGAACAAGGGCAATTTATACGAAACAAATATTTACTAGCGAATGGTCCAATACTTCGGAATGAAGTGGACAGCGAAATATCGGCGAAGTAAGTGAGAAAGAGGGCAAGCAAAGAAATTTTGGTGCAGGCTAACCTTGGCATATATGCTGGCAGCGCTGACAATGGGGTAGGTGGCATCAGCCTTGCTCTCCACCACAATCTTCAGCTCAGGGAAGATGGAACTAAGGTAGGCCTGGTAAACCCCAGCCTTTCCAACCGTGTCCACATAGACCTACAGAGTGGGTTGGAGGAATGAGACAACGGGTGGCGATTGGCATGGAGGCTTTGGAGACTATGAAAACCAGGATTGCCCTTAAGAAACTCGGCTCTTTATACCTGTTTAACTATCGCACCAATCATTCTTCTACAACGCAATTTTCAACCACAACACCATTCTGTGCTCCACGCATCAGCTTAGCCTGAACAAGTGAATGAAAAGGCGATCGAAGCTAGAACAGACTGTGATTGAAACAGCGAATGACAGGAGCTCTAAAATGTCCACTACTGGAGTCACACATATGCGACGCCCTGATTTTCTTGCCTGAGTTCAGGGTCACAAATGTGTCATAGATGTTCTTTGCCTGTTTACGATAACACAGGTTGAATCAAACAACAGTCACATTACTTAAAAAATTCCAATTATAAAAAAATTGATTTAATCGAAAAACCGTACCTCCTTTAGGTTCACACCTTGGTTAATTGCTGACCGAATGAGACCAATTGCCGCATTCTGTGAGATGACATTGAGACTGATCTTCTGGCTGAAGTGGAGTGTAACAAGGCCACGAAATCCATATGTTAGCCTCTTAAATCAGTGGTGTATTTTAGGTGCGTTACCTGCTAAGCATCTTCTCCGTGATCTCCATAGGGGAAATAGCGTGGATGGTGTAAGCAATCCAGTCACCTTCATTGAGCATTTGTTTTAACAACTCCTCGCGTTTCCCTTCAGTCAACTGCTTAGAATCTGACCCAACTGTAGAAATATGGGAATTAATTATCACCTGCTAGACCCATTTCCTTCAAGGCGGGATTTTTGCCTAACGGCGCCACGGCGCATGCATAGAGCATCGGACCTGAAAGAAAAATTTCATAACGTCTACTGGCTAAAAGCAAGTAGCAATTTTCTTAGAAAAATTACCGAGCACGGGACCTCTCCCCGCCTCGTCGATACCGAGCATGCAGGGAGCGAGTCGATTGGCCTCTGAAAGGAGATCTATGGAGGAGTTGATGAGGGATGCGCCGCCTTCCGCGAGGCACGCGCTAAGGGAACTCTGATATCGACATGCCCATGGTGACGGTGATGGTGAGTCGTCATTGTCTTCTACACGGACTACATCCTCCTCCTCCTCTGCTGGGTTAACGACATTGGCATTCGCAGCCTCCTCATCTAAGCGCATAGCTAGAAAGAAGTAGAAAAACTAATGAGGACGAATGACTACCTTTTCGAAAGAATAGTGCGGAAGGGCTGTGGTTGAACGGTTTAACACCCAGGAAAAAGTAGCAATAAACTACACATAGCCGTAATTGGAGTTTGGTAAAACGAGTTACCAAGCATCCATGTTCAAAAGGTCCACTGAGAGTTTTATTCAACAAAGTGGGAAACTAAAACCAGATAAATTTAATTAGAATAAATGCAATCACTTCCCAGGAGTTAACGACTTATGAAATTGTAGTAGAAATGGTCTTTTGGTCAAGAATGACATCGCCTATAAAGGTAGATTAATGCCTAGAGTAATGGTCTTCAATGACCATTAGAAACAGTCAAAAATCGTTCAGCATACTACAGGAGAGAGTGCACCAAGAAGTCAGTATTCCATTTCAAACGAGAATAGCAAACCGACATCCCACAAAGCGTGTCAAGACATCAGGACACCTTGAGTTCCATGCGTTCACATCAAGCCGCTGTCGACGCTTCGGAATAAGGCAGATAGTAAGGCAGGTACCGTGAATTCAATGGACTTCCTACTCTGATTTAATCCCTATCACTTTGCACTATTGAAGAACCAGATATTGCAAATTCTTTACCCTTGCTTGGATTGTAAAGATGAACGAGACCACTCTGAGATGAAGTAACTATCAAAACTCCTTGATCAACAATTTGAGACATTTGAGGCCTCACAGGCAACATTGAGGTTGATTTGCAAGTAAAGTTCAATTAAAATCGTAAATGTGTACTAAAACATCGACTCTGGAGCCCAGAATCCCAGAGATCAGCGAAAAATTCATTACTTTTTAGCGCAGGGAGGAGGGTGAACCAACGGTTTTTCGCCTGATTCCACAACAAGATTTTCAGTGCTAGCAAAAAACAGTAGCAACAGCGATAGCAGAACACACCCAAAGCAGACAAATGTGAACAAGAATTACCAGTAAAAGGAATTGTAAATACATCTTAAACGGAGTCTAGGTCGGCCGTACATGTACAAGGGAGGGGGAGGTAGAAAGGGGTGGGAGGCTAGGGAGGAGGCAAGGGTGAGGGTGGATTGTCCCAAAGATTTGCTTCGCGCATCTTTCGCGTGAAGAGAGCATCGAGGGAGGCGACATGACGGTAGAGGTCTGAGTCGGGGTGGTTGTAAGTTCGACAGTTGTGGAACATTCGTCGCATGTCAGCAATGAAGAGGTCCACGTGGGTGTAGTACCGACTTCGCAGGCGCTCCGTCATTGTGCGCAAATCTGATCAGAAAAATCAGAGCAGTTGGATGAAAATGGAGACTTCCGTGTCTCTAGCAGTTGGCTACGCAAGTCTTAAATCCCTCACATTTCCACCTCCATGCTGGTAGTAAGAGACTCTGTTCATGTCCCACTTGGCCCCTTCTACTCGTTTATAGTACATGCCAGGCACCATATTGGCAGAAGCACCGGTGAATCCACCCTGAATAAGACAGATCACCTTGTCAACATCGCGTCGACCCGGCAAATACTCAAATCTCGAGCCCTCTAATGACGACTAGCAATTAATCAGGGTTAGGGTTTAAGACAACAAAATTTCCTTTAGAGAACTGGCTGCCGTAATCAGTAATCAGTATTTGAGACCACGACACCCCTCTTTCCGCATTCCTTTTAGACAAACTTTCCTATGAAAAGAGATTAAACTGCAGGAAGTGATTGCTATAGAACATCTTCCAGTCCTAAGCACCACTTTTCACATAAATTCCCCTTTAGCGCGATCCACCGTAAGTACGTGACATTTATAAATATCCGCCTGAATCTATGACGCATTCTCGATATGGGTCAAAGGCATCATTTCAGCTGCGTTCACATTGCCCAGCCGATTACAGTTGGCAGGAAAAGCTGTAGCGATCAAATTTGAGGAGTAGCTACTGAAGCGCTGGTTACGACCCTCAAAAATGAGAGGACTAGATAGAAGAATGTTTGCCCTAATCTCACATTCGCCTACGTGAATCCTTTCAACCCCTTCTATATGCTTGTAAAAAGCCACTTCCTGGCTAGTACCCTCTCATTACGCTTTTAGTGGTAAATTACGTGCTGTGAAGCCTTCAATATCCTAAAAGGGAAGATTTACCTAAGTTTCATGCATGCATGTGTCTGCCGGGCTACAAATAATCGGTAGCACCTACTTGTTCTTGGCGTTAAATACCCAATTTCCTTTAGTGGCAGACTTGAGAATACAAAACCCACGCAACTTCACTTAAGCTATTCTTAGTTTTGTTCATTCGTGAACTGCCGTTTGCGAATCAGTTATCAATTCAAGCTTTGTTGTGGAACTAGCTTGTAACATCAACAACTAAAACGTTTGACTAGTGAATGCACACGGAAGATTTTGCAAGTACTTCGCTAAGTTAAACCAATCCATCCGATTAGCATAACTCTAAAGGGCCTCACTAAAATTATCCACTTTGGCAAGTGGATCTACTGCGGATCGTCTGCCGGAATGGTAAGTCGAGTGTTTAAAAATAGCTAAAAATGAATTTTTACATTTCCGTGACCCAAAAAAGGCGGTAAATTTTATGACGCCAATCTGCTCAAAAAACTATCAAGGGGTGAGAAAAAGACGTTAACAGAAGAGAGAAGTCGCGCCTCAAAACTGTCTTAGAGCGCAATTGAAAGGTATCCTTTAGAATGGGGCTATGATTGACTAAACACTGTTGAAAAAAAAAATAAAATTAAACGATTTCCTTACGTGAATAAGCTACTCTCCAGCACAATTATGAGTACTTTCCGACACTAGTAAGGTATCGGGTACTATGGATTATTACTGATCAAACTGCCAAGAGAGACAGCAATGCTACTCTGCCGCCAAGTAACCAAGTAGTCCTTCTGAAAGCCGATTCTTTAGGTTTTCGTACCATTATACATCGTACACCCACCTCACATGACACAAATACTATCTTTACCTCGAAACATCAAGAGTTGAAATTATTCACAGCAACGACAATTAAGAACCTGGTTCTCCAAGTACATAAAATCGTGACGGATCGAGTCTTGTGGTTTGTGCAGCTGGTGTAGCTTGCTTCTATATTCTATGAAATAGCTTCAAGTTATGGACTAAAAGGATTTCGAAGCAAAAAAGGAAAAATAGGCAAGAGCCACCCACCGATAGGAAAAGTGATGATGCTGAAGTACCCAGGAGCCTCAGCAGCAGTGACTGGAGCAAGAAAAGGACCGGCAAACTTGTGTGCCTTCACGGCTTCGAGGACAGGACGAAGGCGTTCTGCCAGGGCATCTACGGATTCGTTGAAGAGTCGCATCTCCTCCCTCTGTCGCGCTTTCTCTACTAATGTCGGTGCCGTCGATGTTGTTGCCACCAGTGGTGGAGAGGATCGGGAAGTAAACGCAGGGACTTGATTATCATTTACGTGGGTCGATTTTCTAGAAAAAAGGGACGCCAAAAGAAGAAACATGAAAAATCCCGTACCTTATCACACGAGTAAGTTAGAGTGAAAGTTAAAGTGGCTTAAACGGTGTTGCCGAGTGAAATAAGTCACGGGGGATTGAAAGCGGCTACATCGAAAGCAGTGGAAGAGGCAGTAGCGGCAGTAAGGGGGAACAGGGGAATAAAATAACTCACATGTTGGCCTCCTCATATGTTATCGAATCGCTTCTAAATAAAGTGATTGTGAAAAGCATGACCTCAAACATGACGACCGTAAAGAAAATAAATTGTAATCCATTAAGACTAAGACAGCCACCTTCCAATCAGAGGTAGCGTTTAAACTGTTTATTCGATATCCGGAGGCAATCAGTCTCTGATTCATCCACTAAAATATTCTCAATAATACTAGTGTCCTGGCAAGTCATCTTGAGATAATAAGCAGGCTTCCATTGTGACACTTAATGGGTCACCAAGATGGTTATTTGAGTCGAAATCGCTCAAAATTAAACTTTCAAGAGTAGTTCAAGCGTCAAGCATTCGTCGCTTCACAAATTCGTTACCACTGCTGCATTTGGAACGAAATGCTGCAAAGAACGCGCCAAATTTTTCAGTATTAAAGGTAAAAATGACTGCATTCTTTGATTGCTGGGGTATTGTGTGAAATGCGTGGTCAAATAGCAAGCAAGAAATATTAACTGACTGATGATATTTAAAATCTAAGTCGAGTTACTATAGGATTGCTAGAAGGCATTTGCACAGATTCAAAGGCAAACGGCCGCAGAAGTGCATAGCAGTAAGAACGAAGAAACACTTAAAATCGGCTTAAATTTCACTGCTTGGAACTAAAAATAAAACCTATCATCTGATCAATTCAGTTAAACAAGCAGGAATCGTGATTCCGCCTACCCAGAACTAGCCCTTGTGCGTCTGGCAATCGTATCATCGTCAGTACTATCATTGCCACCACGAGAAGTAGACACAGAGAGCCTTGTCCGTCGACAGCTTGGCTGCCTGACCTGCGCAGGTGGCGGTGGTGGCAACTGCGGGGGTAGGAGGCCCTCTTCCCCCTCGAGGGGGGGAGACTGAGGAGTTACCTGAATGCTCAGAGGCTCGCTGGCACTAGCGGCCTCCCCCAATGCCATTGCTGCTTCCGTTGCCGGTGTTTCTCCTGGAGTCGTTGCAGAAGTGTCTACGCAAACGGTGGTGGTAGTGCCAGTCTCGGGAGCAGTAACAGTCACATCTGTCGCCGTTGCCGTCTTCTCGTCATTCTCTTCGTCCGTGGGATCAGATGGTCTCCAACCAGCCTCCACGAGGCCAGGAATGGAGGAGAGGGGTATGGGGCCTAGTCGAAACTGAGAATTCGGAATGCCCGGGTAGACTGTCTCTAGGGCGCGCTTTCGACGATCAATAATGCGAGTGATTATCTAGAGCGACGAGGAGAAATCTAAGGACTGTTACTCAGTATTCAAAGTAAGAATTGGCAAAAGTTGCGTCCAGGTTTTTGCATCATAACCGTATCATGTCGCACGCCCATGTCATAATCCTAGCCTTTGAATCCGTAGGTACATTTGCAGCATAGCTTCCTCAAGCGCTGCAGCCTTATGACAGGTTTAAAGAACATTTGAACGCCCCACGTTGAAACTCGATCTAAACTTCAAGACAAGAATTAAGGCAAAAATTCGAAACATGGGCGTTACAAGGCCGGTGATATCACGATTTCTGGAAATAAGATTTGAACCACTTTTGCTGGCCAAAATTTATTGTTTTTAAAATAATATTGAGAAAAGGTTGCCAAGGATGATGAAGAATGAAAATCGATTAAAGCAGAGATAGAGATAGCTAAACACTGCCCAGTATTTCAAATGCATTCACTTTAGCCTCAGGTCAGTGTAGTTGCGTAGCAAAAAAATACCATCCTCAACATGGAAATGTTGCCCAAGCGTAGTAGAGTATTGCTAATTTTGGTGTGCCCACAACCGCCTATTTATATCTGGACAATCTGTGTAGTTACCGCGAAACCCACCACAGGGAAAAACCAAAAGCGGATACTGGCGCCGTGAGTAAGAGTATAGACTCACCTCACGCTGACGGCTAATGACCTCGGAGAACTGTTTGTACACCACGTTGGGATAGAGCTCACAGCCCATGAGAGTGGCGCCCTCGTATTCCTTAATGTAGCCCTGATAGGCTTGGCGGGGCAGGCGAATTTCCCGCGAAAACCCTTGCTTTCGAAAGTAGCCCGTCGCGAAGGCGTCTGCATAGGTGAGGAAGTGGTAAACTCCATGCTGCGTATGGTAGTCTTTCAAGTGGTTCATCATCTGTGTCCCATAGCCCTTTTCACGAAAATAGTGGTAAAGCAGTACGGGGTACGATTTCCATGTGGAAATACGAGGCGGTTTCGCAAGCTCACCTTAACCTGCTCATTGAATATCACGGCGCAGAAGACGATCTCAGAAAAGCCCTGGGAGGGGAACATTCGGAAGGTAATTCCGCCAATTGCATGACGATCCCCATTCTCAGAAACCTTCAACAGAACCTGATTTTTGTGCTTTCTACGAAAAAAGTAGTGAAGACAGTCAGTGCAATGTGACAGTTGATGGAATCAAGAAACACAAGCATTAGGGACGTCTCATTCATCTGAGATATCTATTTAGTCTAACGTAATTTTGTTGTGAAACATTTCTACCCTCCCAAAAATAAGTTAACATAATGGTCCTAGTCTCGTTCCCTCAGCGAGTTTATGACAGTATTGCCGAGCTACCAACAGCTCTTCGCCTGTCGAAAGACATGTCAAAGTCACACAGAAGGCATTTACTGTAGATAAATGAATCTGCTCGGAACCACAACAGGAAGGCTATTGAAGTCGTTGTGACACTTAGTCGGAACCCCAGTCCCCAGTTCTACCAAAGGACCAGAAATGAAGAGTCGCCAAAGTGGAACAAATGGAGACCGCTCATAAGGGAGGCGCTTAGGATATCCGGAAACTATTAAACATGAGCATGACCTGAAGACGATGTACTTTTTTTGTTACAAGAAAGTGGGAGTAAATTCGACGGGCTACTGGTCAACATGGAAACAAAGATGGCTTGACAAAAAGGGATAAATAGGGAACATACCATTATAAAGCTACCTTATATAATTCACAAAATAGTTTCGCTTTATTCCTTCAAAAAGTGACTGGTATGCGAAATGCTTCAATGAATACATGACAAATAAAGCTCCAGAATGTAATTCGCAAACGGAACTGTCGTTGCATTCGAAACACTTCTCGACGTATGACATCTGTTTCCACCTCACGGTCAGATATGTCTAGATGGGCCAAGCAAGAACGTGATCATAAGGAACGCCAAGGAAGACGGGGAAAAGAGATCTGTGAAACAATGATATTAATTTCACTTACGTATAATTGAATATGTAAAGCTTTTCAGCCACCTGCGAAACGTTCACGGCCCTGATGACATGCAGTCTACCTACGCTGTCAGTTCCAGCCCTTTACTCATCGATAATAGAGCCTTAAAACGAATTCAGGGAAAACTCATGTACCACGAGAAACCAATGTAAAAGCTAACGTACGGATCAAAGACGAGACGGGTGATGTACTCCTTAGGCATGCGGGGCAGTTGAATGGCAAAGACATTGAGAAGCTCCAAAAGCCAAATGTACGTAGAGGGCTCCTGCTGCTGACTCAAACTGTTACTCACTACGTGAAATTCAATCGTACCCGCAGATTCCTCCCTTCGCGCGGCTGCGTCACGAGTCGCCAAGAACGAGCGCAACTGCATCCAAACAGTAAGACAAAGTGGTAAGGAGGGAAATTAAAAATGAAGTAAAAGGAAAGAGAGCAACCCCATACAGTTGGAGAGGGCAGTAGATTCCGCCCAAGACTCTGTTCTGCGTCCAGCTCCTTTACCACCTCTTCCAATTCTCGTGGACTTATTTCTCCCGCGATGGAGGATGAGGGGGAGAACTCGCAACGCAATCGCTTGGCCGGCGGAGTAGAAGCTCCACTGGGCGCAGTAGAGTCATACTCCAAGGGTCGACGAAGGCCAAATAGGGATGTGTTAAGCATTTTCGTGGTGCTTCTCGTTGGATAGAATGAGTTTTCAACCATTGCCTGGTTTTTTATCCTCAAACCGGATCTACGCTTCGGGGTAGTGAAAAGGTCATCTTCCACCTCCGCATCCTCTTTATCCACCTTTAAGGTGACGTTCTGAGACTCATCCTCTTCCCCCTCCTCCTCTTCCATATCTGTATTGGCCACTTTGCAGTCAACAAAGACAGCGGTGGGGTTGGAGAGGATTCCAGACTCCTCCAGCTTTCCAGAGGCTGAAAATGGTCTGAAAAATGGGTCCCAAATAGGGGAGTTGGGGAGACGAGCCTCACGCTCTAGCTCTGAAATAAATGCAGAGAGTTCCGACTGCAGTTTAGTCTTCTCCTCACGTACTTTCTCCAAGAGACCCGACTTTAGTTCTGGGAGGAGGGCGAGAAAGAAGTTCTTACCAAAGGCGGCTGTGGGTTCAAAGTAGGGAAAGGTTGTACAGAAGAGGGGGATGTAACAGTGGCACATCCAACGCATGTAAATCAGCCTGTAGCCAGTGAGGTTTTCATTCTTCTGTTTGCGGTGCTTTGGCGCCTGCAATCGGTGACCGTTGAGGTAGGTGAGAACCAGACGACCAGCATCAACGTAGATAAGAGCTTCACTAGGAGTGATGGAGAGTTTTTGGATGATGAGATTGCGCACTGCAGTGGAGATACTAGGCCGTTCAAAGGGAGGCAGATCGTCCACCTGAGGGTGAGTCCGATTAGCTAAAGCCTTTCGCAAGCGCTTGAGCATGCAGAAGTATAACTGGCGGGTCTCCAGGTCTTCCTCGTTGGAACAGAGGAGGAAGAGTGTTTCAAGATCTTCTACCATCTGCACTGCAAGATCTTCAATCCAACTAGAGAACTCAGGAGAGCTGCTGTCGCCACAATGATGGTGATCGCAGAGTGCACAGCGGTAAGTATCCTCGCCATTGTCACAGGGTTTCCAACTCGCACATTTACAATCCAATTGCTAGTTTTTTTCAAAAACAGTTGAAAATAAAGCAAGCAGTTAAATCCAGCCAGTAACCAACGGCTACTAGCCTAAAACGAACTAGATTTGACAGTGGACAATTATTTGTACCAACGAAATAACAGATTAGGTTGAAAACAATTTTCAGGCCATGAGCACAGAAAATGCCACTAAAGAGGCATAGTACACTTGATAATTAATGTACAGGACAACCCTAAGCCAAGCGAAATTGGCTCAAGAAGGGCAATGAACATAAAGTAAATGTGAGAGACATTGTATAGCCTCATTAACTGCGAAGACCATTAGGCGTGTTTAGACCCAGCTAGGACTCAATTTCATTAATCACGCTACAGATTAACACAGTAATGTTGGGGCACGCATTCTAACTTGTGAATTAATGCTGTTAAGTAGGCACAATCAAAAGCTTAGTGTAAAAAACACTTACTTGACAAGGAATGTAAGGCATGACCTTAGGCACCTTTTCTTCAGCCGTCAGTGATGAAATATACTTTCTCCGCTCAAATAACATATTTCTTTTGTTTGTAAATGAGGCCATTCCATACACCAAAAACGCCAATTATTCCAATTATTCAACAGACCTCCTGGACGGCAACCGATTAAAACAAACCAGGAGAAATGTGCGATAAAAATAATTTAGCTTGAAGATTACTGCTAGATTCACCCATGATTCTTGTTACTGCGATTCAGTCGCAGCTGATTAGTTGGACAATTTCCTTAAGTTAATTAGGTAAACGATTTGTTACTAGGCCATAGTATTTATCGTCTGAAGTGGATAAGCGCACTTTAGCCGCGATTTTTACAACGGCTTTCCTAACGTATAAGAGTATGTAAGCATAGGTTTTTGAACAAGGTGGCAGATACTACATATCAAATTGATGCCCTTCACTCAAACGTAGACCAGGCCATTAATATCTGACGAACAGCTCTTGGGACGTCATGTCTTTTGCCAACCTTTAGTAAGCATTCGCAAGGTATCTGTGATAATAAAAACTACAATTCTCTCACTGAGAATAGGGAAAAAGTGGTGAAGCCTCTCAAGCCCCCTCCCCCTCTGTGGTCGTAAGGAGCCGATGTAATAAGGGAATTACACATTGCAAGTAGGCCAAATGGCTAGATAGCTCGTAAAATGACCTAATGTAGCGTCTCGGCCGCCACGAGTCCTCGCCATTGCGCCTATGTAGGGGAGGGGGCTGGCCTCCGTGACATGCCAGTAGCCCCAACCCATTCTGTACTTCTAATATGCACGCATATTCTGTCCAAGTATCGTGTCATTCTCGGTCTTCACGGATGTCTTGGGGCGTCGAAATACTGCTTGCAGAAACTTAAGTAGCTTTATAAGCAAATAAAGCACAAAACGGCAACAAAGCAGTAAATTTCCATTTCACTAATAGTATGCCTACCAAAAAGAGCAAAAATTTACCAACTTTTGTGGATTCTTTAAATTTCAAACTAAGCTGGGCACAATTTCTATGATATAGAATTGCTGCCGTATCGCCTACCTAGCTTCCATTCCCGAACATATAATCGCAAGAAGATTGAACTATTGAGGACACGGTCTACTGTTTAAACGAAAAAAAACACAATTGGTGGGAATTCTACTTAAAATTAAAATTCGGGTTCCCACCAGTGGTCGACGATATTACCCAGACCAGTAGGATCGACGAAATCAACTGTGAAGGTGAAGTCAAACGAATGTCTGCCGCAGTAAAATCCATTCATACAAAAAGTCCGGGCTTACACACCGTACTATGTTGAGTAGGTTTCACAGGCGAATAGCCTTTTCGGCAAAATAAATATAGCACAAGATTTTCTTACAAAAATGAGACACGGACACGTTCTCAGTAGTGATCAGAAATTTCACCGAGATAAAAAAATAATGGAAAACTGTGTTTGTTTCTAACTTGCCCTTAAACTCTCTTACGTATTCTATTATTCTTGCAGCGCAACGAATACGCGTCAAGAACATTCTCGTTTATGTACTATGAACAGGATCTCTTTATTCTGAGTCAGATCGTGATTCTGGAGATGTAACCTAAGGAGAGGTAAAAATAAATTCTTTTGCAAAAAAAACTTATTTAACCGCAGCAAAGGAATATGAAAAATACAACGAAAACATTTCATTACAGCCGCGCATGTGCAATGCTTTGATTGTTAAACTCTCAGCTTAGGTAAAGGCCACTTTGTGTCTTGGCCACTGTACTGTAATACGATGGTGGTTTATCCCTCGGTAGTGGTGAGGCGCCAATTTTGTACTTTAAATTAGCCTTTTTGCACCTCGCTGGGTGGGCTAGCCTTCGGGCCATGCCAATAGCCCAAACAACTTCTCTGTGCTGAACATATATATGTATGTATTCTACCCGAGTTCTGTGTCTTATTTCGTCTTTAGGGAAGTCTTGGACGCTACAGTACGTTAGTTGTGTGGGCTGGCCTCTAGACCAAGCCAGTGACCTCAACCCCTTCTTTATTTTGAACATGTATGTTCTACTCTAGTGTTGTATCCTCTTTCGTTTTCAAAAAAGTTTCAAATTGTTACACTGGTGGTAGCGAAAATTAAACCCAATCTCAGAGTAGCTGACTCGATTATGGAGGTAAAAAGTGGGTGACATCAGTAAAATTAACATGGCAGAATCTAATTTGTAGTTCTGATAGGTCTTTTAAATTGGTTCATTATTATCACGGGCTGAAGAGACCAAGGCACTCTCAGCTTAAGTGCACTAGGGAAATTGTTGAGGCTTTCATTATTCGAGTTTTCAACTGAATGATTTGTCTACAAAGCAACTAGCTGAGAGGTAACTGGTGTAGAATAAAGACAAAATCGCTAGCTAAAGTGCAATATGTACAGATTTAAGTGCCCTTCTAGTCATACGCAGAGTTAAAACGTGAGTTTAGCATCCCATAACATCATATCGTTGTATCACATGTACACTATCGCTTAGCCATTGGATATTTTAATTTCAAGTAATATTACAACAAAACTATTACAATAAATGCGCATCTAGGGCAGGTAACGCGCTGTGAAAAAAGCTAGAGTTAAAAAGTTACGAATTGAAACAGTATTAAAATTCCTAAAAGTTGTTGCCTAGTATACTACCCTTGCCAGTGCCAGTTTTGCAAAAAGCCAAACAAACGTCACAACCTATGCCCTCATGATAAATCGGTGTCGTAATTTGTTGTGAAATTCCATTTTAGTTCATGGGGACTTTAAATGTATCACGCACTTTGTCGGCGCGCTTGTTGCTTTTGTCCGTGAAATCTTGCTTTGTAAGTTTTTTCGTCGGTTTTTGATGGTGTTCTTACATAATAGTAGCTTTTAAACGTAAAAACGCTCCTTTGTCTGCTACCTATGGGACCCTTTGTGAGATGATCCAGTTTTAAAAGTGGTAGGATAACCAACGACTCATGCTTCCGGCTTCGTCGTAGATGAGTCCACAGTAAGCTTGTCCACTATCGTGACTGGGTTACGTCGGTTAATCGCTGTGAATGCTTTAGTACTATAACCTTAAGATTGTTTCCTAGTGCCAATATATTTAGCTCTAAATCCCAGATTTTTTATATTCCGCGCCTGGCTTGCAACTGACATTTGTTGATGAGAATGCCGGTACGTTTATTTTGCGATTTAGATCCGATCGCTCATCTTTTTGTTTTTACCAAAGGTATCATGGCAGAAGAGCAAGAAGTAGTGGAAGTAAATTACGAAGAACAGTATAGGTATGCTCTTCTCAGAGAAGTGAATGTTAGTTTACCAATTACTCATTTTCGTAACTAAGCATTTTTCTTTCAGAATACTGTCAGAAGAGAATAAAAAACTCTCCATAGACATCGCTAGTTTACAACTCAGCAATAGGAGTTTGGTTAATCAAAATCGTGATGAAAAGAAAAAAGTTATGGATTGTCGCCTTCAAATTAGCGATTTAGAAAGTCGTTTGCGAACGCTAGATAGCATCAAGACTGAATTAACTGAAAGCCAAACTCAAGCTGAGCGTTTGCGTCAAAGTTTGGATGCTAACGAAACAAAATTGGCGGCTACCGAACGTCGGGCTACGGAGGCGGAGAGTCTTGTTAAGGTGGGCTCCATCGCTGCTCACTTTCGAAATACTTATTTGTAGGTAAAGGATAGCATTATTGAAAAGCAACGGAAATTTTCTAAAGAGCTGGAAGGGAAGGTTCAGAACCTCTCTGAGGAAGTGGAAGGTTTAAAATCGAAATGTGGTAAATTAGAGGTGACTTTAAGCGAGGCCTTGGATAGGGCGGATGAATGTGACCGTTTGCGTGAAAATGTGGCCGCGAAAACCGCGCTTCTGGACAAAATTGCCGAGTCGTAAGCCGTCTTCGCATTTCCTCCTAACGCGCTGCTCTTCGTTAGATCTGGGGGTGTAAGTGAAAGTGGTTTGGCTGCTGCCAATCAGTACTTTAAAGAACAGGAGGCTAAATTTGTCGAACAGTTGGCGGAAATGAAGCAGGCTAAAAGTGAGCTTGAAAGAAGCGTGAAGGACTTGACCGACGAACGCGATTCCCTTCAAGAGAAGGTGGGTGGTGTCTAGTCTTTCTTCAAAAATGTTGTGCATGTCTCAATTCTTGCTCTTTTTAGATTGAGAACCGGGATGCGGACATTGAAAGCTTGAGAGAGAAGTGTGCTAACTTGGAAGCATCGGTAAAGGAGTCGAAACACTCGGACAAGCGTACGAAGGGCGATATGGTAAGCTGTCTTCAGGTTTGTCCAAACTGCCTTTAGGCAAATAACCGCTTGATTGGGCCGTCGCTCCCACCGTGGATTCTAGAGGAGAAGAAACCTGATCCGAGTGAAATAGAAAAGCTTAATAATGCGGACCCGGCCACTCTCCGGGCTCGTGTACTTGATTTGGAGGGTAAAGTACACGAGCTTAATCAGCTTCTGACCTACCGAGAAGATGTCATCCTCCGAATTTACCAGGTAACGTTAACCGTTTATACTCCGAAGTCTTTGCACGCACTCTTCCTTTGTCAGTCGGCTCGGAACGTGAGTTTCGGCTTTTGCAGCAAAGGTAAACCAATCGGTAACTCTACGATGAACATTCGACTAACACATCCCTGTAGATTGGCATTACTGATTTCGGGTTTGTATCCAGATCACTTGTTATAATGGTCGAATTGTCGCTCAAATAGGAGATACAAAAGAAGGCCTCTCGACTAGAGGCGGCGGAAGTGGAACGATCCAGTCTTTCCGCTCAGGTCAGCATTCTTAAACGAGAACTCGCAACCTTGCGTGAGGATGGAGGGCTACGCGGTGGCGGTCGGCGTTATGACGGCTACCCACCCGAAATTGAGATTGAAATCGAACGACTTCGGGGTAAAAGGGACCGCGAGTACCAGCGGAGAAAGCGGGCGGAAGCAGAGATGGATGAGATGGAAGTGGAGTTGAATGAGGTGAAAGAAAAAATGAAGAAAGTGGAGGAGGAGTTGGCTGAGATAGCCAATGCCCCAAAACCGGTAAATTGTCATCCCCAAGTCATTTTGCTACTAGTAGGATTGAATGGGATTGTTAAAACCTAGAGCAGCCTATTTGTACCCAAATTTTGATCAGGAATTGCGTCTACCATTTAATATTTGCTATTTTTAACTGTCATCTTAGAATTTGTAGAATGATAGTGCGATTGTGACTTATAGCGCTAGCCTCGATTGTTTTTGCTACCAGGTTATTCACTCTGGCGACCCGGCTGATAAGGCTCGCATCACCGAGCTACAAACGGCAGTCAATCAGCTGCGCTTGGACAATGAAGCTAAGCGCTCAGAACTGTTTGATCTCAGGTCCCGTTTTGACGAAAAATCGGCCCAATTGGAGTCTTTCTCTTCAGAGGTATGTCCCCTAATCGACGTCCCCTTGACCTGGGTTCATCTCGCTATTGCTATTGCTGCTTATTAAATGGTAGAGGACTGATTTGGCGCCTTTTCTCCTTTAGATGAAGACAAGGGAGCGTCAGGTGAACGATCTGACGGCAGAGTTGACTACCAAGACGACCCAATTGGAGCAGGTGAACAAAGAGCTGGAGGCAGTGCGTCTTCGCGTGGTTCGTGGAGGCGTTGAGACGGAGCGCTGGCAGACCGATTTGAATAGTGTGCGGACCACCAATCGCTTTCTCGCTCAACAGACCAATGAACTGCGTCTCCGCCTTACCACTACCGAAGCCCAATTGATTGATGCTCAGAAACGCATCGTTTCTCTTTTAAAATCCAAAAGTAAATTTTAGTGGTCAGCATGAATTCTCCTTTTGAGTCTACTGTACCACTACTTTTTGTGCCTGCTTTAGGTGACGCACCACTGTGCAACGGAGTTACCGAAGACGACGAACTATTAGCTAAAGACAAAGAGATCGCAGACTTGAAGTCCAAGGTCACTGATATTGAATCACAACTTACCAAAGCGAAGGAAAATGTTGCTGATTTGGAGGCTTCCAGATCTGAGATTAACGAATTGAGAACTAAGTGCGCTGCTCTGACGGTCGAGCTTGAGTCTGAAAAGCATCGCGTCAACTCAGAAACAGTAAGTCTTTTCTTTGCATTGTTGTTTATTGTTTTTTTGCGGTCCCATAAATATTGGATAGTTGATTTGTTTATTCACCTTAGATACAAAATTCTGACGACACACACCGAATTACACAGCTACTGTCCGACCTGAAGAAGGAGCACCAGTCATCCACTGCGTACGCTGAACGTTGCACAGAACTGACGAAACAGTTGACTGAGCTGGAGTCGACTCTGGCTGAGACTCGTGAACGGTTGAACGAGGCGACGAGTGAGAATCGACGCGCTGATTTGGAGCAGGCTGCTGCCCATGCGGTCGGCGCATCCTCTCCTCCGGCGAAACGGGTTAGGCGAACCCGTTCCAGCAACGCAAACGTTCCTGCTGCCGTCTCTCAGGTAACTATCTAACTCTCCTCTTACCAATCCTCACATCTGCTGCACTGGACGGATAGCTTTAACATATCTGGTATTTTAAGGATAAACGCATGACACGCAGTCAGACTGCGCCTCAGGGTTATGGTAAGCCAAAGCTATCGTGAAATAACAGGGAGTAACCTCCTCTATCTTTCCAACTGTCCCTTAGTTTCACTGACGTGTAAACAAATATGAACCCATTTATCTTTTTCATCCCCAGGAATGCGCTGCTTGTACGGAGCTCAAGCGTCACGTTCAGGCTCTTGAAAGCGACCTTGCCGATGCCAACACGAAGATTGGCAACTCTGTCACAGAGGTGGGCTCCGTAGTTAGCCATTTCAGTCCCTCTTGAAACGGGTCTTATTGTTAATTTTGTCGCCTTATAGTTAAATGATTTGCGAGCACGACTGAGTGAAGCGGGTGAAGAAGCATGCAGACTGCGTCAGGAGGTCTCGAGTCTTCACGAGGATTTGGCTGCCAATGCTAGCGGCCTTAAGAAGCTTCGTCACGTGGCTTGCGCCTACCTTGAAGACAAATCGTCATCGGTCCTGGCCGAGCAGCTACGCCAACTCCTGGCGGTGGAGTAGTGTTGTGGCTATCGCGCACGCTGTTGTTCTGCCTGTCACGGCTTTATGTACATTTTCTCCACTCCACTCGGCAGCTAGGAGAACTGCGTCGGAATAGCGCGTAGCATTTGCGTTTTTTGACCGTTTATACTTGTGTTCCCAAGGTCCACATTTATGTAACATATTTTTTTGATGATAAAGATCAGTGTTTGAGTGATCTCTTTGTTGTTCTTCTGTGCCGGCAATGTTACCCTTTACCACTATTTAAACCACAATTTGTAGTCGCGTCATTATCTGGATCTTTTCGCCCTTTGATGCAGTAATATACGGCCTAGGATTTCTTTTAGTGTGTTTTAAAATCAGTTACTTGCTCCTTATCCGTAGTTGTAGCGTGAAACTTGTTTAATCCGGGGCGGGGGCTGCTTAGTAGCAGCACCGACGGTAACCCCATTGTTAGACCAAGCGAACTGGTGACTTAGCGGTGAGCGAATCACTTGGTGGTTGCTAATGTTGCTTCATGGGAGACGTCTAATGGGGCATCTGAGGCTTGATATACTGCTTGGGGAGTTACGGTATCGTGTTTTTCAGACTTCAATGCGCCTCTTGCGTTGTCTGGCTGCGTCTTGCCACCCAGTGCGGTTATTCCCCTCCCCACTGACCTACGCAGCTCAACGATGCGTTCAGACCTTCGGCATGCGGTTCGGCTTCTGGTCTGGATTGAGGTCCTCTCTCAGTGCGCTGAATAGTCTGACTGAGGTGGAGGGTCGACTGGTTGGCACTGATGCGATGGGAAATCGATACTTTGAAGCGGAGCCAGATAGGGATAGTGAGGTTCCGCATCGCGCAGCTAGACCGAAACGCTTCTTCCTTGTTCCCGGGCAGAAGTCTATTGAGGACTCATGGGTGCAGTTGAATACTGGTTTGTTTTAGCCATTAGCACTGGTCAAAGACAGTCATTATTTTAAATTGTTTGATTTTCGATATGCATATTTTATTTTCCTGCTACCTCTGTGGAACTCTACACTGATGCTCCCTTTCACCCCAAGTTTGTCCATTAATGACTTCGATACTTCGATAGACTGATGCGTTTTCCGGATACTTTAGACTTTAGAAGTCCTCAAACTGCTCCTAATTGAGCCCCCTCTATTTGCGGTGCATAAAATTAAAGTTTGTTTTTCATAGTTTTTAGAGCAGAAATTAAAACTATTTTGAGATCTTGTTTGAATAAAAGAATCTTTTTATTTATCGAGGAGCATGGTTTTGAGAAAAAATTCCATTTCAGAATGAACTCACTGAACAGAATTATTGCCAAGATTGCTTGTAGTGATGGGGGCCTACGATCCGTATTTCATAAACGGGTTAAATTAGTGTTTTGCTTATACAAACTTTGCCTTTTTTTTCACGAAAACCATGCAAAAGTTATTTGATAAGCTATTCTCATGGAGATTTATTAGGTGAAATCGTTTTTGAAGACTGGTTCCACCGTTTATTATCATACCTAGCCTTTCCTTGATGGGCACCTTTTTGGTATCCCTAAAGCAGTTTTAAAGTATGCAAGCCGCCTTACCATGAGTGTGGAAAGATGGAAACAGGGGTGAGATGAACGGGCCTCCATGCCATGGGCGTGGATGTCGAGTTGTGGGAAGTTAAAGGGGGGGTCTCCGCAGTCTAAGTATAGCTGTGCTGAATTACAAAGGCGACGTTTTTAGGTCAATTTGAAAGTGTTGCGAGACCTCTTTTCTTCGACTGAATTTTCTGTTTTCAAAATCTTTTCTCTGCATTCCTCATCATAGCACGGTGAAACATTGCGGAGGATCAGCTGGGTTGTATTATGCCTAAGTGTAACAGTACAATTTTTCAAAGGTGTATGCATTGTCTCTAGGCAACTCCTCTGTTTATGATACTGAGGCCTGGATCTAGCTATCGTGTTCACTTTTTCTTTTTGCATTAATCAGAACTTCCGCGTCTTCCGAGTGAGTGGGATGCGTGGCTGCGTTATAGACGTGCAGACCCGCCTACACTGGAGGAAATTGAGAGGAACACGAAGGCTGCCCAAATACGTGCGATTAAGGGTCGTGAAAGCGAGGCATGTTTTTGCATTTGCGCCTTTTGATTCTATGGAAAAAAGGGTGGTTGAAACGCAGTGTTTGCCGTGATCTTACTATTGGCTAATTGATAAACTGCTGGATCTTTACTTTGACGTCTTGCTTCATCTGACTCAGTATTTTTGGTTCATGGATCAATCCCCAGCTCTTGCTACTGCTGATTCATGCCTATTTCTGGTTTCCTTCAGGCTGTCATTGCCCACCATCCTGATCATATTAGAAAGGTAGATATATTAATTCTGTCATTGCAATGGTTAATCAGATCGGAATGCCACAGTTGATTGGACAGTTAAATTTGGCATGTCATAGACTTAAACTAGCCCTAGTGACACTATTTTTCGCTCTAATGATGAGGTGATGAAATCACGATTAAGTGTTTCTCACCGCTTGGTTACATGTTGGCCGTAATAGTCAGTTGGTGCAAATTCTGACGAGTACAGCTTTCATCTGATCAGGACTATTAGGTGTCAGTTAGTAGGTAGCCGATTTACTAAATCTTATAAAGCTGCAATAGAAAAACGGTGAACACGCGGATGTGCTAAATTTTTTCAAATGGAATAGTAATCAAGTTAGGTATTGCTACCTGGTTTTGGGTGTATTCGCTTTATAGCAACCCCTTTAAATTCGTTGTCGCTTGTCTCTAGCCTTGACTCAAGTCTCCCAATTGACATCTGCTTCGTGTTCAAAATTCAGGCTACACTTAATTTCGTTTTCATTACCTAAAACCTTGCCAAATAAGTACCACATCGACGTTTGGAATTGTCTGCGAAGCTACTACTCGAAAATAGCCTAAATTATCTGCAACTATTCACCAAAAGACATTTCTAAAAGCGGGATGATTCGAAAAGCTAATTGTGACTTGGAACGAGTGTTCAGTGACATTTGCTATAATTTTTTTAAATTAAGGTAAACTGTTTGGCATCATGGATACTCGAATTTAGTGCTTGAGGAGGTGAAACATTTAACACAATCCCAATAGCAAGCTACTAGCTAAAATTGTGATAAACTTGTTTACCGCATGAAGAAACTGTAGTAGTTTCCATGAGGCGCTTTTCTTATCGTACGTTTTGTGTCATATTTCTCCTTCGTAACGCCCCTCTTTCATACTTTCAACACAGGAGAAATTCAGAGAAGAATTGAGACGGCGAGCAGTCGAAAAGGGCGAAAACTCATCAAAATTGTCCTCCTCATCCAGAAATAAGGAGGACGTGCCCTTTCCGCGGCATCCTGGTTTGGAGGTGACTCCCGGAGAACAGGGCTGAAATGTAATTTCCTTCTGAGAGTATAACTTACCTCTTTCTCATCTTGATTATTCATAAATGTTATCATTCGTGTTTTCACTTATACGATTTCATTATAGATAGGACAAAGTAGTCAACAGTCTTATTCAGGTCTTGGAACCTGCCTTCAGAGCAATGGACTTAAATGGGGATTAGTTTCACAGTTCACAAGCACCATCTGTCATAGTTCCGAATTGACAAGATTGGCTGCGGGACCTCTCGTTAGAGAATATATTTATTCCTAATGAATACGATAGGTTCTTCCATCATTTTAGAGTTTTCCGATCATTATCGCTTAAGCTTCTATTTATCGTTTACAAGTGGGTGGAAAATTAACTAAATGGGTGAAAGGCCACAGGCATACGGTATGCTGGTTGTTCTTTTCTTGGGTGGAAGGGCCTGTGCAGCACGCAGGTTTTTGAATGTGATTTTCGACTCGTTTCTAAGACGGCTCTAGGTGAGGATTACTTCAACTTCTTCCTGTCGGAGACCGGAATACCCTTTAGGCATTTCTGAAGGAACCGTTGTTATCGCGTCCTTGCTATAGACGACTAGGATGCTCATTACAAATTGTAGGGTCCCACAAAAAGTACCTAACCTTTTGCTATTCGTTACAGAGCGTAGGTATACTGTCCTCTTATTTCAAAGGGGGAAGATCTTATCTCCTCTGTAGTCCCCCCGTAATGTGCATCCAAGTGATGACTATCGACCTTTCTTGTCATCCGCATCAGAAAATCGCTTGCAAAGTGGGTCAGACAGTTGAGTGAGAGGTAAAAGAGAGGCCGAAACTGTGGCTGGGACTGAGTTTATTCATTGTCTTCTAGAAACAGGCGAAGTGCTATACAGATGTACAGTTGGTAATCTTGTATTTCCTTGGCATGGTGAATCATCAAACTGAATGGCTGACGAAGAACTTTGTCGTTATCACTTTTTATTATGGAAAATTTCACTAGACTATTTCTTTGTAACTTTACACTTCAGGAGAAAAAAACGATCATATTTGTGTCTAGGGCGCCATCAACACTGGAACAATTGCAGTGAGTATTTAACTACTAGGTTCCTCCCATGGCTTTGGATGATGGTCGAATAAATATCTAACGGTTACCTCAAGTCTTGCAGAAAGAAGCGGTAGGTAGTGGGGGTAGATACGCCCTTCATCTACTGTGCAGTTCCCAAGTTCTCTATGGCCTATTCCTCACAAACAATGGTTAGACGAGGCCTCAATGGACGATTAGTGTGACAGAAGTTATCCCCCTTTTTTCGTATGACTCAAGCATCCGCTAGCGGGCCAGAAAGTGTTCATATCATATTTGATTGTTTTAACGTGTAAGAAAATCCATGTCCGGAACAATGGCGCGTTGGATCTGTGTATTGATTCGGCTTATAGTTTATGAGTCTGGCATAAATTTCAGCTGAAGTTGCTTAAAGTGGATTGTTTTAAAAAATTTCTTAAGGGATCCAAACGATGGCCGCCCTTTGGGAACGGAGTACATTCAACCTCTGAGGACTAGCTATCAGGGCAAACTAGCTGCTATGATTGTCGGCTCGAATTCGCTGAATAAACTCAACATTTGATGGGATTTAGTGCCTTCGAGTATGTTCCATGAAAGGGAGGCCTTAAGAGCAAAATAACTATGGGTCAAAGATCAGTGGATTGCCATGAGTAGTGTCCTGCTCCAGCATTCATTGCATTCAAGAAAATGTTAACATTGTTACCATAGTTGCAGGATTTGCCTGGGATACATTCAAACGCGAAAGGCATGGCAACGTTGTGCATTTGTTGTGATTTGCCATGCGGAAAAATTCAATCAAGCTACAGAAGTTAGGTAACCTAACTAGTCAGCGGTGGTTGTTATCTTACAAAGGCGAATTGGAGTCGAGCACGCACTAACCGGGGGGGGGCAGTCTATTCCAAGTGGAGGATAACAGTGCTTCCAGAAGGTGCCATTGACTTCCCTAGTCTGAATTGCATTTACGCTTTCAATAAGACACCTCTGTGATGTTCATCATTTAACATAATCATTCGTTAATGCGAAATAATTTGTCAGTAAATAAATTTCAGTAAAATTTCCTAGATTGAAAGAAATGGTTGCCTAAGTAGAGAAAGTTCGTGATTTCATATGCGAGAAATAAACACAAAAGATGGCGGAACTCTTAGTAGAACCAGTTCTTCCACACTCATCTATCAATGGTACGAAAACAACAAGTAGGAAACAGAGCCCATAGCACTTCGTCAAGATGTCGATTTTTGTCGTCTTCCACCCGTAGGTGTATGCATGGGCGGCAACAAAGTCGGGGCATGAACATCAGCGTCCTTTTTGCTCAAGAACTGTGCAGCATCTTCCAACGAAAATGGCTGGCTCATAAATGGCCAAAAATACAGCTTCCCCCTAACTTAAGTAACTTCAAAGGTGATCGAGAATTTTACATTGCGTTCTGAATTATATGATCTCGTTTGGCGACCTAAATCGAAGTCCACGTCCCGACAGAATTGAATCGGTCTGTGATCTGAAAACGACGAATGAACGAACGCAACTGAAGGTTGGCACCGGTCAAGTAATTTCGATTCTTTTTATGCTTTGCTAAGAGAAGAAGTATTTGAGTGAGCATACCAATGTAATAACAGTAAACATCTGAAAGTATGTTGGTTGCCTTGGGAATCTTTGAGTCCGTACTTAACGATTTTTCCCTCTCCTGGAAAGCAAAGAAAGGTTATTCACTCTAAGGTAGATGATTTAAGTAATGTGTGATTTGTGTTCTAATCGAGGAACATTTAGTACATGGGATTATAAGATAGTTTCTTTTATTGCCAAACTTTCGATGGAGATAAGGCATATGGAACTTGGATTTCCAATACTTCAGGGAAGACAAAAATTGCCTTTTGTAGTAGTTAGGTGAAGTTACCTAGGTGAAGTTTGTCCACACCTGTTTTCGTCAAGTTTTCTAATGCATCGAATGCGCCTAAATCGTGTGTGTTTATACTAAAGTCACATGTCTAAAAAACGCAGGTAGATTTAACTGTCTGTACCTGCATCAGATATTTAAAACTGTCCTATTTGGAGCACTCACCCCCTTTTTCTTTGATTTAAGTTGACGGCAGTGCCCTCAGGGTTCTCTTCTTCATCTATCGGAACCTCTGGTTGGGCAATCAGCAACAACTGAAAAATTAGAAGTAAACCTGTAATGATGGTTGGATTCATGCCGTTTTTTACTGTGATCTCAAGATCGAACAAAGATTAGCCTTTGCCCTGTTGGTGCTGATCTCGAGCATAAATATTGCAGAATTTCGACTTAAATGAAAAGGCCACAACGGTAGCCGAGTCCATTCAGAGTGTCCCCAAAAAATGCAGAAAAGCATCTTTTAAGTTCCTTCTTTTTGGCTGCTGTTAAAAAGCTGTACTTAAACCATTGCGCGAATGCTTTGGGGCTGCAAGCCAGCAATCCTATCTTGCAGACAGGTAGGCAGGTAGAAAGTCTGAAAATTAGCGCAAACGCCAAGACGACCGACAGAGGCAATACAGACTGCTGCCGATGATGATGCTGATGATGGTGGCGGTGGTGACGATAATAAATACAGACATAAATGTACAAATGGGAAGAGGAAAACAGGTAAAAAGGCAGTGGCGGGCTGAAAGACAGCTAGAAAGAGTAGTGAGCAGGCAGACTGACAGTGATGTTTGGACAAATGAGGACTGACAAAGGAACAAACGTTGCGGCGGGTAAATATCCACATTGGCAGAACGGAACATATATAAACACCTAAAGAGGTATGCAAACAAGTGGGCATATAAATAGTCAGATAGACAATAAAGGAGAAAGCTAAAGAGATAGAGCGAGATACGCATACGGACAGACAAAGTGGCGGAGGTACTAATAAATTGACGGATGCAGGCTGGGACAAACTGACTGGAAGAGGGAAAGAGACGGTAGGTACAGAATGATAGAGGCAGACAAATGGATAGATCAGTGGATTCATTGGGACCAGCTTCGGACGGATGGATTTGAGATAGGTGAATGGGGTTGAGATGGATGGATAGGTAGGCAGGTAGTGGCCGACAGTTAGACAAACCTCTTTCTTGATACAGGCGATGAAGAAGCCGTTGTGTAGGTTGGAGGGCGCAAAATGAATGCATTGCGAGGCAGTAATGAGGTTAGGGGCTGCTTCACCGGCAGAGATGGCCGCCTCAGCCTCTGCGAGCGCGGGAATACCAGGTGGCAGGCGACACACGAAGCCGGGAGTTGAGGTGGCGGGTCGGGAGGATGTAGCGTTAGCCTCCACCTCGCGCTGCAACGTGCAGTTGGCGTACTCCACACACCGTTGCACCGCCGTCTCCGTCTCATCTGCGTCCTCTGAGTGGCTCACAAATATCACCGTGCGCACCTGGTTGACTGAATGGTGGGAGGGTGAGATGGATCCCACGATCAAATCCCACTTTATCACCCTTTGTGTGTGTTGGTTATTTTCACTTTGTCTGTGAGATGTCAGCTATTTGAAAATATCCAATTCGTGAAATCTCTTTTGGCCAGCCTTTAGAATATCATTGAAACCTGCTTTGATTGTATGGTGCTCTTAAAATCATCCATTTTTAATTTTCATTCTATATCGAACGGTCATTACAGAAAATCCTGATGAAGATATTCCATTAACTACTGACGCTACCGATCCCCAGACAGTCACGAAGCCAACACCAACACTAATCAACTACTATGAGGTATGTATCTAGTGCCACCAAAAGATATCCCATGTTCAAGGCACCGTTATGGCTTGTCTTTTAATAAGCAAAACGGAATGTCTATGTATAGTATACCTACAGAACTGAAGTGAGTGAGCGATTTCTATACCAGTGGAGATGGAACATAATTTCAAACGATATGTTTTATCTAAGGTCATCGATGACAATAAATGGGGGGACTACGACTTCTCGCCTACATGATACTCTGGTACATAAATGCTGTCCTACTTATACATGGGATGCAACGAATACGGACGAAGGGACCTAAATTTAAGCTAACCAACTTTTCCATTCCCAAAGTGGCACAGACATGGGTTTTTATCGACGTGCTCACTACCCGCATTGATGCTGGTAGATATTTTTTGTTAAAGCTTATGATAAACTGTGCTATCTGTACAGCACTTTAACTAAATTAGTAGTAGTCACCAAACATCAAAAATTCCCGACTGAACCTGATAAGCATTTTTGGGCCAGGTAGACACTGGCTTTTAGATGAATTCCTCATATACGACTCAATTAATATCAGGTAAGTCGGTTCTTAGAAAGGGTGGTTTATATGGCCAGACTGCAGTAGCTATCTAAGAGATGAAAATGAGTCCATTAACCGCATTTGCAATTCATTATGTTTCTCCAATAGGGCGCAGAACAGACCGGTAATGCATTGTATAAGGCAAAATGAAGGCAAGCGTGAACCCTACTGATGTTACCTTATTACGTTGATGTGGACAGATAATATATCCTCCATTTCGAATGCGTCAATGTATCAAATTACGTATTCACTGTCCGCTGGTTGCAAAACATGGAGGTTTGTGAGATTACCATTGATGGAAAATCTTTCAAATTAATGAACTGGAGAAAAATTGACAAAATGAGACCAACGAAGTTCGGTACTAAGGTACTAGTTCCTTCGAAGTGAAAGAATTGTTAGGCAAGTCAAATTTTTTTTGGATTGGAAATTGAGGAAGAATTTCTAGAAGGGCATTGGTTAAAATTCTCCGTCTTTCTTATAAAAGCCACCATACCGGGTTCATTATCTGTCTTATTCGTATCTTTTTGTCTCTAGAAGGCAAGAAAAAACTTCTCTGTCGGCCTGCTCCTTCCTAAAGACATCGTCCTAACTAAATGCCCCTATAAGTTGCAATAGGTCAAGCATGAAAAGCGTTTGTAATACGATAGTGGTTTATCCCTCGGTTCTGGTGAGGCGCCACTTTTTGTACTTTGAATTAGCCCCCTTGTACCCCACTGGGTGGGCTGGCATTTTGGGCCATGCCAATACCCAGACACCTTCCCTGCGCTGAATATATTCTGCCCGAGTATTTTGTCTTCTTTCGTCTTGGGGGAGTCCCGGGAAGCTACAGTAACAGTAAGAGCTGTGAAGCATGCCTGCAAAGGACGTACATTTCAAAGCGTGCTTCAGGTAGACGGCATTCTTCGACAACAATTCCGCTCGCTTTGTAACCTTCTGTGGATTATCGTTGGGTGTCCACATATCCTTGAACATTGATAAATCTGAAAAAAAAAGGAATTTGTCCGTGAGTCTGGCGATAATCACCAATACCGTCAAAACGATTAAGGCCATGATGCTTAATTTTGGGCATGCTTAGAGATCGGAAAGTTTGATTGTTGGTAGATTTCACACTAACATGTTTAACTCAGAAATGGAGAGAAAAGTGCGATTCCACATAATTTAAGTTTTACACTAAATTTGACATCTCAGTGTGTTACTTCTTCATTAATCGGCAGTAAAAAGGGACTGATATGTACAGGCACCCATAGGAATATGAATTTTAAAAGTTAGTAACCGATGAGAGCTTAAGAGCTTTGTTGAAATTTGAATGGCTAAGTAGGGAGGTGGGAATCATTTTTAATCATATTGCCACTTTATCAAACCAAAGCTCAGCTGGGTGGACTGCTGGCATGCACGCACGCGTGTACCGGTGCACATGCTAGGCGGCCAACCAATTGGATGTCACCAATCGATCGATCGATCGGCCCAGAGCTATCGCATTCGTGAACAGCAACTGGAGTGAATCTTGCTCAGTGGTTGACCAATACCTGGTCGAGCATTTAGTATATAAGCTCTGGTTTTCAAGCTTATTTCAACTGCCAAACGGATTGCCGCTACTTTATTTGCGACTTTCGGGCAGGCATCGTGGAGACATGAGTCATGCCTGCGAAGGTCATGACTCATTTCACCTGTGTCCGCGTACTACCCGCAGTCTGGCTTGCATGTGTTATAGCGGTGGACATGAGGGTGATTGGATAAGGCCTGTTTCAGTGGGCGCGACTTTCGTTTCAAAGCCTTTACAAAGGACTTTAAGAGCTGGGATAGCTAAGGCGTTTTAAGACTGTCGTCAATGCATTCGATTAAACAAACATATTACTGTGAATAAATGCAGATAAATAAATGCAAATAAGTTATTAGCGCAATAAAGTAAACGTGCACTAAATAGGTGCGAAAGCAGTGTGACCTAGGGTGTACAGATTGAACTGAGGATCATTGTTCTTCTTTTAAGAAAAATCCGCTAAAAAGCAAAACAACGGTTGGGGTGGCAAACTAACCCTCATTTTCACATTCAATGTAGTAGATGGGGTTGACGACACCAGTTTTCATGTCCATGGACTCAAGCACGATGTGACGCAGGCCCCTATAGGTCTCGCCGCCGGGATTCAGCGTCAAGAAGTCATCTGTGATCATCCTAGTTGCTAGGGCGTGTTAAAAATTAGTAAGTCCATCTCATCGCTATGCTGTGTGTTGCCTGTCCCTCTAACGGGTTCCGGATATGCGATGACTTACGTGGGCGCATTTCATTAGGTCTTCAGACGCGATCCTGCAGCTGTCTCCGATGGTCTTATAATTCAGTAAGACTTCGTTAAACTTCAACTAATTTTGAAAGTACCATCGAGATGTAAAGCATTGTTTGGAAAATGAATTGTGTTGTACTGCTTGGAAGGAAGCATACTTGATTGCAGTATTAAGTCTCAACCTTCCCTGTATCCGTAATCAACATAGCAAGATGAAATGGATATCCATTCTCGACGAACAACTTGACAATAAATCTTTTCTCAGCTTAGGTACTCTAATGCTAGGGGAGTGTTAATTACCTTGGCCGTTTGAAGCAAGTTTTAACAAGCGTTGTTTATTGAGATTTGTGGTTGTACGCTAGTCCAACGAAATGAAAAAAAAAACAGGTGCGGATTTGGATAAGCAAACTCGTGAAGTTTAATTTGAAAGGGCTCTCCAAATGTGCTTTTCGAATATTCATGGACATTGTTGAACTTACTTTAAAAAACACATAATGAAATGTACTGTTGGCAGAAGTGAATTCAATAGAATAGACCTTATTATTTTCCAGATTTTAATAACGGTGAGTTTGAGATGCTGGAAGTATTTTTGTAACTTCACGACAACAGCCAACAATAACATCAACAAGAGTTTTACCTATTTCAAGCCAACTACACCTCAATACACTTTTAACGAGGTTTATGCATCGCCTATGAAACTTTATTGGGTTCATTACAATGACACATCTTTGGCCACGTGAACTTCATTGCATAACACGGATTACCGCTAAACGCTGAAAAAGAAGGTCGTACTAGGTAAACATAAAATTTGACAAATCGTGATCACTTGGTGTTCGCGATCAAAATTAAGGGCATTTAATTCTAGAACGCTTTTATCGGGTTCACCAAAATGCGGTAGAGTTAATGAGTCTTCCAACTGTTATGATAGACAAGTTTAAATGGAAGGGAAAAAGGATGGAATTGTTCACGTACTCGAAACAGGCAGAAAGTTGGTGGAATTTAGGTCTATCCACAATGCCATTGATGCAATCTTGGGTAAATTGTGGTATCAGGATACATGGACATAAGCCAATTTGAATCTGTTTAGCAAGTGTCAGACATTCAGAGGGATATTTTCTGATTCTACTAAGCATCCATTCAATTTGAACTTCCTGAAACTTACAGTAGTCTGCAACTGAAGATCATCTTTGGATCTAGATGCTACGATTTTCGACTCACTTAAGGTCGATTGAAAGTATGTAAACTCACATTTTTGGGTCAATTAGCTGAATTCAGTGTTTCAATAAGGGTAAAGTAGCTGTTAGACCTTTTTACCGTTTCAGGACATTCACAGGAGTAATTTCTGATTCATTGAGTTTTATAGAGTTCTCCACATAACACCATTTAGCGGCGCGTTTCAGGAAATTGGATTGACGTTCCTAGACACCTTTTGGTATGAATCCTTGAACGCACGAGCAGTTTAAGCTATAATCGACTTGGGTCAGCAAATTAGCAATGTTTAGAAAGCCGCATTAATGCAGCTACATTGTATAATGTAATGCACCATTACGCTTTCAAGGTACGAGAACACAAGCATTTAATGTGGAAAATTACCAAGATTTAATAACACAAATGTACAAAAATATTATCCTCTCTTATCCCCTCGTGAGGGCTTGTTTACTTTTGACAAGAACTTAGATTACTTAAGAAGATTGTTTATCCACTGGCACGATATCGCTAACTGTCGTTATTTGTGACACCCGATATCTTTCATTGTATTATCGGTACATGGCTTCAGACAGACGATTGGTTTAGTGGTGAGAAAATTTAAACTATCCCATCTAAGGGCTATTTGAATAGCTAGCAAAGGAGTTCGTGTTTTGAGATTTTCACAATACCAATTTTCTTCACATAGCACCTACTTCTGCAGCCGCATTTGGGAATCAGCTTAGGATCCTCGTTCTCCTTGGCCTGTCGAACAATACGAACGGTGGGGACGGGAGTGACGGTGGGAAATTTGTTCATCAGCAGACCCTCGAGGTGGATGCCGTTGAGGCTGTTGGGGTGGTTGACCAGCATTACCTCCTCCCCCGGTCCCATGAAAGCCAGGAGACAATGGAGTGCAAAGAGGTTGCTCTTGTCCTGAAAAAAAAAAATCATTCCAACAACATCACATTCGAACTGCTTTTGTGAAGAGAAAAATCAAGGGTGATAGAAGGTTGATTTATCGCAAGGAAGTGATAACGTTGGATAGGGGTTTATTTTAAGTTAAGCATAACTAATTCAGTTTTTTTTTTTCATTTTTAGAAGACAAATGCATCATATCTTTAGAAGTTACAATTCACAGTCTTCCATGATTATGATTTAATAAAAATCAAAGGCATAATATCTCTCCGGACGATGGTTCGGTTCAAGAAATGACCACATCTTGCGTGTGTGCGCATGTGTGCATGCATGTGAGGCAAACCGTTTTGAGATTAGATTGCGTCTGAAGCAAAGGACAAGTCATTTTTTGTTGTAGCCGAATGATATTTTATTTAATGCTACAATGTAGGAACCTCAGTCTTTTGCAATTTGGATTTACACTCATGATCGCTCAGACATCCATTGAGTCTACCAGGGAACTACTAACGGGCTTGTCTGTCCTGGTTCGTCTTCAAGAGTAGCTTGAACGGTGCAAATCAGTATTGCATCTGAAGGATATTTGTGAATGAAGATGGGTGAGTGGCTACCTTTTTGTCCAGACAGTGTCGAACCGAGAGTTTATTTTTAAGGGAAGACTGACATTTTTTTCAGTACCTACAATTTTTATTTGAGGTCCGTTAAAAACATAGTTAAATATATTTTTGATAAAGGAACACTATAGCTGGCTTCACAGTGGGTTCGGTTAATGAAATGCGTAAGCGTTTTGTGTACGACATCGTAGCGGATGGGACAGCCTTTGAGGGTATGTGCGTGCATTCTGGTTGCATAACACGTTATTTAAAATAGAATTTTCTGAATTTTACTGTAGGCATATTTCAACTGCCACGGTCTGACTCATCTCAAGTAAGTGGACATTTTTCTTTCACTTTAAATTAATTCAGCACAGTTTTGGAGTCGGATCGTGTACGAATGGAGAGAAGGAAAGTATTTTCTTTATGAAACTTTAATTATTTGTTTAAATCTTCGCTTCGGTTTCAATTACACTTAAGGCTTCGCCTTTGTACTTCCACTTAGCAGCATGGCCTCCGGACCATGCCAGTAGTTTCCCCGCCCTTCTCTACTTCAGCAATACATATTCTGTAGTAGCATTGTGTCTTATTGCTTCTTCACGAAAGTCTCGGGCTGCTGCGGAAGGCAAACTTGACTCTGATTGACAAATATCCTAACTTGTATGACTAAATGTTAAACATTAGCACGACGGAAAGGGGGTAGATGCTGCAGATGGTAGAATCTTCGATGGCCCCTAATCGAAGGGTTGAAAATGACTTGAGCCTTCGGCAACTACCCCAGTCTCGTATTCCGTAGAGTAGCTATTAACAACTGGTGAAGTTAACACGCGACACATCCTTCACCTCCCCACCAACTGAATAAAACCCAGCTAGATATGACTGGTCAGCACCAAAGTGAAAAAAAGCAGCAAAGAGGAGCAGATGTAAAACCTTATCTCCACGACACTATTTTAAATTTCGTAACTTATTAAATGACCCTTAGGCCAGTTTTCGTACTATAAGAGATGCGCATAAGAGATGGACAGCACATTTCTCCTTCCCCCAACACATTCCCTAATCAGGACGAGGCTCCAGATCCAGTAGTATCGCCGAGAGGGACCAGTGGGGTTTTGGTCAAATGACTCGGTAGCAAATCTACAGAAGCTTCTCGTAGTCATTATGAAAAGGAACGAGAGCGAAACATATTACCCAGAGAGGATTTGAGCAATTAACTTTTAATTGGTTAAGTACACAAATACATGCGCATTACTTTCAGGAAGACACCGCCTTGGGCCTACCCTCGCCCTCTGTATTTTTCTCAAAATATTTTTCTAAGTAATGGCTATGGTTTTTTTCTGGACATCAACATTAGACAACAACATGCCAGAATGAAAGTAGTGGTCAGTTGGGAAAGAATCAAAAGTGGAATAAAAACGGAGGTGGATAGGTTGGGTTTATTTATCGTTATTTAGAGACCCTACGTCACTGATTAGTGGAATTAGCAAACACGGGCTTAGGATGAAGATTGCAATGATTATTTAAATCCGTAAAATGCTTAAGAAGAGTGAGCATAAAAGACAACATGAACCTATTCGGCTACCATACAATTCGCTCAAGAGATGGGAAAACCACCGATAGTTTTTGCAAAAATTCGCGACAAATATGCATAAAAGGATCCCGTAAATTTATGATGTGTGCTGATCAGAGTAGGGGAAGCGTATGCGTCAATCTGCGAAGCAGTTTCACTTTTGAAATTCACACTTGCTTTATTCTTCGTGTCTATCAAAACCAAACAAGTAAATGCAGCTTTTAAGACAACTATCACTGATAAGAAGAGACATCAATTCAATTATTACCATCTTTCAGCCACAAAATCTTTCATATTAACAGAGTAATTTTCCTTCTCAAGTAACGACAACAATGTGTCGGACGCAACTAACTCTATGGAATGGAATAAAAGTGGTACTTCGTAGTAGACGACTCCTTGAATGTGAGCATAAAGATAACTTTGGCCTACTAGAATTGAATCAAGGAGTTTGGGCGATGTGTGGGCAAGGTTCTCACCTGAATAATCAGGAATCGATCACGTACGATCTGGGACTCCATAATAGCCGCACGGTCCGCCGTGTTGAAGACAAAAACGTCGGGACAGTGCTCATCCTCGGCGAACTCCAACGCGTTGGGCAGGCGACCCTTAACTCGTGTGAAGTTGTTTTCCTTCAACCAGTTCAGCACAACCTCGGACCTTTACGTGGGATAAAGCACCATCCAGTACTCATCGCAGTCTATGCTTCATCCGTGTATTATACTTAAGGAGTGCGATTGGATTAAGACCCGTCAGAATTACAGCCAGGACAGATACTTATCGGAGGATGCTATCAACTCTCAGACATTAAGGGGAAAAAGGAAACTTCTTCATTGGTTAAATTAGGAGAAATTGTTGATCTAAAATAGGTGAAAAGGAATCATGACCACTTTTTGGCCTGATGAAGGTTTATTGAATTTTGCCAAAATTGTTGGGATACTAAGAGGTTACTTAAGATTCGATTAAAATCATAGTTTATGTCATTTGAAGCCTGTTGATAAGGCAAATGTTAACGTCGCTTTACTACCTCCCTGATGGTTGAGAGGGTGGAAAATTCCAGTTCTGTGCCTATTAAACATTTGAAAGCCTGCTACTATGTGTACTACAAAATGCACAACTGATTGGAAGGGGATTTTACTATAATATAACTCGGCAAAGAAACAGGCATGAAAGGACAGCTTTAGCAGATTCTGTTGCATTGAATCTCAATGTAAAAGAATTACCCATCAGTAACATAAATGTTGATTATCAAACCATGCCCACTATTTGGAGTTAATGTGGTGTGGCTTGGATGCCACTTTAAAGCACATTTATGGGATCGTAAAAGCATTCCCTTGAGAAAATGGACATTAATTTTGACTCAAAGTAATAAAATATGACAACTTTAGATCACTTTTAACTCTACAATCAAGGTGCCTTCAGAAACTCTCATATTCTCATAAATTCTGATTATATTACCCTAATTTAGAGTTGATTGATCACATTAGAAACCCAAAATCCTCAAGAGTTCCACAAGTACTGTGCTGAATAACTTTAGCCTAAATATGAATTCTACGTTCATTAAGCAATTTTGATACCTCAAAATTAAACAACTGTAGTGTGAGCAAACTGTTGCACCATCCACGTAGGCTGACCAACTGACCATGAGGATGTTTATACCACCCAGTAAAACCTTTACACGACTTTAGTTGTGAGCTACTTATTTGACCTAGAGATGGAGTAGTCACTAGTACCAGCCAATTATAAGTGTTGTTGTGAGATTAAACCTACTTTCCAAGGAGTTGATTGTACCATCCATAGAAGGGCATGTTTTCAGCCATGCTCTCGGCCTCACGCCACTCTACGGGTAGGAGGAGATGCAGTGAGCCCACCTGCTCCTTCACTCGTGTCCGCGCCACTGCAGCCGCGAAGTGCACTGACATATTAATCACTGCCTGCTCCACTGTCTGCGTGAGCGAAGCAAACAACAGAACAAAGTGGGGCAGCTAGGCAGACAATTGGGAAGACGAGCTGTCAAGCGGACAGATGGTAAGACAAGTGATGGTACCTGAAAGCTTTCCAAGGTGGGCGGATAGATGATTGTGCGTCCGGCATACCTTGGGGACTTCATGTCGACCTCGTCTGATATCGTTACTGCCATCTCTGCATCTGTCGACGTACGGCGCTGGTAGCTGCGTGCGGTGTAGTCGTAGAGCGTCACTAGCACAAGGTACTCCTCCTCTCGTAGGTCTGGGTACTCCCCGTAGAAACCCACCTCGTCCACTATCTTGTCTAGGATACTGTAGTCTGATGTAGGAAGACGAGGAGACATTCATTATTAAGCAGCACTTATTGTGTAGCAAATTGATATTCCAAAATTAGATGGGAATACGTGGTAAATTTCTACTAGTGAAAATAAGTAGAGGCTAAATGACGCGTACACACAATTTCCTCTGAGATTTCATCTCTCCAAGATCTACCTATGCTTTATTTGTTCCCAAAGATAGCCCTAACCTACTTGCCTCGGTTTCCGTTGTGCGAAAACGTTTACAGTATTATTTTTGCGTCCAAATTAACCAAGCCACGTTGATCAAATTGCGTTTTTAATGGTTTTCCACTGTCATAATCGTAACAGTAAGTTTCACCTCCACATACATATCCTGATATCTTTCATAGTTCTACAGGCCTCCTTTTAACAATTGTATTGACGTTTTACGCATACTTTATTGACGACTGTTTCACCATTTATAGTGGGACGTGGGATTAGGAACTTTTCACCAAAGTGATAGAAATACGTTTCGTTTTACGGACCATTTTAGCCAATTCTGCATGTTAACGCCTACATTTCATGGCAGAGAATGCAAGATTGTACGCTAGTCGTTTCTCCGTAGTATCAGCAAATGGAATCCGAAAGACGCATGGTTTTGTCACAGCCGGCGTCAGGGCTTCCTGTAAATACAAGAGAACTAATTTATCCACCGATAGAAAAGAAAGACCCAAAAAGGTTGAGACATGTCTATACCGAAGGAGCTACCATCCGAGTCTCCTCAATCTCTTCTTCTTCCTCCTTCTCCTCCTCCTCCGCTTCCAATTCGTTCTCTTCTTCTCCATCATAGGCAGAGAGATCAATCTCCTTATGTCCACTTCTCACTTCGACCTCCCCCATCGATTTCCGCGCCGATTTGACAGAGGTGGACACTCGTTCGGTGGGAGCCGTTGGTAAGGCTTCTTCCCCTTCCTCTTCCTCCACCTCCCATTCCCATTCCTCCTCATCTCCCTCTTCATCACCCTCACCACCGCCGCTTTCACCAGCGTTGAGATGAGGTATCGGAGGTGAAAGGTGCTGTTTTTGCGCCTCGAGTAGTTGGGTCAACAGTTCAATGCGCTGTTGCTCGGCTTTGAACCACTTCAGGAGGCATGCAGCGTAGCAAAATACCTAAAAATGTGTGCCATATATAATTTTCTTAAATTTTACACAATAAAATTCTAGAAGTTAAGATTAATTTCTCCCCAGCCCGGGATTAAATTTTATTGTGACGATTGTGGTATTGACTTACAATTTTTGACATTACTTAAAATGCGCCTTTAGCTACACGGTTTCTTCAATCTCCGCGGGTTTAGTCTTCATCTTGGAGGCACGTCTTTCTGTCCAAGCCTCTAATATTCTAACCTCTCTTTATACCAATACTAGATTCTCTATCGATAAAAATATGCCTTTTTACCACTTCAGAGATGGTTCGCTGTAATACCTACACTTTGCTTTTTAAAGAATTAAGAGTAAACGTCGCAACATCAATAAGCCCCATAATTGATAGAACATCTTTTAAATTCCATCCATTTTGTTCATTCATCCATTCATTAATTCCTAATACTTTTTCCACGGAGAAATGGGCATCGCTTCTGGTTGCACTGGATGTTACACTGCACATAAAATCCAAGCTTTGCTATTTATAAATCAGCCAAAATTTGGCAACCGCCACTGCATATAAATCCTGTTCACTTTGAAAAAGATGTTGAATGCTCCAAATTTGCACAGAAAAAAAAGCGCGTTCACTTATTCGTTATTTTCTATGAGCAACCCGTAGATCGATGCATTCCTTTCTTTCCTGCCACTTTAATTTTGCTACAAGACAGATGTGACGTCCTTAAAAGAAATAGGAAGAAATTACAAAAGATAAATATGCATGCCAACCAGAGGCTGGGAAGAAAATGCAAAAAGCCATCTCATTCAAAAAATAGGGAAAGCGTACGCGGTCCCAAATGTCGCGAATTCTGGATTGATAGGTGTCTGCTGTTTCTGAATTAATTCTCGATTCTTCGCACTCGAAAAACTCATATTAAAATACCACTAATTAAGTAATTCTTCAAGTTTTAGCTAAACATTTGTGCAAACATTCTGAGCAGATCCGCTATTCCATCAAGAGCAAATGCAATGTAGACACGCAAGTAAAGTCTAGTAGACATGTAAATATTACCAACTTCCTTCAATTAGCTAAATTGCTAATTTTTCACAATTAGGTTCCTAATGTTGCAAGGCATATCCCATTGTTGGCGTGAACCAAAGTGCCAATTACAAATTGACTGCGAAAACCTTTGTGTTTTCTTACATTGGGAAAAATTGCTGTAGGCTGTTGGGCTATTTCCTGTCCTAGAAAAGTTCAAAGACACACCCTCACTTCTTGCAAATGGTGCTAGAGGCAAGAATCTTTTAAAAGCTTGCGGAAATGTTGTTTAAACACAGTATTTTAGTGAGATTCTGTAAAAAACACAATTCATTGGAGCAGAGTTGTATTTTAAACGAAAAACTATCGTCTACTTAGTAAAATAAAGTTGTTGAAAACATGTCGACTTTTATTAAAGGGTTAGAGTCCCATAGAGTAAAAAGGCTTTCTTTACACTCTGATTAAAACGGCTGATGCCCTTCCTGCCAGCGGCACGTATATGTGACACAACAGCTTCCTGCCTTAAATGCAGTGTCGCAAGCATACGATTTATGTTCCTTGTCTACTCATAATAGCTAACGTGTCGCCAAATATTCCAAATGTCATGGATGCACCTTACAAAAGTAATTACCTCGTCTTAATATACCTAAGTGGATCTGATCGTTGTGCTGATGAGGTTCTGGGCCATTTCTTTAATTATGCACTCATCAAACCGTAAAACGTCAAAAACTCGGCAGTTTGAATAAAACTTTGCATTTCTCTTATTATGAAAGTTCAAAATTAGCACTCAGAATTGGACTCAAATTATCCTCCGAATGGGCGCTGCCATAGGGCCGATTTTGCTGAGACAGCAATGCATAGAACTCGAACCATCCATTTTGTTGGGGAGCATTAATCTCTCAAATACGTAACCCGAGAGACCCAGCTGACACGAGAATGGATAATGGTGAAATGAAGACCACAGCATGTGAATGTATATCTGCGCTGGATAAGCTTGGTTCTGCAATTGCATTTTTAGAATATTTTAACTGTTAAAAAGGTGTGGGACTTAGATGAGTAGTGCAGGCTGTTGCCTCAGAGCATGTCATTATTCGCCAACAGGCGCAAATGCAATCTTGAAAATGCATGAAGAGCCTGAAAAAATGCAGCCTTGTTTGTCTTCAAGGGCTTCATTCACTACCTAGCTCACAGTTCAAAGGTAAGTGGCATTTCATCGCTAGAAGACTGGTCAATCTGTACGTGCTTGCGAGTGTGTCCGATACATTGGAGACGAAATCGTTCACTTGCCGTAGGCAAGCCAACAACTGAGACTGAAATTTACTCGATTAATTCAGCCCGAAACAGGTCGAAGCTGTGTAAGAAGGCCGCTTGATTTTCAGAAACTACCAGGATCAGATAGGCGAAAATCCCGTTCCTACTCGGCAAAGCAAAAACATCGTTTCCACGAAACAGGCCTTAGGAGTATGAAGTGATCATTATGGGAATATGGAGGATGAGGATTAGAATGAGGCAGAGCATCCCTCTTTCTCTCCCTTATCTTTCAGCATAGGGTAGGCAGACAGATTCTAAATATCCTGGAATAGCACCAGCGTTGCTTTTGGGTGGTACACCATTTAAAGCAAATACTTAGTGAGAAAAGCATATGGGAAAGGCAATAGTTTTGAAGCTTATTCTTTGCCGCCACTTCAAAGGATATACTTTTTACTGCATTATACTGTGGTGGGCAATAAAATAATGATTCTTTTGGAAAAAGCATAAGGTGCCATTTAGTACAACAACTGGGTAAGTTAAATGCGATACCAAAATACACTACAGGTCAGACTAAATAATATGAGTGACTAGAACTGTAATACCGAACTTCTAATTCAACATGGGCAGGTCCATGCCCATTCGCAGCAGCACTCAATCGACCTCGTACAATTCAAGCATGCGATATCACTCACGGTAGTGGCAGGAGCTGGATTTAGCGAAAACCTTTTTTATCAACTACCGTACTTTTATGGTATCAATTTATCATCACATACACTGGTCGATGTTTAATAAAATCGTTCGTCATTTCTCATTCTCCTGTTCAGATTCTTACATTGTCAGCAGGCACTCGCAAGTCACCATTAAGTTGGTGAAGGTAAGCATACCATTTGAACAACCACTGCTTCTTCATTGAGACATTATGAGACAAATTTTTGACTTGGATTTTAGATATTTCAAAATACTAGGCCGTAATTTAGTCTACCACACCTTTGACCACATAGACTTTCGTGATCTAGATACTGCTTTGATGCCAACTCCGATACTAGAGTGTCGCAGTACAACAACATTGCTGCTTAAGAACCGACAAGGGAGAAAGGAGACAAACACCTCACCCGCTGAGTGAAGGGGCACGGAAGGATGCGGAAGTACTGGGCAAGTTTATTGGCCCTCTGTGTCTTTGCCTCCTGAATCGCCTCCTCGCTGCGCGGGCGCGGTTTCGCGTCAGCCATGCCTAGTGGTGATCCAAATAGCAGGTTGCTTTGTTCAGATGATCCAAAGGTAAAGAAATGATATGAGACCCTAACGAATATTGATGTCAGTGCGATAAAAACTATTTAAATCTTACTTGGAGGACGCATCACAATCTCGTACTTTGTTATATAATAACTTATTCCTTAATACTGGCGCAAAATTTTGCAGGGGAGGCTAAGAATGGGCTAGCGACAACAGCAAAATTATTCATTATCTGAAAGTACTCTATAGAGTCACGCCATTATCAGAACTACTCAGAATTCATGCCCTTTCTTGAATCAATTCAAATTAAGATTATGCCATGACGGATGGACCTGCGACGGATGGAGTCAGAACAAATGAATGGAATTTGTTCAGGTCCAAATGCGGAATATTTTTTTTCATTAAAACATTCACGTTACTTTAACTTAGATGAGGAAATAACTGACAGACATGCGCGAGGTGACAGAGGTCAATCCCCTCTCAGCAGGCTGTAGACTACAAAATTGAAAGGGAGTTTTTCTCGGTGAAGTGCACTACTGTCAGTTCAGTGTATTTTGGAAATTCCTAGGGACCTTCTTTTGCGAATTTCCGTGAGTAATTGAGACATTTCCTCCTTTACGCAACTGGTTTGGAAAAAAACGGTAGAAATAGTGGAATTTTTAACCCAAGATAACAATCGTTTGCATGAAAGCAATAAACTGATCAAAGTAATGGGGCTAATCCAAATTAAACGCCAGTTAGGTTGTACTGTTGTTTTATTCTCAGTGAATAAAAAAGCAGTTTTCTTCCATAAAATGTCCAGTTAGAAGGACTCTTTCAATCAAAACAGGATAATAGAGAGGACAGTGGCTAACAATAAGTTTTTCCAAAACAGCACAATCGCATTATTCTTGGAAACGGATTTGCCTTGGATTGTCAAACATCCAAGTGTGAGCATTTTTTAATGTATATTGAAATGAAAATTCGTCAAAAGTCATAATGCCTATTTCCATGAATATGTCTTTTAAGCATAATAACCAACAGTGGAAAAACTTTGACATGAGCTGCAGTGTGGGAGAGTTGCTTTGAAGATTCCATTAAGTGGCGTTTTGTAACCTACTTGTAAATAAGTCGATGTGGAGTCCACTTCATTTCAAAAGTGGAATAATATTGTCACCAAAATCCTGATTATGGTAATTCCATTCCAAAGGATTAAAATTAACAAGCCATTTTTCACAGAACCTTAGTGGCACCCGACAGCCCTTATCAAAAAAGACCACACTTGCAGGCAGCTGCTGCCAAAATCAAGTACTTAAACGTAGCATGAGTGTACTTTAGTGATATTTTGGTCCAAAAAAAGCTGAGTAATGCACATCCTTTGTTGTTTACGTGGTTTGGATACATTACACAAAGACTTTTCAACTTGTGCGGTGCAGTAGCTGGTAATGGCTGGATGAATGCGAACGCGTTTACAAAAACGGTGGGAACACTAGTGCAGTATACCCTTTTCCAAGCATAAAACGACCAGTCCTCGACCGAGTTTGTGATAAGTTTCAATGGATGACAAACAAACACAATCAAGTGTTTAAAGGAATGTGTAAACGTTAACCAAATGGGGGGTTTGGACATGGATATAACTACATTATGCTGTGCCGTTCAGTATCCAGAACAGACGCAGGAAACGACTCCGGCACGTCTCAGTTCCCATGCAACTGAGTACCAAAAGTGAGTCAGGTAGTGCAAAAAAAGGTACTACCAAATTTGTGACACCTTAACAATCTGCTTGATTTAAGAGACACAAATCCACGTTTCTGGTTGGTCATGTTTTCTTAGCGTAAACGGTTTGCATAAAGTAAGAGATTTTTTTTTCTGTGTAAGATTGGCAGGTGAATCGAGGATTATGTGCAAGACCACTTGACAGAATGTGATGCACATGCGAATGAAGGCGCAGACTGCTTGCGACGCAAATGTTTTTGTCATGTTTTGATTGTTGAACAAAACAACTGTGAAAATCTTTTTAAAGTAACAAAATGAAAAGCCTGAGGCCCACGTGTGTTCACTTGCCTGCTATGACGCCCTTTCCGAAAAGCAATCAAATTACCGATTGGCGCTGTTTGAATTTATACAAACTGGAGAGCTATCGATTTCCGATGCACATATATGATTGACGAATCCCAAGTAACCAAGCTTACTTCGATGACTAATTTTCCTTCAACAACTGGATTGCGTCATTTAGAGCTCGGACCACAGCACCCCTGACATAAATGGCATCCCCTTGTAATCAAAAACGAGAACTGGGCATGCTCAATGGAGGGTCACAGACAGACCACCAAATCGCCTCGTGAACTGTCCAACTCACAATGGATACTGGGCCTCTGTCGGCATCCTCGCGGCTACTCGCCAGTCTTTCCGCCTTCTCCGTAATAATGGAATCATGCGGTTACTTTGGACGCATGTCCTGATTTCCCGTCAACTTAGAGACTACATTTTTTTTTGACACTTTTCCAAGACCATAGAGGGGATAAAATTTCACGGTATTTTCACGTGCAGATCCCATCGCTAAATCATAGGAATAGCTCGAGCGATTCGGGGTACCACCAAATAGAGTAACAGTTGGAGAAATCATTTAAACATGCAGTGCAAAAGCAGGTCAGCTGACAAATACAAGACCAGGGCGAGAGAAAACAAGATCGCGATCTTCCACTGAAGATAGCAGGCCCTCAAACCGGCATTAGACGTCGAATATCTACAGTCTTCATTCAAAATGAGCCCTCTAGCAAGAATGTCGCCCCCAGAAAAGGCAGTGTGAAGGGCGATCTGTTAATCGGTTTATCGAAACCACCTATGTTACCAAACTCATCATTTGTTGATGCTAATAGCTGGCCGAGACTATTAAAAAGGTAATCAAGCTACAAATCCCTCGCTAGAGAGCACTTTATTCCGGCACTCAAAGGCACACAATCTCTTACTATGAAATTAAACTCGCCATGCACAAAAGGCAACGAGTACACAAATGGCAAATTTTGGAATAGACAGAGAAAACTTAGTTTCATTTCTTGCCACGGTGCTTATCAATTTCGGCAAGCAAGTTCTCAGCAGCCTCGGCACTCTTCACGCGAATGAGCATCGGAACAGGACGAGGAGGTGAAGCTGTCACCTCTCCCTCCTTCGTTTTGGCATTTCCTGGTAGCGGTGGGGAGGGCACACAAGCGAAGGTAATGTTATTCTTCTGCAGCTGCATTGGGATATCCCTTGTCACCATTATATTCAGCAGGATATTTCCTAAAAATAGGTGGATGGCACCAATTTCGTCGACAAGTGAAATGGTATAGATAGGTATAAATTTGTTTAAAAATGATTTAATGGATGAGTACGTGAAATATGGACATCGCTGATCATGAGTATTCAAAGATGTCAGTTTTTTACTACTTCAAAACTTCCAAAGTCCTCACCCAAGTTGGTGTCAGCGCGAACAAGAAGTTGGAATTTTTCGTCACCAGAGGGGATAATATGAAGATTTCCTAGGCCCCGTTCAGTCCACTGATCCACCTTTTTGTAAAACAGTTTGCATCTACATAAAGAAAACGACTACTAGATACTTAAATAAAAAGTGGCATGAGGTAGCCATTGAATACCTGACTGTGTAAACAGAACCCTCCTCCTTGACTTCTCTCACCTCAGGTTTCGGTGGAACATACTCTTCTTCATCGCCTAACATAGAAATCAAGATTTACCCGCGTCATCATTTACCTTGATCAACCGTAGTTAGGGAGGTAGTAGCTGAGGAGTTTGAATCTTCTCCCTGCTTCGCTGGTACAGAAGTGAATGAGAACGTTTGTGGATTTGAAGTAGGGTTATTTGAGCTAGTTGAGGATGCTAATCCAAAGGGGAAAAGGAACGGCTTTGGCACAGCCGACTCAGTGGATGACGTTGACTGGAACTTGAAACCGAATCCATTGGTAGCGGTTGTTCCAGTTGTCGACATGGGTTGAAGCGACGATGCCGTAGGTTCCGGAGTAGTACATTCCTCTACCGTAGCAGAAGTAGAAGCTGGGGCGGCAGCTGGCTGAGTCATCTGTTTCTCGGATATCACATCACCCGTGGACGATTCTATTGAAGCGAGATGCTTAGCGTAATCATCAAAAATGGGGGTCAAGATGCAATAAGGATCCTCTGAAACATGCTTCGAAATCCACGCCGATACTTCTTTATTAAGGACTGCCAGTTTCAACAAGTAAGCATCATTTTTAGGTTTTGACTTTGAAAATGTAATGAAGGAGGTGGGAGGGGTCGTATCTCGAGGAGACCCAAAAACATCGAGAGATTTGAAAAGACCACGTTTAGATTGGGCAACAGGTTGACCAGACTTCCTTCTGGCAATTATGATATTCCGGGCCTTGATAGTAGCCTCATCAGCTTTTTCAAAAACATCGGGCTTAACAGGTTCATCTGGTGCATCCCAATTGTCGTAATCTAAGGGCTTATCAGCGCCTCGTTTTGACATGTGAACTCAATTGCCACGTAGGCCTGTAAGAGAGAGTAGGCCCGCGCAGGCTAGATTGTCGGTTATGTGAGATGAAGCTGATGAAAAACCCGTTTATGATAATTCTGACTAAATTCGAGAAATTCGTTAAGAGATCTAGTCGTCCTAAATTAAATAACTGTCCAAGTGTCTGTAGCTATGTTTGGTGGAACAGAGTATTCAGGCATTTATTAGCCGTATTAAAGAAATGAGCTGTGCTGTGAATGTGCCACGCAGGAAGAATAGCAAATAAACCTTCTGATCTAGGTTTCAAAAACAGCTTGCCATCCTTTAAATTAGGCATAAAAGGACATACTAATGACAGGGGAGTTTCCGGATGAGGGAGTTCCAAATACGTGAGATTCTCAAATCGTTGGCAGTAGAAGGGGAAAACCCCACTGTAATCACAATTCAAAATCAGCGCCTAGGTTTTTGCAGGTTAAATCACCACAGCTACTGATATGGCTTAGAGGTCATGCCGCTTAGCGGAAGCACACAAGCGGAGCACCTATAAGTGCCTCCTTTACCAAAATCGAGAGTTCAACAAAATGTCGACATGTAGCATAGGCTCTCCTGATATAGGCACCGTTTCTGGTGCCGCCCTTAGTCAACTGCCATCACGACGTGTTCGGTGCTCTCAGAAAACGCCCACGAGCCAACCATGCCAGTAATCGTATTTCCATACAAATGAGGAGATAATTGACCGCGGCGCCACTGGTCACCGATATGTAATTTGGTCTTGTATATAAGCTGGGTTCAGGAACGGAAGAGTACGCTGGCCACCGCACGTGTTCATAGCTAGTCGCAGGAATTTTGGTCTAAAATAGAGTCATGTAGCAAGGGACGGAATTTAGCATAGTTTTGCAGGGGTGGGGATTTACTTCTATTCCTCCTTGCCTTATTGTTACCACTTTATCGCTCCCCAGCCATCTGGACTCTACTAACCTTGTAATGAAGTTGAGAAGGTATAGCTTATTCAATTACCTGACACCTTCATACAGGTACAGTAAGCCGCTCTGTAACGAAATTTTACCAAATGTTTCACGGCTAATATCGCTTTGCCGTTAAATACGCGACCGGGGCAGTTGCCGAAGCCAGAGCTCGTCTTCATCCCTTCTGTTGAGGGTCATCACAGTTTTTCCCACAGCTAGAGTTTAGCATTTAGCAGTAGAAATCAGGATAGTTGGTATTACTAGCAGGTTTACTTACCACTGCTACCTATGTAGCTCCCTGAGGCTTACCATAGGCAAAAGAAGACATAATACGTGGGCGGAATACATAAATTTGACATGCAGAAGGTATTAGGGCTACTGACATGGACCAAAAGCCATGTGTTTGCTCATCTATTTGGCATTAATCCCAAAATCCACCAGTATGATAAATTAGACACAAAGGATGTGGATCAGATACTTGTAAGATATGTTTCAGCATTTAGTGACTTCCCCTAGCTGTTGCAGATTGCAGCAGTACGAGGGAAGATAAACGATTTACACGAGGTGATGTTAAATGCACTTATAGAAAACATTAAATAATTACAATATTATATTGTAGCAGCCTTAGCTACCCTTGAAGTTGTGACAAGCTGAAGTTAAACAGGGGGCCGTATATTACTTGGGTGCGGAACGAATGGAAATTTACTAGCACGGCACAAATGCCATGTCGCGAAGTGAGGTTAAAGACTTGGGAGACTGACTGATAGTTAAACGGGATATTAAGTCACAACGGTAGGTCAAACAAATGTTGTCAAATCTTCTTCATGCATTAAATTCTCTTGGGTCTCAAAATAAGGCGCCATGATGGTAAAGTTCTGGTAAGTAGTAGAGTCTTGCAGTTTATACCCATGGATTACATTGGCAGCAATATTGCAGCAACCAATTCATTTCTGAAATATCCGTTGTTTATTACTATTTTAAGCACAGCAGCCAGACGACTGGCACGGGGATTAAATAATAATGACAAATAATTCCCACAAAAGAACTACTGTGCTACACTATGCTTTCAGGTGCAGTTTTTGAGAGTTGGTTAAGTAAAACACTGCCCTGCTTGTTTTAAACCTCCGAGGTTTCGGTCCGATCGCCCCTCTTTAACCGTGATGCCGTTCCGCTCTCGTTCACCTATACGCAGGTTTGCCTAGTCTTTTTTTAACAGAATGAAGTAGGTGGGGTGGTTCATCGTCCAGGCGCGCCCGTGACTCAAGTCTTGACGATTTAAAGCCACCGCGGTGGGATCTCTCCGACCTTCCCCGATTCGAAAAAGTGTTCTACAGAGAACATCCTGCTGTCACTAATCGCCCCCAGGAAGAGGTTGATAAGTTCCGAGATGAAAATCGCATGACCCTAAGTGGTCGAGATGTACCTCGACCAATCTTCGGTTTCAATGAGGTCGGTCTACCCTCTTACATTGTCAGCGCGTTCCAGCGTGCCGGTTGGGCCACTCCGACTCCCATACAATCACAGGGATGGCCAATGGTGCTCAGTGGTCGGGATGTAGTTGGTATTGCACAAACGGGCTCTGGTAAGACGGCTTGCTACCTGGTTCCTGCGTTGGTTCACATCGAGGCCCAGCCGCGTCTCCTCAGAGATGATGGTCCCATTTGCTTGGTTCTCGTACCAACTAGGGAATTGGCGCAGCAGGTTATTCAAGTTGCGGAACAATTTTGCAGTGCGGCGAGGCTTAGAACCGTCTGCCTCTACGGTGGTGCTCCAAAAGGTCCCCAACATCGCGACCTTCTAAGGGGTGCTGAAGTGTGTGTGGCTACTCCTGGTCGTCTTATTGATTTCCTCAAAACTAGAGCGTAGGGCTGCTTCTATTGACTGACATTTTGTGTAGGACAAACTTGCGTAGATGCACATACCTTGTCTTGGATGAAGCCGACAGAATGCTGGATATGGGTTTCGAGCCTCAAATCCGTAAAATCGTCGAACAGACTCGTCCTGATCGTCAGACTGTGATGTGGTCTGCCACATGGCCACGTGAAGTTCAGAGTCTCGCCCGTAGCTTTTTGAAAGACTACATTCAGGTCAATATTGGATCCACTTCGCTCCACGCGAACCCCAATATCACTCAGATAGTTGAGGTGATTGAGGACTACGACAAAGATCAGAAGCTCATAGGTCTGATTAAGTCATTCAACGGTCTTCGGTGCTTGGTCTTCGTTGAAACCAAGAAAAAGTCCGACCAGATTGCATTTTTCCTTAAAAGAAACGGGATCCGCGCCGCAGCAATGCACGGGGATAAGGTTCAAAGAGAGCGTGACGCTACCCTCGATGCCTTTAGACGGGACCATATTACTGCTCTTGTTGCCACTGATGTTGCATCCCGTGGTTTGGGTACGACTACCCCTTCCCTTGCTTTGCTTTTTTGTCTTTGTTGTTTATTTACTTTTCGCAATTTTCAGATATTGATGATATTGAATACGTGATTAATTATGATTTCCCCAATCAGACTGAGGATTATATTCATCGCATCGGTCGAACTGCCAGAAGCAACAAGAAGGGGACCGCATTTACCTTCTTTACACCTAAAAACTATAAACAGGCTGGTGACCTCGTAGACATATTGGAGGAGGCTGGGCAGCAAGTGAATCCCGAGCTTCTGCGCATGGCTGGCGGTAGCTGCCGCTTCAGAGGTCGAAATGGTGAGTCGCCGAAGTGTCGATTTCTCACGCTGATATTCATGTAAGCTTATTGGTAGTTGAATGGCGCGTGCATGCTCACGCAGCCACTGGTGGTGAATCTCCTCCATTGTTTCACCTTTTGCATTTTTCGATATGGTCCTGTCCAGGCCGATGAGTGTCTATCCGTGCTTTACGGAGGTTTCACTTAATAGGCCTCGATTGGATGCGCCTGTGCTATGTTCTGCCCCCTCGCAATCATTGCTTCATTCTCTACAGATCGCAGCACCAGCCGCTTTGCCCCCCGAAGTGGCCATTCAGGACGAACGGGTGGTAGCTATACGAATCATAGTGCTCAGAGTGGACATTCCTCCTACAGAACCCATGATTCGTATTCAGCACGCAATGGCGGTTCGAGTTATAACGCTAGCCTTTCGAAACCCGAGAACCGGTACCAAGATAGGATCACGCCACAATCATCTGCTTCACAGGCACCTATTCCTAATCTGGGAGAGAAGCGAAATTACTCACAGACTTCCCTCAGTAGTACCAGCTCTTACCATCAGCTTCCAAAAATAAGCAAGTCTAGCTGGGGTGACAGCGCGGCACAACCCGCTTACTCGCAAGCGGTACCCCAGGTTTCATCTGCACCCCAGGGTGTTCAAACTAACGGCTGGAACAATCCGTCCCAGTCATGGGGGAAGAATAGTCTCCCAGCTCTTCTTTCAGCTACGAATCAGGTGCCCAATAATAATCAATGGTCCAATAGCAACGCCTATGCCCCGGCCCCATTGTCGTCACAAATCGCAGCTGTGGCTGCGAAATCAATCCCTGACTACAGTCAGATTCCCCCTCCTACACTTCCATCCTCGGGTAAAGTTGCACCCGTTTACCACACCCCGCTCCCACCACTACCACCCCCTGTGGCCTCTCAGCCAGCTAAACCGGCTGCCTACATACCGCAACCGCCCAAGCCATCATCTAGCTACGTTCCTCAGCCACCAACATCGTCTGGTTACACGCCATATGTGAGCCAGGCTCCACCGACGTACCCCCAGCTACCACCACAAACTTGGTCTCAAGGCTCGTGGCCAACATCACAGCAGTATTCGGGCTATTGAGTCCATTGCATCAACACTTTGTCTTCGATAAAGTCCACAGGATCTGCCATACTTTCATTAAATACATTAATTAAATAGTGGGACCTTTCAGGTTAAGTGTTTGTCATCTATGGTCTTGACAGGTCAAGGCTTATCGTGTTTCAGCGCAGTTAGTCAAGCAGCAATAATTAAGCAGTTTCGTTTATCCTTTTAGGTATTGCTGCTTCACTTTCGAGCAAAATTGCATTGAGACCAGCGTCCGTTATCGGATGAAAGCCAGGCACCCACGCACACACTACCAGTACTACTACTGTATTTGGAAGGGCCTTTCCTCTCGGAAGGCGAGCATTATCGACCGGAGGCAAGCCGTAACTCCTCGAGTGGATATCCTGTATTCATTCCTCGGAAAACGGCTTCATCGGTCCTGAGTTGGCCCAGCTGGGTCATGCGAGTGTGAGGCGCATACTAGCGATCAGATATCATTTCATACTGTGTGCTTGGTAACTGGTCTCCATAGACTTAGATCCAAACCTCATACATTAGTAGTGGTTAGAAGAAAGCGAAATACGTTAGATTTTTCGTGTTCCCTCGTGTTTTAGGCCTCTAAGCCTGGAACACTAGGGCTTGTAAGGTTCAGAGAGGCTCACGTAAGTTTGCATCTTATTATTTTCGTTGTTGGTTTCTTTATGAAAATAAAAATGATTTAATACCCTAGACTCGCATAATCAGTTGTTAATTTTGGACTTACTACGACAACGTCAATCAAATGAAACACCGAAGTTGTGTTGTGTCTAATTCCAAATATTACAAAAACCCCGTTGCGTCGGCCTCTGTTTTTTGATCGGCTCCTGAATCGCCTGGGATTGTATCTGTCTTGTCCTCCGGGTTATTGGCTCTGATTCCGCATCTTCCTGACGAACGTCGCGATCTTCGATAACTCTCGCCGCGTTGAAGAGGAACGTCAGGGAGGAGGTCGTATCTGCCCAGGTCGCTTCCACTCAGACTGAGGCCAATGGGTTTTAGTATTTCACTTCCGACGAACAGTGCGCTGCTTTTTGTCCTATCGCAGTTGAGCGTACGTCTCTGCATCGAGCAGTATTTATAGCAAAATATTATCCATAAGCAGTTCGTCACCAATATAACTAGGCAGATAGTCCCTAAAATTGGGGAATTTTAAGCCTTCGTAAAGGTGGTGGTACATGCCTCCATCCCGTCTCTACGATGCTCACCGAGAATGATGTAGAATGAGGTCTTGTCTAGTTTGATGAGTGCCTCATCCTCCATACCCCTGAAGCAGACCTCGAGACATTTCATGTAAAGTGTGGAGTTCGTCACTGACGTAGTCCTCCTGCAGACGCTAGCGTTGACCTCGGTTGAACAGCTTTTTATGGCGCTTGTTTCACCGAGCTGAAGCTACAGATAGGGGTGGTTGAAACGCTTAGGGATTGTTTGGTTGATATAAGGGTTACAGTCACTTACGGGAATTCTGGGGCTGTACTTGATGGTTATACACATTCTCTCTCCAATGGCTTCATTTGGGGAGTCCAGTGTGGTCTCTATGACGTCGTGGAGATAGAAAACGGAATTATCCTGGAGGCTTAGGCTCTTGAAGAAGTATCGCAGTTCCCCAATTCCTGGGACGTTAGATCCATGTGACTCACAAAATTTTGCGGCATGTGATTTATCCGTGATGGATTGTTGATACCACTCGAAGACGGCGACCTCCCCAGTTTCTGTGATGGTTACCTCCTTGTGGCCCATTGGGTCGATCGTGGCCACAAGCCTCAAGGTGATTAACGTTAGGAGCGCGAGCCGCGAGCCTTCCATGGTGTGTTGGTGGTGTGTGTGGCGCACGTTCTCGCACGCCTGGTCGAGGCGGCTGCGATTTGCATAATGCGTGGTGGCCGGCCAATCCTGTCGATTTGTGATAGTCGAGATATGTACATTAGCTGGATGATGATTACTGTTCTTAAACGTTGGGTTTATTCGGTTGTTCCTTCTGTTTGTCAATATATTATGGTCGGTGAAAGCATTGGGGGGTGGATGACGAGTTCCTATTTTTGGCAACGAGAAGAACACTGGACAAGGTGGGGTTTCGGTTGCCGCTTTGATAATCCGGTTGGGTAGCTTCAGCTTGCGGGTTATGGGATCCGGGTAGTAAGCTTCACCAGGATGTTTCTTGCATACAGTCGATGATTACTTGTTTTTTTTTTTTGAAATCTCCCTTTCGAGATCTACATTTGAGTGCCTGTGTAGCGAGTAGGGCTTTTTCGGCCCTAACCGGAGCGTCTGGTCCTGGTGGTACCAACGGTGGCTTCGGACGCTTTGAAGGCGAGGTAGACTTGTTGCATATCAAGCATTAGTGATGGCCTTAGCATCATTACCCATCGTTTTGATAACAGGTGAGCAAGCATGGATGATGCCTTGTCTGTATTTAAACAGTAGCGTTTCAAATTTGAGCGCAGACTGTCACGTCTGGGCGCATTGAAGGCTTGAGGATCAGGTACGGTCTGTCCGCAGATGTTGAGAGTCTGGTTTCGTCCAGGTTTTTATGAGGCAGTGGAAGTCTTCTAAGCCTTTAAAAGGTAAATTTCCTAGGTGGGTTGACGGGGTTGTAGTTAATGGTATCTGGTCACGAGCCTGCCTCCCATCGGACCGACTGATTCAGTTTGCGATTGCGTTTCACCGCAGCAGTCGGGATCTCTGGGTTGGAAGCAGTCAACTTCTCTTCCGCACTTGCCACTTTGTGCTCTGGGCGATGGAGCATGTAGTGTGAAGCTCATGATGATATATCACAGGTCAGGTGTGTACAGTCCCCAGATCAAAAGGTACCCTGAGTTTGATGGAAACATGACGTACTTTGAATCGCTAAAATAAGACGTTTCCACCCCAAAACCGATGAAATTCACCAAGTACGTGACACAACACGAAACCACGAGAAGTACCTTGTATATTGGTAGGATACACACAAGAACAGAGGATGCACAAGTGTCGCTTGACTATCAAAATTACTGCAGTGAGGGATGGGGTAGTGATAGCAGGAGGCACGAAATTTGTGGAGGTCTCCATTACAGCGGTGAGGGAGGAAACGATCCACCTCTACTTTGTTGTAGTACGATGGGATGGGTTATCGGAGAAGCGCTATCTCAGGAGATGGCGCACTTCTGCAAGGAAGAGGTACAAATGATGGGAGGGCCGCGTGAAATCCAGATCAATCGTGCTTCAACAATACACCAAACTATTGCCACACACTTGAAGCAGATAAAGTCCCAAACTCTTAAACTTCATTCGAATAAATCACACGGTTTCGGGATGGTGGAATTCACTTTTATTCTCTATCCACATTGGTATTTATCCCCATTCAAAGCCGTAGCAAGTGGATTTGTAAACGTCAAGGCGTCAGCACAGCATGGGAAGATACGCGGAGCTGAAGTACGACGCATCCACGTGACGAGCGCTCAGAGAGGGTGTGCCCAGGGAGAGGTGTTATAGAGCACACCATCAGGGACGGATAAATGTTTCCTACTAAGAGCAAAATCCATTTGCAAACTTACACTATTAGTGGGCGGAAACGATAGCTGTAGATAGGCATTTCTCCAGTAGTGCCAGTCGCTTTGTTCTCGACTTAGTTCTATGTTACAAATGATAGACGTGGAAGGTTGGATTTCGAGTGGTGAGTTTTTTCCCCATAAATTGACAAAGAAATAAAGATATACACTGAATAATTTCAATGCGCTTCCATACCACAAAAAAAGGAACAGACGGAGGTAACTGTGTTTACGAACTCGGAATCTCAGTGGGAAAAAACGAAGATCATAAACTTTGAGATTCTGCGCTATTTCGGCAAATGCATAGGTACTGTCGTCCTCTGAGTAGCATTTTGAAGGGAGACACATGAAACATTGGATCATGATGGCACTTTCGTGAAATTGGTGAACCCGAAGGCTTTGCATTCAGCGTTTCAATTAGAAGAGGTACTGATAGCTGATGAGTATGCTGAAGCAGTGGCCGCGAGAGAATATCATGACATAGTCAAAGGTGAAGCAATAGATGAAAGCACAATTCACGCAGGCAAAAAAATTAATCGTGACCTCACATACGCATAAAAAACAACCCGACTTAAGCTTAGCGAGGGAGCAAATGAAGTGCCCGTTCCTGGCTTTTCACAGGGCAAGACGAGTTCATTCAAGGAAGGGTCATGGAGGTTCAGCAAAGTGCATAAACCGCAAAATAAAAACTGCATGAGCATCACAAGCAATTTGTACACAAACTCAGGACTTTAATGAACGCTGGCAGGCTATTTTTTACGTCTTGTGAGTGTGTGGCTATTGTAATTCTACAAAATCTGTTATCTGTACACAAAGTAAGGGCAAAGAAGTTGCCCAAACGAATTCGCACGCTTTTCGTATTAGAATTATTTGGAATAGTTAGTATTACAACCACTCCTCAACTAAAACCTAGGTTCTGTAAAACACACACCTTGGTCACCTTTTTTACCAGTTGTCCTTTCAAGCTGTCAAGCATGCGATTGTCTAATGATAGTACTAAGGTAATGGACATTATATGAAGAAACACCATAAGGAAATTGCGGTGACTGATGGTGGGGATGAGATGGACTTCCTCCCTCTCATCCAAAAATACGACTGGTGTAATGAATTGTGGGCAAAAAACCGGACAACCCCTAGTTCGCATGGGGTGAAATGATGAACAAAAAATGGATACACCTTGGGGATTGTCGTCTGCTATCTGGGCATGAAACGGGTACCTCTTTGCCTAGTAGTCCCCACAGACTTCTCTTTCCATTTCTCAGAATAGTTATTTTTGTCTTACGCTGCACCACGAACAATCATGCAACTGATCAAACTGTTACGAGTGCAAATTCGGTAAATATGTGGCTTAAAATTCCAAATTAAAGGGTCGATATAAGAAACCCTTTTATGGAAGTAGTTCAATCGGACTAATTACTGGTTAATGGTTAGCCACATGGAGGTCTACATGACCTCCGAATTAGAGGGGGTAAGAACGCGACCGCGCTAGCAGAGCATCAGATGAAATCTTGATGAACCCTCAAAACAAAAAATAAATGAAATTCACTGTATTAAGTTTTCATGTTGGATAGCAACGCAAGAGCAAATTTCAAAAAGAAAACTTTCGTAGCTTTACTTCGACAATGAAAAAACAGATTGAATAAGCACCTAGCAATAAATGCATCCTACAGAGCATTACTTTGCAGAAATACACTAAAAAAGAATGCAAGAAAAGCCCTTGAATTCAACAAAAGACATCCAAGTGGGTCATCAAATATGGGCATAATATCCGATTTCCACTAAAAAAACTAGTGCAAATTAGTTAAGGCGAGAAGCAGCAAAAGTACCCAGCAATTCCTATCTTAAATGATAACTCGTCTGCGCATGTGGTAGCAAACAAATCTAACCTAAACGTAAAACCCATCACAAAGCTCTTTGACCTTGATCAAACGGATGAGCCAGTACATGAAAGACGAATTTGCAGTTTAACCAGTGTTATCACGTCGCCCACTACTAGTAATCGGGACCACAAGAGACGTCAACTCACTAAAAAAATCACCGATCCCCATGAATAGACAGATTTCATTAGCTTTCATATTTCGGATTGGAAGCTATAGCTTCTGAACCTTCTACTTCAATGAGCAACGAGGTAGCTGTGCAATACATCCGGTTGATACATGTCTTGGAAGAAATTTAGTCTGACCCCAACGACTGATTGGTCATGATGATCGTTTAACGCATCCAATGACAGCATCGCATACGTGAAGCATATCAACAAAGTGACCTTAGAATGATAAAAAAAACAATTGCAAGAACCTTCTTTTATTACTTCGTCAAACTTGTTGTGGTGGACACCGGTTGGCTATAGCAGGTTTGCCAAGTCTTACGGAAACGCTAATGCAACGCCTAAGTACTAAATAGATACCATTAGCATAACCTTTACACCACTGGCCTTTTGATGAATAAAAGTCCGGTTTTCTACGCGCGTTAATAAATAATGAAAACAAACTTCGATACCATAATAGAAAACCTTCACTTTGCAAAATCGTTTACTCTACCTCTCACAGTAGTCCAGCAAATTAAACAGCCATCGTGAAAAGATCGAATTTTTCATGATAATGAAATAGCACCGAACTCAGTTTATGGAAATACCAAACGCACACAGCCATTTTTACCTGATTTTCTTCTGTTACTCATGCAAATTTTCCCAATCAATTGTTTACTTGCATCAACATTCGACCCATGTGCTCCAATGAGATGCCAAGTGCTAGTGAACGAATTGCCGTTCTTGCAAATGAGGTATTTCTATGTTAGGCTTACCTGTTCAGTGCAACCAATCAGTAGAATTGTTTCCGACTTTCTCACATATCTAATCTTACTCGTGAAGCCTACCTAGGTTCGAAAAGATGATAGTAGTGAATCACTGGACAACCATTCTTGCATTGAAAAATCGTGCTAAGGACGCATCTCCATAGTGGCCGAAAAAGTGAATCGCAGTGAAAGTGAAGAGATACGGTGCGACATTACGGAATATCAGGCCTGGTGCTTAAGAAGATCGGACATTTCAAATACGCACCCAGGAGGAAGGGGACTCCTCTCGCTGATGACGATGCCGATGCTGACTGGAGTGGGAGGGAGATTGGCGAGGTCGGTAGCGGGGACTGCCCGGGGACTGGGAGTAGTACGCCGCATTCTCCTCCGCCTGCAGCCGCCGCGCCAACTCCAGACTGGACTGCTCTTGAGCCTCCTCGTGCTGCAGGCAATTGTGCAAACAAATAAGCAAATAAATCGGACAAGAATGATGACTGACTTACTTCAAGAAAAAGGAAATTTGCTCGATCAACAATTTTTCATAAGTGACTGCTCTATAAAATTGAGTCATATTGAGCCAAGATTCTTAGCAGCTAACAGATGATATGATAATCCGTATTGAAGAGTAGTAAATATCAATGGGTTAATAAATGACTGAGCAAGTACGCTCTATAAACCATAAAACTACAAAAAACGCCTAGGCGTCGCCGCACATAAAGCTGGTCAAAGAAGTGTGTATAGGAGCAGGATATACACATATACATGAGTTCGGCCTTTGCATCAGAGATGAAAGTTACTCTAGTGAAGAGACCTGAGACAAGAAGAAATCGCGTAGAAACATCATTGCCTTTTGTCATTGTACATTTTACGGCAATTCGAGTACTGTGAAATGTACAATGACAAAGCTCTGCTACTAGACTACTAGCCATTCTGCACACCAACAGGCAAAGGTCAAGCTTTCCATTGACTGGATACTAGACCAAAGTATGCAGGTGGATCTCCAAAGTCATAAAAAAGGATAGTTGAAAGCGCGTCAATTTTGGCAGCTACTCCACCCTCAGGTTCTGCACGATGGATAGCAATGGAGATCAAATGTCCAATATTTGTACAAATAACCTTAACCTTAAGATCTTATAAGTCTTCAAGTTGCTAAAAGTGAAGCGCAACTCAAAGGAGGAAGGGCAGCATCAGGAGCATTGAAAATACAAAGTGGGAGGGATGAATGCATTATAATGACCGGTTTTGATGTGAGACAAAATTGATAAAACTACCTAAACCAGGCATATTCAAAACGGGAACTCACCCAGGAGGAGGGAGACTTAGCTGGACCGTGTCCACCGCTGCCACCGCCTCCACCACCACCACCACCGTTTTGTTGACGGTGGGAAGGGGAGCCTGAGGGGGGCTGTTTAAGATAGGCTGCATTCTCCTCCGCTTGAAGCCGCTTCGCCAACTCCAGATCCGCCCGCTCCACTGCTAACTTGTGACTGGAGTAGTGCCAATACAAATAGACGACTTTCAAGATGTCATCATTAACCACAGTACTATTATAAGGTAATCAAGCATAGCTGCTTGCTACTGAATAGATGTTAGTTCAACTAATTCTTCTAGTTATTTCAAATTCAAACACAATGAATGCGAAATACTTAATTCACCACAACTCGAGGCAGTAGAAACATCAAAACTATCAACGAAAGGGGTTTGGTGCCATCTCGGTGGTAAGTTGCTTACGCGTTTTTTAATACGGTTATCAACTGATGCCCATTTGATAAATGTGGCTAATTGCGAATGAAATTTGCAAATCTAGCTCTGAGCTGAGGTTTGAACAGGATTTTTAGTGTTACATGCAACTGAAAAGAGGTTTCCTAGAAAGAGGAATAAGTTGTCTAATGGGATCAGTCGCAGGTTCTTAATTACAGACCCCTCCACACGTCACTTTGCCCAGTTAGATGGCCAGATTTCTGTAGAGCTGTGGTAAGTAATACTAATGCGAAGTTAGTTGGTACTAACAACTTCATTAAAAAATATTCGGGAGATCAAAGATCTTCATCCGAAGGTTGCAAAGGATCCATCATAATTCTCCAAAATTGATATGCAGGATGCTTCAAAGCTTACCACTTCCCTGACATTCATTTAAATAATGCAGTGGGATTATTCAGGTATTCAAGGCTTGTATCAAACCAGATATAAGATGTAATTACAGCTTCTGCCGGAGCTACTTCCACCTCATCACCACAGTTTATTTTTGATGCCCACTAGACTGGTTCAATAAACCTGGCCAAATTCATTCAGTAAAGCGCCCAACACCTCGATGATTTGAAACAAACTAGCATGCTTGCTGCCAATTCATACATGTTTAGAGATGGATGAGCCTTCGATATAGGTTATAGTAGGATCATCGCAACTCACAACGATCTCAGCTCAAGAAAATCGAATATTTTAAATATAATTGTAATACTTTGGTTGTTTGCCTAGCTCTTCATTCTGGTTTCACGAGCACTTAAGGTTCCGTCCTTATGCTTCCACTCATTGGCATGGCCTTCCGTACGTCGGCAATACATTTTGTCCAAATGTAATTACTTTCGACTACAGGAAAGACTCGAAGCTATACATTGGTGGCAGCGGAAGGCAAAACCGATCCGAAACTACAACCACTCCAGTTTCTATTACTGAGTGCTAAACCTTAACGTAACGAAAGAAGGGGATGTAATGCGGATGAGAGAACAGTGACGCTCCCTAACAGAAGGGTTGAGGGTGACGCCTACCTTGGGCAACTAATTTAGTCCAGTATTATGCAGGAAAACTAGTAACAATTGAAGCGACAACAGACGAGGTCATGAATCACCTGGAAAGCGTTCGTTACGGAATATCTACCTTACCTGTGTGGAGATGTGAATTAAGTGAACACGCGATACCACCTCCACCTCTCTTCTCGCTGGATAGGACTCTGATAGATATGCCTGGACATCACATAAAACTACTTCAAATCTAGTCCTGTATTAAATGATTTTGCTTTTGGGCCGATGTTCCTCTGACTAGCTGTAGGCAAACGAGATGGTCAACATATTACCCCTTCCCCCCAAACAGGAGGAAACTCCAAGTTCAGTGGAGTTGTCAAGAGTAATCAGTGACGTTGTGACCAAATATCGGCTCAGTTACACGCAAATTCGGTAACTGACATGATTGGCTCATTAATGTTTTTCTTACAGCACTAGCTACGTTGCGATTTTCAACGCAGGAGGTTACCTAAGAGGAGCGCCGGAAACGCCATTCAAAAGAGAAAAGGGATTATGTAGTACTTTGGTGCATTGCTTAACTCTCCGTTTTGGCTACGCGGGCACTTAAGGCTTCGCCATTGTACTTCAGCCCGACGGCATGGCCTCCGGGGCATGGTAGTAGCCCCTCAATCCTTCCAAACGCCGGTGAAACACTCCCTATCATAGTATTATGAGTACTTCCGACTTCAGCAATGACCTGGAGCGCAGCATAACAATCCACTAGTCACTTCCAAGCCCTCGTGCTATAGTAGCGGACATCTGGGTGGTAATACATGCATCGAAAACAACACCGCATATTTTTCTGTTCAGAACGGCAATATTTTTGTGCTGAACGTGTACTATCACATATAATACTTAAATAAGTTAATGCAACAGTCAAATTCGGTTCAGTTTTTGCTCAGATTTGTTTCTTGATAACAATACAAGCATTTTTTATGAAAATTCAAATAAAACGCGATTTACTATGAGAGCTTACAAAATTTGATGGGCTATATTGCCGGGATGCCCTCCTTGGTAAAGAATTGGTGTGCTATTCGGCATAAAAACGCGATTTGTTAAAAACTATTCCTTTTGTCGTCGATAGGGGTTTTACTACACTTGGCGGGAGTTTTAGTAAATAAAAGTCGTTCGATGAGGCAAAACAGATCAAATCATCCTAGACGTGCACATTTTTGAAGCATTAAGAAGAAACGTCGCTTTTAAATTAAAGACTTGCTTTAACCAAAGGCTTGCATACCCACGCTAAACTACGCATTTGTGGTTCCATTTAAATGACGGTAGTACTTATACGGTTGCTAACCCCGGCTATTCATCATCATCCCACCGCTACCTTTGGCTAAATATTACATGTGGAATCAAGCTCTTATGCCAGATCGCAAGACAGTCAAGGTAATGATTTGCTTTGCCCTCCTCAGTGCGTTTTGTATTTTCGTTCACGATACTTTCCTGCATACACTTTCAACGGCCACAGACTGGCTTAGGCACGAATCTTCCGCAATCAACGTCTTAATTGGAGTCAAACTGTTAAATCATAATTTTTTTCCAGTGTAGGGTTCCTAAAGTTACAGTAAGATTCGTAGCAGGAACTCCTCAGTTCACTCGTCAAAGCGATACCGACCCAATATTCTTGCGTCTTTCAATTCGAAGTTAAAAGCAGCCTTAGAGCGAAAGATAAGAAGGTTATGCAAATACTATTACTGGTTTTCAACGTAGAATACGTCAGAGGTAACCTCAACGGTACACTCACACATTTCCAAAAGTCAGGACGGGCAAACTTAGCAAGCACTTGAAATTTAACGAGTGCTGCCATTAACTGCGATTTACCAAAAAGCCGCAGTCATCTGTGTCGTGAACTATTCGAGTTCAAATATCCATTTAAGAAAATTAGATTCACCAATACCTTCATTTGAATAGGCTAGTTACCTTGTTCGTTCAGTCCTTGAGATGGATAGTTGATTATCTGAACAGCAAAAGATATTCGTTAACCGTGTTTGATTTGACTCGGGGTCTAACTCATTTCAAACTGACCAGCCAAGAAAGGACCTCCTAGTTACAATAAGGCAATGGAATGGATTAGTATCCGCAAGATTCTAAAGGTTAGTTGAACGTAAAAACCAGTAATTCTGGTAATCTACGACTATCCAATGCGTCCAAGAAACAATCCTAGCTCGTGCTCTCCTTGGATTTTGGCCGACTGGCTAATACTGCTTGGGTATGCGATCTACGTGTGACAGCGACCGCTCTTATCTCATGGTCACTCAAAGGCCAAAATCACGAGGGCTGCGACACTCCCCCCACGTATTTTAGCGCTACATTTTGAGCGCATTCTAATTGTGGCACTAAGAGTCACGATATTCCGAGGATCTTGTCACCTTTACTTCCTTTGTTGGCCTGTGCTTACACAAGCAATTCATAAGTTTTTTTAGGGTGGCAGGTCATTCTGCTTATCAAATTATCAGTCAGCATCTTTCTCCATCCAACCCTATTTAACATTTCTGAACCAATTCTTTAGATGTAACTCATACACAACCTCCTTATAAACCTTGCACATTAACTACCAACCTGTCAAAAGTTCGCATTCTGAAGGGGAACCTCATAAAGCGCGGTAGAAACCACTCGCATAAATTATTAAAGCATAGTCTCTCTCATCAATTTTTTTCCACAACTTCCAAGTTAGGGTAGTTGGGTAAACCGGGTGTCATTAATCCAAATTACGCTGCTATTTTCAAAGAAAATTACACCCCAAGTTATTCAAAACACTGCGATAAGGGTAAAAATTAAGTTAAGCTAAAAGCGCAGTTAATTACTAGATCATCAAACGGATAGACTGGAATTATTATTGATGCAACTTACACTGGCTTGGCTGTACTCGGGTAAATAACCCTCCAGTTCGAGGGACAGCCCATTCGTCAGGTCCTTTCTGTACTTCACTCGGAACTTGGCTAACCAATTGAAGGGCTAGCACAATCTATGATTTCCTTGTAAATTACCGACAATAATTATTACCCACCTCGATTTTTCTCCCAAAAAACATTTTCCACCTTTGGTTAAATCACTTTTGTTTTTGTTACTGATCACCATTTCAGTTACCGAACGGTATTTGCTTCCCTAATATTGCTGTTACCACTGCTCCTCGTAAGATTGACTGCCCACTTAACCAAGCATGACAGTTTGAACAAACAGTTTTCCACCTGAATGGTCTTGACGCCCGGTCGCGTGTTCCATCCTCGTCGTGTGTTTGAGTGTAGGAGATAAATTCGCTGCTACTGCATCATATAATCTTACAAGTAACAGGACGCGGCTCTATTTGACTATGCTCTGGTCTCTGGCTTCACTGGCTAACAAGTCGTACTTGCAGCCGGTTTGAGGTGGAACAATGAACTTCCGCTGGAGCCCTCAGATTAATCACCACTGAGTGTCACCTTAACCTCAGTTCTTGCATCCCACATGGCTCACTTTCCAGTTTTAATACCTGTGCGTCAGTTAGTGCAGTTAGTTAGTAAGGTCAACGTACAAGGCCTTAGGAACTACAAGTTATTGCAGCGAGATCTACCGGAAGCCGGATGAACTTTTTGGCCATCGGATAATCAAACCTCGACCTCGCAGCTGATCAGCCGAACGACTAACGTACCTAATACTTTTAGGACATATGGACATCTCATGGTCGTAACATTCCAAATAGCGACTTGTTTTCAACTACGCAAAACCGTGGTTGAAGTTGGTTCGCGCGACGTCCAGCTCAGATCATTATATCATTCATTACTCTGATCTCAAATGACCTATTTTCAATACGAAAATAGTCTATGGGAGTGATTCAAGCATCGTGAGTACATTTGTTAGCTGCACCATCGCTTATTCCTTATCTCAGCTGCTAAAAGTAAACGATATCAACTCAGTTGTAATTAAACTAAATTATCCATACCAGTAGTGCTTACAGAATTTCACAGATGAGGGGGTCATTAATTGTGTTCCTGCAACTATTCTAACGACAATTGATAGATCAGCCGAGAGACTAAGTAATGATAGGGAATCCTGTTAGCCACCAGAAGGCATAACGAGTCCGCTCCATTTTAGATTGAATCGATCCGTTCCAACTAGTCATGGAAGCAAGCTTTGAGAAGTGTGGAGTGGCAAACTTCACTGATCTAGTCTACACAGAAACCATTTTCATACAATAGCTCTTACGGCGCTTAGCAGAACGAAAAGAGGGCTGGAAAATTACTTTCGCCTAACAGGACAATAGGATTAACTCACTCTAGAACATTTTGCTGGGAAGGAGTTGGTATAGCAGCAACAGTGGTAGTAGATGGGGCAGATAACGTTGATGGGCTGGTGGCAGATGAGGGTGTGATAGTAGTAGCAGAAGAAGCGGGAGCGGTGGCAATAGCGGCAGTGGCGGAGGTCGGCTTGGTGCAGACCCGAAAATCCCCATCCACAAACTGCGAATCGCCATCAATGTTATTCAGCGTCTCCCAGACGAAGTTCGGTTCACTCACGAAACCCACGTCCGTCACTAACACGTAAATGCGACCCTGTGATGACGAGAAAAGGCGTCACATCAAGTATGAACTGTGGGTTTGCCAATGAGTAACCTTAGTATCGCACTGTTTTTAGTTATCATGAGTGGATTATCAGTTCAAACGCATGTTCTGGGTTGTACCTTAAAATTTTCTGTTAAAAAAAGTACCAGTCACTTTTCAGTACATGTGCCTTCTCGAAACCAAGGTGAAAACAGAGACAGCCAAACAAAACATCTACAAAGTACGCAACTAATGAACCCCTGTATTTTGAATATTTGGGAAGACATGGTCTTCCAAAGAAAACGATTTCAATCCCAAAGAAATAAATCAAACGCATTAGACTTGCACAAAAAGCTGAAATGAAATCAAATGACATCGGATAGATACGAATTCTTAATTAGCGAGAATGAGGAGCAAGATAGCTAATTAGGACATCACGAAATTAAGATGCAACGGAGCAAATAAGCTATTTCGTCAATATGTCCAAAGGTAACCCCTGAATTCACAATACCACCTTGCTTGAAGCAGTAGTAGCCGATGTAAACACGAAATTTTTCGATTACATCACCATTAGGGAACCATCATGTTCAGTCCACATGTGTTGAAGCGAATCAGAGGCCGAAATTTCGTCAAACTAGGGGATGAAAAATCCTTTAACAGAATTTGTGATGAGGTAAATGAACGTTGCAGAGGTGAACTTTTACATACGACCCCGGAATGTATGCTAAATTTGCATTCTGTATAAGAGGAGTTTTTTTGCGAAAAAACCGAAGCATAATGGGGCGGGGGGGGTCAAGCTACTTATAATATTGGTTGATCTGAGAACAACTCGCATAAGCAATTTGATACGCAATCCTTTTTATAAGTTTGCTTCATATTAAAATGAACAACCAATTCATTCACATAAAAACCGACTGTGTAACAACGCTTTTTTGTGATACAGAGTCAAAGAGAGTACGTTTGTGCTTGGTGAATTCGAATGTTAAAAGCTGGACATCACACGGAACCGAATCTCATGCACAAAAGGAGAGGTAGCGCATGATAAAACTGCCAATCAAAAAGTTCATGCGAAAGCGAATGGAGAAACAGAACCTAGTCACATATATTTGTGGAAGTAGGACAGATCTAAACTGTCTAAAATACACAAAACTGTACAGCACTACTTTTACCAACCCGTGCTGCTATAAGAAGTTACGTGACGGCCTTTGGAAATGGACCAAAGTTCCAAAGTGTGCTAACAAAACAGGACTTAACTGCACAACTCAACAAGGGGTTTCCAGAAAAGGAAATAATCAAGTCGGAGATGAATAATTCAGCAAGTGTTTAATTCAAGGCAAGCATACTTTAATTAGATCTCTTAGTAGTAACTTTTCATGAAAAGAGACCAATCTACATTTAGCAAGCCTTTGAAGTAGAAAATTATGAAGAAAAATAGAAGTCAGATTAAGTGCGTAATTAAAAAACTTTGTTATGGCGGTATGGTAAAAAAGAGCTAGAAACAGACCAGGAAAGCGAAAACTACCAAACAACCCGCCAATGTTCTTATCTGTTCCAATCTTTAAAAGGACACTTTTGGAATTGGTACATTGAGAAATTTCTGGTTCTATCATGATCGAACCTCTACACCGACTATGGACATCCCTAATTTTACCCTCCAATGGGTCTTGGATCCCAGTAGGTTTTGAATTGCAGAATCTGACGTCCAGAAGCATACTTATGGCTAAATTTATCAATTCCATTTTAAGATCCCATCACGTCAGTAGAAAAGCAAAAGTAGAGATGCCAATTACAGAGGCGGAAAGAAACTTTGGCTCCATTATATTAGGTAAACACCACTTTTGGGATCATCTTCGTTTTGATTCGATTTGAAAGCCCACGAACGGTAAGATCTGGGCAAATAGGATGGGCTCCCAACCGTTTACTTTGACCTTGCATGCCAGTTAGTCATTACATCCTCGAGAAAAATGGATAGGATAAACCGAATCAGGTCAAGTGAAGGAACTTTAATTTGCCACAAATACACCAATGCCTAAAATAGTTGACGCTACACAGAATATAGAAAGACTATTTGCAGCACAAACAGGTAAATATCGACCTATTCATTTTATCCAAAAGGTAATGCAGCCAAATAGGGCGTAGCAGTACTTGATGGGTTCACATGTTAAGACCCATAGCGTCATGTGAAGAATTTAAAGTACACCCACACAGAAGACGCACGGTAGGAATAAACATACTTTTGCCAGGTTAGCATCAAATATGACGATAAGCAGAAAGAATAGAAAACACGTTCCCATAATCGCTAATGCAAACAGAAAGAAAATACTGCGATTTTTTGAAGGAAGTAAAAATAAAGTTAATCTTAGAAGCAATTTCACATTAACAGAACCAACAAGAAAGAAACCATTACAGTTTTCCGGAAATATTAGTACTTTTACTAAAAAAGGAGTAAGCAACGAATCATGCTTCTACTGAAATAATTTTAAACTAAAATATCCCACCAAATTATGGAAATGGAAATCAAACTGTGGCTCTAAAGTTACTCTAGAAGGCAAGATCGACAGAGCGTGATCCGATGCGATAGTAAATTAATTAAACCAAGACGCACTGCCTTCTTGTAGATGGTGTTGAAGTGATTGTTGCGGAAGAGGACTGCCAGTTGGTTCTCCTGGAGGTGTTCGGAGAGCTCGCATAGACCATGCATGGTGAGTTGAGAGGCTGCGGTCTCGAGAAACTCCTCAGCTAGCAGACCTGAATGCAGGAGGGATAGGAAAGTTAATGCTCATAAGCTATAAACAGCGCAAGCACACAAAAGGAGGAGCAACGACTAGGCAGAACGAAGATAGATTAATTCAATGGAGCGTGGGATGTCAACGTTTACGCAACCAGTATAGAGCATGAAGCGGACATTCAGTCTACAGCAGGTTCTGTTTTTTAGTATTCGACAATGTTATAGAACTGCGATGGGAGTGAATTCACTAGTTAGCACCACCACATTACTCATACAGTAGTACAATGCAATACTTGTCTGGTCTTTCTGCGCTTATGTAATATCCGTCGCTGGTGTCAGAGACCACCCATACCCCTTAATTTTACAAACCCATATGGAGGAATGCACAGTATGCATTCGATTTTATATGCATGGGTAACGAAGCGCAAACACGAAGCATCAGCCTATCTGTACAGCACTCCCCATTGTACACCACTACTTTCCTCTTGTTGCAGACCCAGTCCCATATCGCAGAATATTAGTTTAACAAGATGGATGAAATTCGAGTTTGACAGCTTTATGAACCGACTTTGACTCAATCCCTAGGCTACGGAAGCCACTTGCCAAATGCGTATAGCATTTGCTGAAGACGCGATCCGTATTAGCAGAAAGCAACAGTACGCAATGTTTGATTCTGGTGGTGAACCACCAGGCGATAGCACATCACATTCAGGCAGACTCACCATTCTTGACCACGAAAGACAGCACCACGTGCCACTATTGGCTAAAGCAATTCAACCACATCTACATTAACTGGCAAGGGTAAGTCGTGGTAACAACCACTTTGCATCTGTCCTCCTCGGTCATGCATTAACAGTTGACAAGCAATAAGACCCAAAGAGTACTAATTAGTTATTCTTCACTTATTTCACACACGTTATAAAACGCGTCGCGCATTTTGGACTGCTTGCTGACTGCCTGGTCTTGTGATGAAAGGAGGGGGGAGAAATAGATATACTGCCTCATCTACATGTTTCCCTAATGATCATATGCCAGATCGAATAGACGTTTACGTTTGAACACAAAATACAAGCAAGATGGAAATGGAGCTAGATGGATAGACAGATAGATAGAGGTAGTTTCCTTTCATATCGTCTAGGGATAAAACGTTTATACAGGTGGAACCCGTAAGCCCGTACCTCGTTAGTAAAGGATGGTAGATTGTAGTGGTGACTATTTCGACGAAATAGGGGCGTGGGAGTACTCAAGGGACCCTGAACTCAGTAATGCCCATTCAGATGAATAACGAAATGGAATAAAAACTAATCCGTTCTCTACTACCTTGACTAGATACACTGCTAAGACTACAGATGGAATCGTTCAACATGAACTGTTCCAGCGGATGTGATCAATCATACTCGACACAAATTCACGGTGTAGGAGAAAGGCCTTTTCTTGAGAAGCAGCCAAAACCTATTGCGATTCTTGCAAGGGGAAATAATGCAAGGCCGCATATTTTGCGCTCCAAAGCCCATCCTGGAGAAGACTTTGTATCACCCCTAGGGATAGGATAGAAGACGAGCAAGTGCACTTCGTCCTCGGTACTCCCTTGGTCGTGCTTCAAGTGATAATTACCACTTTTTCTTTGCATCAGCCCTAGATGGCCATGAGGGAATGGAGAATTGAAAAAAAACTATGGCTGAAAATGTGGATAAAGTTTTTCTTAGTTTATAGGGCCAAAAACGTTCCATAAAAGCGGGATTAAGAAGCTTGTGTTTAGTTGCGAAAGGACGGTAGATTGCAATGGTGATTATTTAGTCTAAAATTTTGTCTTCAGAGGTAACTCTAGAGCATCAAAAGAGAATATTGTTTAAATTCCGGAGTTGAATGAAAAGTGGCGATACTTACTCTTTTCAACGCGAGCAGGATCGGAAGAGGATTTGTAGTCAATAATCATCTCCACAACTTGATTGTACGTCTGGTTCCTGAGCGCTTCCACTAAATCCCGATCCTGTGGGTCCGCCACCCAACCGTGGTAGAGGGGAATACGGAAGAGATCAAAAACGGTCAACGCCGGTGTGTACTCGAAATCGGACACTCTGGAATGAGGGGGAGATAGAATCAGTTAACACACCGCGCCCATGGTTTCATCATCGCTTATTCCGCAGATCATAGAGAGGACTTAACAGGTGGATTCATCAGAAAGCACGCGTTGCACAACGCCTGCTGAATTCATGTCCTTCCAAGGTGACTGATCGTTGTGGCTTAACATCGCTCCTATCAGTAGTTTTTATTTAGTTTTAACCTTAATGTGATGGCAGAAACAAAAGACTACTTAATTAAAAGATTAATCCAAAACAAAACATGAACTATGTGGCTAGTTTTGCAAGCAACAATTCAGTCGTTATACGATTTCTTGCAATTCGGTACCCACGATGGTGGCATAGCTCACGTTACCCATTCTGCCGATCTCCCAGCACCTCTAAGTACTACTGATAAAGCTACTTGCAGAGCGATATGCCTTAAAACGTCCCTAAGGATGGCTCAAAAACTAAATCGACGGTCAAGTGGATAGCACCTCCAAACGCCATAGAAGGAACACATTCGAGATCTTAACCAGCCCAATCTCAAATTTTGGAAAATTAACCAGTAATGAGGCACGATCAGAGTTGAAAAGATCGAAACCGCTCACAAAAGAATTGCACACAGGATTCACTCGAAAATATCGAGTCATAAAGATCATCTGGAGAGTTAGTACCTTCTCATATTACCAGAGGTTGAAAGCAACTTAGACAGACGTTTAACAGAATTGGAATCACAATACATCAGAATAGTGAGATGTAAACAGGAGGTTACGACCTCATATTGTTAATCTAATTGGATGATTTTACTTTTAAGCATATATTTCGTGGAAACGACTGACATACTTACCATCGGGTTCAAAATTGATCAGCTGGGAACGGAAGTTCCTTTATGAACTTCGACCGGGGACACAGAAGCTAATGTTCGGCTATTAACACAAGTGCTGTAAAAATGGAAGCTGGTTCTTCGACTAATTGCTAGTGAGCGATCACATGACTTGGCCAGGACCAGCGCAAGAGCTAGTGGAAGAGACAAAAACTCGACCTAACCACTTCCCATCCATTTGCGAAAAAAGCGAAGAACCAAAAAAGCAAGCAAGAAAGAACGCTGTTTCCTAAGTCAGATGGTCGAAAATGCGTTTCCTCAGCATCTGGCTGAGGTAGCAGTGACTCTTTTGGACGAAAATGGGAGGAATTCCACTTTATAATTTAGGAGGGAGTTTTATGGGCAAATTGACCTCAAGATACATTGAGAGGAAACATGCAATTTCGAAAAGTGATAGGACACTTCCAGCTGCTTACTGAGAAGGTGGAAACGGTAACCTCAAAACTTAGCAATCGTGGAACATCGACTTAACACGCTTCGATTATCACATATAGTGTGCAAACAAAGTACAAGTGTTTAGTTGGGTAGTAGACAGCTCGGTAATATGCTCAAAAATTTGAAAGGAGAACGAGTTTAAGGACACAACTGAGCACTAGTCATGCCCCTTCCTACAAAGCACAAAGGTTTGCGCCGAAAGCCACTCGGAACAGATACGCAGATGGTTCCAAAAACTAGATTTTCGTCGGATATTAAGCCACCACTGATCTAAAAAGGTTAATAAAACTAGCTGTAAAACTAGAATATCAGAGGCCCTCACAAGGCAGTGATGATAGACATCATTACAAATCAAACGGAGATATGGGTTTAGTTAAGTGGAGAGAGGGCAGTTTGAACTTACCCAGTGAAACGGACATTGATGTCTAGGCCAGTTTGCAGGGAGGGGAAAATGCTGAGGGCAGAGGAAAGATTTTCCTCGTAGTTTAAGCGCGTGCCCTCATCCCAATCCTAAAACAAGAATACACTTCGCTAGGTAATTGGCATAGGGGCATACAACCAACACATCAGCCAATGCTTGGCAAAAAGGTCAGGGTTGGAGGGATCAAAAGAAGGCAGCGAGGGTGATAAGAACGAGTGTGCACAGGGTCTAATTAGGAGTGAAAAATTAACAATGTTCGCCTCTACGATTCCTGTGGACTGGGCTAGGGATGCGATGTAATTTTGTGCGCAAGCGACACATCTCCGAGTCCTATTTTAATGAGTACACTACCGACTTGACATGTATGCGACAAATACTCTCCGGTAGATTACAAAAACTCGTTGAACCAAGTCGTAACACCAGACAGATTGGGTGAGCAGGATATTTTTGGTCAAAGGATAATCAAGCTTCCTCCATTTAGTAGTACTGACAAGATCTGTTATACTAGAAAACATCTGAACAGTGGATGGTGATTTTACCAGGGGATTCTAGTTGTGTACGTGTTCAGTCCCTCACATAGAGCCATCCTGGAGACCATTATGACTGGAGAGATCGTGTTAGTTTTTTGACAACAACACCTATTAGCAGACGGTGCGTCGGCGCCCTTATGAGCTTGTTTAAAAAAGTGTCATGCCCATAGCCCTTGGGCTTATGCAATTCGTTCGCGAAACACGATTTAAAGGTAACAAACAAAGTTTAGGTAAATTTAGACACCTGTACTAATCCTGTCATACGTTTTCTTAAAACCATGTGTGAGATCCCATTAATTATAAAATTCTTAAGGATTCATCGAGCAATAACGAAACAAAGTAGGAATAATTGCCTAGCTGTTTCAGAACAAAGTGCATCTCCATGACACAGAGACCATAATTCGCACTGGTTGTGGTCTCAGCACGAAGTGCTTGTGAAGCAAAGATGCCATTCCATTAACATCAGGAAAGAAAGTTGGTGCCAAATCGGATAAAATTCGCCACGGCTAAAGGGCTATGAAAAACGTTAAAGGATCATATTCAACGGAATGATGACAGTTTTAGTGCAATATATGCCGCACGGAGACAGTTTCATGCACACTTAGAAAAGTTTGCAAGACCTAATTTTCCAAACACCCAAACTACATGAAAAGAGCAGGGCTTAACTTTAAGGAGTAAGTAAGGAGAAAGACCGTAGTCAAAGTAAATGGAACCAGTACAAATTTTGAAACAACGGGTGGTGGACAGTAAAATGATAATCTTCACGAAATAGTTTGTAGATTAATGGGGACACCATGAAATTCGTGGGCGCTAACATCAGGAAAAAATGAAAAGATAATACGAGAGACGACAAAGCTTTCGTAAAGAGTCGGAACATTAACCGACTAAAGTATCAAATGATCGAAAAAATTAGTTTGGTTATCGATAGAGTTTGCTGCGATGATATGCTTTTATGTATAGGAGCTAGTGGAACAAGTGATGGAACAACCTACTTCTGGACACCTCAATAAAAATAATAAATAGTAATATTGCGACTGTTACTATAAAAAGCTTTGGAATCTTGACATTCTAGCATAAAGCTTAACTTATGATGCTACTTTAAACTTTTATGACTGTTCACAGGGCACTGCTCAGCACTGCCCCTTCAGGTAGTCAAACTTTAACCAATAGTGGTACAATTTGAGTATTTGCATGGGATAGCCGGTCACTAAAAAGCATCAGGTAATCCAACTAACCTTGTCATTAAACTTTGTGCCCAAAGTCTGTTTTGTTTTTAAGAGCAAATGTAAACAAAACACAGAGATGGCGAGGAGAAGATAGAGCAACTGCCCAACCCACACATTTAAGCCAAAATAGAGAAAAGGAAAAATTGTACTACCTTGTAAGCTCTAAAAGCAGAGCGGAACCACACAGCAAATGGAAGACAAAAAGGAAGTAGCGTACCATACTTCAAATCGAATTTCCAGAAAATGAATTTGTAATTTAAAAACGTAAGTTCAAAAATGCGCACACAAGGTGAGCGAGAACATAGTCTCAAATGGGTGCAAAGTTTGAGAGCAAAAAAAAAACAAATTAACTGACATAAATAGGCGTTTGCAAACGAAGAACACAAACAAACTGACCACCGTAGAATGAGAAAGTAGTTCATCACTCAGCGCTGCAATTATTAGATCACTGGAGACCACCTCATGATTGGCAGGAAGGGTCAATTTGCCCCTCAACAACAAGAAATTAGTGATCGCAATCATAGGACAGGGTCCGTTCTCATTCTGCGTGATTATTGGAACTTTGGAACCGTTAAAAGAGATCCATTTCACTTGGTGCACTGAACCGTCCTTGGCGGGCGACTTCGAGGTCGCTGACTTCGGGGTTTCCTCGGGCGAATTGCTGGACTTCGAAGGAATGGAAAGAGACTCGCTTGGTGTAGATTCCTGAGGTTTTGTGGCATTAGAAGAAGACTGGATCGGTGTTCGATGATCCGGGATGTCCTTAGAATTCTCCTGAATAGACAAGAAAGTATGGGAACTTAGGGGGGAATTGCCCTGAGTTGGGAGATGTGGAGCGGGATGAGAGCCTACGGGCTCCTTTAGGTCCTGCAGCAAATCAGTCTTGGTTGCAGAGGTCGGCGAGGAAGTACTAGAGTCTAGCTCATCCAATTCAGTCAGAGCAGGAGCACTGTCCACACTAGAGGCTTGAGCTACATCTGTGGAATTCTCAACAAAAGAAGTTCCTAGCATACCCCTTTCTTCCCTTAATTCTTCAGCTCGTTGTAGCGTTTTGTGAGAATAAACATCATCCAAACCAACTGAAGCTAGAGCTTCATCGGGGTTGGAAGCATGGGCGGCCTCTTCCAAATCCTTCAAGGAGGGAGGCTCTCCAACCCCCATTTCTTGGATTCCCACTTCTTCGGTGTGTTTCGAAGTTCCGAGAGAGTTAACATCTGAGACGACAGGAGAGAAAGCATCATCGAATCTGGGAGTTTGAATTGCTCCAACTTTGGCAATGGGGAGCCCTTCAGCCAAAGGAGGCCTTTCTGCCTCTTCTTGCAATACTTCTTTAGTATTCTGCGGGATTTCGGAATTGGAAAGTGGTTCGAGCTTCTCTGAAGGAATCTCTTTAGGAAGACCGGGGGTAAGATCGTCATGCAATCTGGGTGAAGAAGCCAGACAACTGGAGGAGACATTCGTGTCTGAACAAGGAAAATCAGCCAAAAGCAATAATAATAAAAATATGGAAAGCGATTCTTCAACAGAACCCAGAGTTCAATTTAGAAGTATAAATAATGAGAAATCAATGACACAAAACAATGACCTAACAAAACGCAGAGGTGAAGCATTGGACTTACCTTTGGGAATTGATTCGGTTGTGTCTTCAATATGGGAACTTAAATTCTCCTTCAAATTTAAAAGTAGGTAAGACAATGGCTACTAAAGTGGTCCCAATTAATTTTTGTTCCTTAACTACGACAGTATATATATATTCTCTTCAAGCACACAGAACTCCACAAAAAAACTCCTGTTGCAGCATTGATTGCATGTAGGCACCAAAGTTAGAACTACTGAAATGCATGTCTAACCAAATAATGTATAAACTCAAAAAAGATCTTCAGTGATGACATTAACGTAGACTGCAAGCAAGGCTAGACCAAAATCACCTAAGAACTGAAATAAGTCACGAGGACATGATAAGGAATAGGCAATAAAATATTATGGAAATGAGAACGGAAAATTCACCATTCCGGGGAACTAAATACCGAGCTACACAAAACACTCCTGTGGGCTAAGCTGGCGCATAATTAAACAATGCTGCAAGTTAATTGGGTATTACAGATTATTACATTTTAAAAGATTTTTTGGGTCTTTAAGGGGACAAAAACCCTTTAATTGACATTTTTACAACAGATCCATTTTGACTTATGGTGAAGGTTGATCTGATCTCAGGGGATAATGCGAAGGATGTTAAGTTTGACCATCCGTTTGGCTTATTTTTAGAAGCTTGATCAACTGGCTGATGGGATCGGTCTATATGACCGGAGCTTCTCTGTGTCTGGACTAAACGGCTATCAGCCCAGCGAGTCTGTTTGGAGCTGAGCCATAAAAGGCTCGTTCTGATGAATGCTGCTGGTTTCCGGAGCACTTCTCGTCATCTTAACATACTTTTCGGTAGCGAGAAAAAGAGTTTTGGCAAAAGTCTGCTTTTTCTGGGAAGAAGTGTTGCAACAATATCCCAGGTCGGCATAGGGGTTATGCAGCCAAAAACCAATCTTAAATAAAACAAAGCAAGAATTTTGATATTTTTTGCTTTAAAAATGGAAATAAAGGTCAAGATTGCCCATTTCACGCCACTTTTTAAAGTTCGTATAGTCTTTGGTCGGGAGGGGATTCACTAGAGTTGGGGTATAGGCAATTTCTCGTTTAGTTCTTCCTCTCTGACCTTTTGGCTGTCATCATATTTGTGTTTGCTGATAATTACGCACCTCATAAAGCATAGCCCTAAGGCAAAGCCACCCATTGGAAATAAAATCAGCGGAGTTAAGTAGCTTTGATGTGATACGTGCAGCCTTACAAAATGCGGAGGTGATAAAGCTGCTGCATGCAAGCATTCAAAACATCTAATTAAAGCTGCTATTATGAGGTAGTCTGTGGCATTACGTTCCAGAAACCTTTCAAATATATGGGAATTGAGTGAGGTGCTTTGCATGTTGCTGCGGACTCATTTCAAAACGTGATAGGGGAGTAGAACAAAAACTTACACAACCACTAAAATTGCTCACGAAAGCATTTAAAACGTTTTGGTATTTTGTTTATCTCGATCAGCGCACGTAAAGAGGTCAATTCGTTTGTCATCTGTGCGTAATTTGTAGCTCGACGATAACAGATGAATATCGAACCATTGTCAAGTAATGCAGACAAACGGAGGTATTTCACAGTCAAAAGCGAGATTTTGTAGGCCGTCATTTAGTCCTGTATTTTTTAGCGACACTGAATGCTCGGACATAGTGCGTGAAACTTCAATTTAATGAACTGACCTATTTTTGAGTATTTAATTTTTTTCATCCCGAAGGTAGAACACTTTGACAATGAAGAATCACTTGGCAAGCCTAGTTCATCGCTGTCAAATTCGACGTAGGCAGCTCGTTTTCTGTTTTCATTCTTGGTCTAGAGCCTCAAAGAAAAAGGCCCACATTTCATTTCTGTCACTGGTAAGAAAAATAAGTCTTCTTGCAAATAGGCAGTTTCGTTATGCGGATAAGGCGGACTTCATAATGCTGATTATTGGAGCTATTGGCAGTATTGTTGTCGGAGTATCTTTTCCACTGAATTTACTTATTGTTACTGAAGTTGTCAATGGGTTTGTGGCTCCCAATGCTAACACACAAGCACTTAAGATTATGGATGAGATGATAAAGTGGTATATTCTGCTGGCCTCATTAACACTTGTCTTTGCTTTCGTCCAAATGTTTTGCTTCAGTCTGTCATCTAAACGACAGAGCCGAAGGATTCGATTAAGGTTATTTAAGGTAAGTATTTTTCTCAGTGACACGTAATGGCATTTGTTATTTTCTAGTCAACCAACTGATTCAGTTATGACATTGCAATAGATTAGAGCACCTTAAGCTTTCTTTTAATATTGTTATACGTTCTGAATACAACTCGTTACATGAGACCTTCGTAGAACAATTTATAAAGGCACACAAATATATTAATTTGACGCAATGTAGCTTACTATTTTATTTGTAATCCAAGCAAATGCTTCGACAAGACGCCAGTTGGTTTGATAGACAATCTATGGGCGATCTCATTACAAAAATGACTTCCCAAGTGGATCAAATCGAGGCGGGTATTGGCGATCGGCTGGGTCGTTTTTTGCAAAACCTGATTCTTTTCATTAGCTGCTTTGGCAGTGCCTTCCAAAACCAATGGAAGATAGCCCTTGTAGGGCTCTCCACCACACCTCTCATTGTCGTAGCATTCGTTGTTTTGGGTGTGGGTTTAAGTCGCTACTCCATAAAAGAGGAAAAGGCGTATTCACATGCCAACAGCATCGCCAGTGAAGTACTCACCTCTATTAGAACGGTGTTTGCTTTCATCGGTCAAAAGAAGGAGTCGACTCGATACAATGCAAACCTGGGTGCAGCGGCAAAGGTCTCCTTCAAAAAGAACATCATCGTCGGTTTCGGTAAGGAGTCAGTCCTTATGATAGACATTTGTGGATTTTACGACATCTAACATTTTAGCGAAGGGATGTCTCTCATCATAAAATACAAATCTGCGCTAAATTTCCTGTTGGAGTACTGTTTTTCAGTGAAAGTTGTTCTTATCTTCTCATCCTAAATATAAACTTTTTACTAGTAGCAAATAAATTAGCACCACAAGTATTGAAATCTAATTCATGTGCTGCAAATTAAGAATAAATTTCCCTGTTGAAACAGCAATTAGAACGTATTTATTCATTAGGCACTTTCGATACCTGCACCATACCAACATTCGTCTTTGATTTATGGCAAAAGCACAAAAAATTGAATCACAGCAGAATAAATGAAGTAAATCTTTTTTTTGAATACTGGTAAGCGATTCTGGTATAATTTTATGTAGATAAGCATACCTGCCAATAATGTCGGAATCCGGACTACACTTTATGCTTTTGTAACTTTCGTCTAAAAGTCAGAAGATGTAGAAGGAAATAGCGCTTCGCGTTGTTAGAAGAGGATATTTGTTATTTCTCTAGGCGCCGGTTTGATCAGCTTCTCGATATTTGCCTCTGCTGGTCTCACTTTCTGGTACGGCGTCAAGTTGATAAGCGTCGGGGAGTCCGGTGTGGATGGCGGCAAGATTGTGTCGGTAGGTTGCACAACAAAGCCTAGTAAAAGTAGATTTCTTCGGGTTACCAGTTTCTTTCACAGATGTTCTTTTACCGACTGGACATGGGCGATTAGAAACAGGGCTTAAGGTCACTAAAACGCATCATTGTCAGCTACCATAACTTCTAACGGATTTAAAATTACATCAAAAACTTTTTTTCTGAAAATGAAGTCTTTATGTGTGACACTCGTTTTGGTCATGCCGTCGGAATTTGAAAAGTCACCTTACTTGAATTTTGAGTACCTTTGTATCCGCCAGCGACATTTAAATGGAGGCACACAGTCAGCAACAGCTGAGTCAACACAGGTAAAAGTGAATACAAGGTCTTGATTCCATTACAGAGATTGAGGTTTTGCTTCTTCCAGCCAAATCTTGGTTCCGTACTTGACCACTTTTGGGTATTTGATTTGACTGAGCACTTGGAAGGTGATAGTAGGCTATCCAAAAGCTGCTGCTTAATTTCAAGTTCTGAAAATTTAAGGTCTAATCATGATAAAGATTCCAATTTCGAGCATTTCAATCGAATCGAAATTTACTGAAGAGCGTAGTGACGCATCCTTTTTTGCTTTCTCAACGCTTGGTTAAATTAATAGGTGGTTAGTATTCAACTTGATTGTAACGCATTCACAAGATCGTAGCTACATGATTTAATACATGCAGAAGGTTTGGCGAGTATAATTAAGGTCAATATGATGAAAAATATGTATCACCGAAGAGTAGAGATCCGGGTACCAGTACAACTATTCTTCTGACATGCTTAAATCCACACCGGTTCACAGTCTCTGGATGATAACGAATTCGACTTAAAAGTAACTACACTTTAGGTATTTATAACGATGGAAAAGTGGCCTCACACATGCATCGGCGACTGATTTTTACGCCGTTAGATGCGCTCAAGGCAGGTGAGATTTCGACCTTTACGGCTGCCAAAGGTACCCAATTCTCAATAGTTGGCGAACAGGTGCCCCACTTTAGGCATCATTAATCTAGCTAGTAGACAACAGTGGCAATGAGAGGGTGTATACACCAACCTGTGACGATAAACGGATTTTTATTTGGTCGAAGGCGTAACACCCGAAACTGCGGATGTCAGTCGGTACAGAAGACATTAAGCACGTTGCTGCATTTTGATGGAATGATTAGAAACAAAGTGGTAGAGCATTCGAGAGCTGTGAAAGTATCATAACTGGTCGTACGTCTGTCATTTTTTATTCCGGTTGAGGTAGTTCTATATCCTGTTCACAGTATGGTAGTTATTCCTGTTAAAACTCCGTTTTTAAAGCATCTGATCCTTAAAGATCGGTGCATAAAATGTCGTAAAATTGAACAGAAAGTGATTTTTTTTTCTATGAGAATGACAAACTCAGAACAACTAGCTAAGTATACTTGCAATTTTTAAAGGTGCTGCAAGCTGAGTATTAAAACGGCTTTTGCAGTTGGATTTTTGTAGGTGGTTTAGCAGAACGCTGGGAAACGTGCATTTGCCGAGGTAGCGAGGGTTTGGTTTGAGCCCTATTCCTAGGTGAAATCATACAGATTTAAGCGGGCAAAATCTCAGACCAAATATAACCTTTTTTTCTATTTGGTATAGGTTGTGCTGGCATTTCTGGTGGGCAGCATAGCCCTCGGCCTTGTTCTACCCGAATTCACTTACTTCGCCCGTGCAGTCGCTGCTGCCAGAAGCACCTTCAGGGTCATCGAGAGGGTACGCTGGTACACAGATCCGCATTTTAAAAGTCCGAGTTTATTTATATACCTAGAATTAGCTTCATTTCATATCTCTGTTATCAAAAAAGTAGCTGGAGGGACCAACAATTTTAATTTGGAACCACATAAAGAACGGAAACTCAAACTCTCTAACGTATTTTGCATTTGCTTCTTGAAACAACCTTTGGGTAGCAGCTAAACTGCAAAGTAAAATAATGGTTTAGCACAAAAGTGTCATCGAAAATGGGAGGCGTATCGAGTAAAGGTACACCAACAAGATGGACGAAGTTGATGTCTCCTGTGTGGCACCATTTATTCCCCTTTTAAAGGTGATGGTTTCAAAGGTAAACTGTTTGAATGGATAAAAACAGATTGGGGTCGCTGATCTACACTGCTTTTCCTAGCCTTAAAAATTGCTACTCCTATTTTTTAGGAGCCTCGCATTGACAAGGACCGAAAAGGCGAAATCATCGAGGATTTCAGGGGTCACATTGTGTTCAAAAACGTCACCTTCCACTATCCTACGAGACCGGAGGCAAAGGTTAATTTTATTTTGTCTAACATCTGAATTAATGATGGGTAGATATCTCACAAGTCCTATCAAAAAATGCGGGTAGCGGAAAGATTTTGAACGATTTTGGTGCGATACATTGAATCAATTTTTAAGTTGTAGACTTGAGAAATACAATTTTGCTTGCATCACGAGGCATACACATTCGACAGTCCATTAACCCGGCACATCAATCCTAGCCCCAAATTTTATTATAAATTCTACAATTATTCTCCCATTTGGAACCCCACAAATGCTAATTTAAATTGAGGGAATTGATTGTCTCCTTGTCTGAGTCATGACTCGACTTTGACTCAATCCCTAGGCTACGGAAGCCACTTGCCAAATGCGTATAGCATTTGCTGAAGACGCGATCCGTATTAGCAGAAAGCAACAGTACGCAATGTTTGATTCTGGTGGTGAACCACCAGGCGATAGCACATCACATTCAGGCAGACTCACCATTCTTGACCACGAAAGACAACACCACGTGCCACTATTGGCTAAAGCAATTCAACCACATCTACATTAACTGGCAAGGGTAAGTCGTGGTAACAACCACTTTGCATCTGTCCTCCTCGGTCATGCATTAACAGTTGACAAGCAATAAGACCCAAAGAGTACTAATTAGTTATTCTTCACTTATTTCACACACGTTATAAAACGCGTCGTGCATTTTGGACTGCTTGCTGACTGCCTGGTCTTGTGATGAAATGTGACATTTGCATTCCAAAGTCTGTTAGGCAAAAGGTCATATGTCCACCTGCTGTCCACTCCACACCTCAAAGCCATACGCAAACACTGTGTTTCCTTTATGTGCATATGTGCTAAGTTATATACAAAATTGTTCACTTTATGAGAGTTGGATGACTGCGGCTGAGTTCAACCTACTCAACACAACTCGGAGGTGGACAAGGTTTTTAACGACACCGAGGATTGGTCAATCAATCAAAGGAGACTCTTATTCTTTTAAGACAACGAAAGACCAGCTACTTCACACGGTACAACTTGCCTTTGAGAAAACCTCATTGTGTTTCATGATGGGAGGGAGGGAGAGGGAAAAAGGGACCCTGCCTCATGCTCACCCTATTTATTTCCCTAATGATTATATACCATGTGAGTTAGACGCTTGCAAATGAGTGCACAATACATGAAATATAGAAATGGCACTGGACAGATGAGTGGACAGGTAGAGGTGGATTCTTTTCTTGTCATCCAGAGATAAAACATTTCATTCGGATGGAATCCGCTACCCTGTGCCTCGTTGGGAAAGGATGATGGCCGATAGTGGTGACTATTTTGATAAATAACACCCTTGAAGAAACCTTCTGCAGTTATTGCATTTCCATTCAAGAAAAAGCTTCACAAAATTGTTTGCCTGCCCTATAATTTCTTGCAAGTCAGAGTACTCGAGCGACCCTGAATTCCCAGTAACAATAACTCAGATTAACAGTGAAGCAGGGCAAAGATACTCCCTTTTTTCCTACCTTGATCAAATACAGTGCCAATACTACTGACGAAATTGTCCACCATGAAATGTTCCACTGGTGAAGACCAAACACCGATGATTATGAACAATCTACTTGACACTACTGCAAGATGTGCAAGAAGAACCTTTTCTTGAGAAGCAGGCAAAATGAGACGATTAATCGGAAAAAGGACTTATTCGTGGTATGTGCAAGGCAATGCGGTTCAAAATTTCCTGATTTATTACCTAAAAATCCTCATATTGGATGTTGCGATCGGGATGAGGGGAAGATAAAATAGTCTCATTTAGGTATTCTTACGGTATTTAGCCACGCTCCAGGCTATAACTAATGCAACCAAATAGTGACGCACGTGATTGACGGTTTTGAATAAGAGTCTAGTGGAAACTGTGGGCTATTAATATTAACGGTGACTTTGAATGCCTAGTCTCCACTTACTTCATCCTACCTATAAATATCCAATTGATTGATTTTTGTTTTTTATACTTTAACAAAAGGTACTATTTGGGAGTATGCAAAGCTCAGAAGAATGTGTAGAAAAGCGCACACTTTACTTATTTGTGAATGTATACCCATGAAGCAGTTTTTTATCAACGGCCTCTTTAAAATGGTCCGGTGTATTGCCGATTAGAATTGCACAAGATTAGTGAAACAATGTCATCTTAACTTGTTATCTGCTTGTCGAAAATAAGCATAAGTTATCAAAAACAAAAAAGCGATTTTTGATTCTTTTCGGCATTTTTGTTTCCAACTTTATATGTGTGACAAGTGCTCCTTGCCAGCCCGTGAAAACCAGCTGAACCATGTAGTATTGCAAACATACTGATTGAGCTTAAACAACAAAATTCCTGTTCATGGCCCGGGAATTATCCAAGTAGAGCAAGTATTTTGCGCTCTGCGCTTGTCAATTTTCCTTGCAGATCCTGGCGGCAAATATTTCACTTACTATTTTTGTTCATCTATAATGAGGATGCGTTTGAGTTAGAAAGAGATCTTTATTTGAGAAATTTACTACTCTTCAGACTCTGGACAATCTCTCCATTGAGATTCGACCTGGAATGACGGTGGCAATAGTTGGTCCAAGCGGTTCGGGCAAGAGCACAACAATTCAACTCATCCAACGTTTCTATGACACGGTCTCGGGCGAAGTGAGCTCCTTTTCTCTTTTTATCCCTAACTGACTCCTGTTCTACTAGATCTGATGCAAACCTTTTGAAGGTATTAAACACTAAGCTTGTCGGTAGAAAGTAATGGGCTGCGTTAAAGTAAATGGAATGACTTTATGATATACATTTATAAGGATTAGCAGCAAATGAATAAATGGCAGAAAGGCTCTAATCAGTTCAATCCTTTTTGAGAACGTTAAAAAGTAATTTGAGAAATTACTAGCCAGAATCGTGCATTTTTAATGTTTATTTCGCACCAACAGCAGTTGGAGAAAGCTATCTGGCATCCCTAAAGAATCACTCAGGTTGCTGGCCACGCATTTTGCTCCTCTACTCGTTCATTTCAATTGCCTGACACGATTCCATCACTTGTGTTTATCGTGACAACTACCCAGGTTCTGATCGACGGGAGGAACATCCGAGAACTGGACTTGAAGTGGTTTCGCGGACAGATAGGGGTGGTGCAACAGGAGCCTGTTCTCTTCTCTGGTACTATAGCTGAAAACATTGCCCTTGGTTGCCCAAATGCCACCGATGAAGAAATCGAAATTGCTGCCAAAATGGCCGACGCGCACGACTTCATTCTCAAACTTCCTCAGGTATTGCGTCAATCCAGACGTTGCGTATAAAACGTCCGAAACAAAGGGTAACGTGATTTCTCTGCAAAAATATCTGGTCATTAATTGGAGCATATTAAAGAAAAAGTTCGTCTATAGAGTAGCTGCAGTTCTTTTCTGAATCTGTAACGAAATATGAAGTACATTTGTTTTCAGGATGTAAGACGGACGGATGACCCTTGTCCATAATTTTTAATAGCTATTTCTCCTCTATTGAAGGCGTACAAAACGCCAATAGTGGAGGGCGGCGGAAGCATGTCGGGTGGACAGAAACAGCGAATCGCGATTGCCAGAGCACTTATTCGAAACCCCAAAATCCTTTTGTTGGACGAGGCGACTTCGGCACTGGACACGCGCTCTGAACGCATCGTCCAACGCGCTCTCGACCAAGCCTGCAGTGGACGTACCGTTGTAGTGGTTGCTCACCGTCTCACGACCGTTCGTAACGCTGACACAATCGTTGTAATGGATAGAGGTCGGGTGCAGGAGATCGGGACACACGACCAGCTGGTCGCTCTCAAGGGCATCTACGCAAAAATGCTCTCCTCCGCACCGGTGCGTCCTCGCATTCTTCCACCACCTGTCACAATTTCCCTCAAACTTTCCATGATAAACTTGTACCGTAAAAGACCATTTAAAGTTACTTTTACGAAAATGTTAAGGTTCATCAGGTATTAATTATTTGTCATGAACTTTTGTAAAGCCTTAATAAGAATGACATAATTTTGTCATCTCGTACTATCAGTACATGTAACCGTCTCTCTACAGAGTAATCGGGCTGGAGATATGGAAGAAGAGGACACAGAGACTGACAGCGAGGCAGAGGAGGCAGAGGAGGCAGCATCGGCGGTGGAGAATGAGATGATCGATCGACCAAGGCGGTTGTCAAGAGACGAGCTGCGCAAGCCAAGTAAGTGGACGCTGTCCCAGCGGTGGTCGGACGCTGAGACTATGCTGGAGGCTCTCACCGAGATGTCCGGCACCGAAAAGACTTCGAAAATGGTGAGTTATGTATCTCAGCTGCAGAAATTGTTAAGCATTGGAATTCTACGGTAGGCTTAATGAAATCCCACACTGTTTCCCATTTGTTCCAGATTGATGTTCCCTACTTCAGATCTGTAAACCCTTCCCTTCAATGTTCATCTGTAAACCTACGAAAATAGTTCGAGGGTCAGGAGCGTATTTTGGTGATTAAGTGTAATTAAACAGTAGCTTTTGTAGGGAGGGTATAGTAAAAAGACGAAAAAACGGGGAACTTATCGATAATGCAGGTTTTTTTTGATCCAACTAACTAGATTGGCTAGGGCACATGAATAAACGACAATTATTATCTAGAGAGCTAAATGTAACATTTAGTTGGGATTTAAGGAACTGAAAGAGTGAGTAATTTTTATGGACGCAACTGAAGAAAGCCGATTTTTTTTTTCTGGAATTTATCTAAGAAGACCCAGCGCATCCCATGAGAAATGTCAATGCTGTTGAAAGCTAAAACCGCCAATTCATACGTTTTTACACCCCTTTAGAAAGGTCAACTAATGAGGGCACTGAAGCTGAATCGCCCGGAATTTCCCTACCTTTTCGCCGGACTTTTTTTATCCCTGGCTTCTGGACTGAGTCAACCAGCCTTTGCAATTCTCTACTCGGAGATGTTTGGGGTAGGCACTGACCCACTTAACACGCACCGCAGTTTCTTTCATTGCGAGTATTCAATGCAGGCTTCGGAGGATTTTGTAGCTATCGTCCAATTATGTCTTATGTTCTCGTGTTGGCCGCTGAGTTTTGAGGCAAAATCGCACTGCATTTACGTTAATCGTATTTGGTTGCATAGACAACTAATTCCTACTTCCGTAGAACATGAAGGACATAAAATATTGCTCAAATTTTACCAATCCTATAAGAGTACATGTTTTGGAGCAAAATGAGGTCAACCTAGTCCAGATGAGGAAAAAGACCTAGTCTTTCAGCACTGCAGAGCAAGCAGCATGCATTGTTTATTCAGGTCATCAAAATATTTCGCAAAACAATTTTTTGGATTTCATAAGCCCGGCGTAAATTTAGTAGCCCAGCAAAATTGCCTAAAGTGCTAAAAGGGTGAAGAATATTACAGTGGAATGAAAAATCTATAACTGAGGTAGTATATGTGAAGAAGAGTATCAAAGGGCAAATTTAAGAAGGCTTCCCCTAGTAGGCAAAATAAAAAAACCTATCTAGCTTTGTTTGAAAATTCCATATTAAGATTATTTTTGATGGACATTTTGGATGTACTTATGCTTTTGCCGGTGAATAAGTAATCTAGATGATCCGATTAGAGCGCCCGGAGATCTCTCTGAATAGGAGAGAAGTTAGCTTGGAGATAACCTGAGGGACTGCCGGTATGGCTTAGAGGCCATTTCGCTTAGAGGGAGTATATAAGCGCAGCCTTAGGCATTCTTGAATCAGAACTGAAGAGTTAAATAGTTAAATTATCATGTAGCTCCTGTTCTCCTTTGAGCGCCGTCCCTGGAGCTCCATTTGATCCAACTCCCGCATCGGCCGTTACAATATAAACTGTGCTGTAAGGAAAAACAGCCACTTGCCAACCGCCTCAGTAGTCGAATTTCCATGCAACTGGGAAAATACTTGACCTCAGCGTTACTGATCCCTCGTAGGGATTCCAATGGACTTGGAGTTTCATCCTTGTTGAAAATTATATTAGGGGAAGAGGGGATGTTCGGGCCATCTCGTATGCCCATGGCTAGTCGTAGAAACCTGTAACAAAGGTAGGCATTGTTCCTACTTCAGTGCTGCTTGACCATATCAATCTGGGGTATATCCAGCTATCAGAGAGGCGTAGAAGGTATCGAGAGTTTGCTTAATTGAAATCTTCAACCAAGTACCATAGACAGCTTTGTAACGAGCTTTCCTAGATGGTTTACGCCTTGTGTCGCTTTAAAACACGGCAGCGGGGTAATTGCCAAAGGTGGACGTCATTTTCAACCCTTCCGCCAAGGGTCATCGCATATTCTCCCACTTGCAGCATATGACCTTCTTCCGTCACGTTAATGGTTAACATTCATTGATAGAAACCAGGGCAGATGTCCTTTAGGATCGAAATTGCTTTCCGCTGTCACCGGTGCAGCGCCCTGAGACTTTCCAAGAGACAAATGAAGATATAAGGCTAGGGCAGAATATGCATTATCAACGTACAGAAGAATTGAGAGACTTTAGAATTCGGAGGTCATGTCGCCTAGCGGAAGCACAAAGGTGGAGCTTAAGTGCCTGTGAAACCAAGATGAAGAGTTAAGCAAATCTTTTGGATATTACGTACGGTTAGTTTGTTGCTCCGTTTTGAATACACAAATATAGCAGGACCATCAACCATTATAGGTTCTCGGGTATGATAAAACTCGTTCAGAAATGCTAAGGGAGATGCTTTAACATTGATTGCTGCTTCTGCCGCAGATATTTTCCCAAATCTCAACACCGGACGAAAAACTGGCTCAAACTGCCTTCTACTCGGGCATGATGGCCGTACTTGGACTCGCACGCTTCACTGCGCAGCTCCTATCGGTCAGCAACATTTTCCAAATTATGCAAGACATATTTCATCGGTTGATATCGTTTTCAAAGTGCAAAGAGGTTAGGTAAATTCTTTGGTAGAAATAAGACGCATGTTTTCAACATTACAAGACCATATTAAGTAGTCAGAAGTCACAGTAGGAATGAAAAGAACCGCTGGTGAATATCATCCCAATTATCTGGAAAAGTGCCAATGGAAGTCGATGCAGTGGGCACAAATAATACTCGTAAATACGCTGTGAACTTATGCTGTTTTAGTGAAATTCTGGTTAAGATTGCTCCTAAGGTCCTTTTCATTCTAGGGATGTGCGCTGGGCTACGCGGGAGCCGAACTCACGAAACGTGCGCGATCACTTTTGTTTGAAGCTATACTAAAACAAGTAAGCCGTCTAATCTTCAGCTCCAATAGGGCCAAAAAGCTTGCCTTATCTAACCCTATTCTTAACCCTTGCAGGAGATTGGCTGGTTCGATCGAGTAGAGAACAGCCCCGGTATCTTGACTGCCCGCCTGGCCACAGAGGTCTCGGCACTGGAGACGGTGACGGGTATGCAGTTGGGCACTCTGATGGAGGCGTTGAGTCTAATCATTGCCTCCCTCGTCATCGGTTTCACCTACAGTTGGATTCTCTCCCTCGTCAATCTCTGCTTCGTGCCCCTTCTAGTTGTCTCTAGTGCCCTACAGGTACTTGACAAACGAATCTTTTGATCACATTATGTTCTTTTAACCGTTGACCAACCTATATGAAAGCTCAGGAAGCCTTACGTTCTACTAAAGTTCGATTTTCTTGAAGGACTTTCACTAGAAAGCCGATACAGCGACTTGTGGTGAGAAATAACTTTTGCATTTTGGTAATCATTCAGCGAAAAAACACGCCATTGACTATTCCAAACTACCCATTCACTACCCGTCTCACACTAAGCAGACACGCACAACTTCATGTAGAGGTAACTGAGTACTCCCTCCACTTCTCTCCCTCTCGCACCGTGTGTGTACGTTTAGTGAACCTCGGATCAAGTTATTCACTTGATGGAGAAAAGGACAATTATAGCCTTGATTCATGTAATCCATAAGCATTTTTGCTTTGAAAGCACTTAGGTCCAGTGGATAACTCGAAAGTCCTCTTCTTGTATGTCCGTCTCAAAGGACAAAATTTGCCCGTGAAAAGATGTACACTTTGGGCTGGAGGTTTCTACCTCGCCGCATTTACCGCACGTCTCTAAACTTTTCCAACCTTCAAATGGTTAACACTACTGGAAAGTTACCTGCTTAGTTGAATAGATGGTTGGGAAACAGAAGTGAGACAGAAACGAACGTGGAATAATCTAAGCCTTTCTTGACCTCCAAAGAAGAATCGAGATGCCTATTAATGGTGATTATTTCATCAAGTAAAATATTTCCGAGTGATTTTAGCTGTTTATCCACTTCTACTGTAAAAAATCACATATACATTTTGCTGCTGTTTTAGATGAACCAAATGTCGGCGAGCCTGAGTCCCCACGAAGTGAAGGGCTCGCAGGTGATGCAGGAGACCATCTCCGCGGAGAGGACAGTGACGAGTTTCGGTTTGGAGTCGCACTTCTACACGATCTTCAGGCAGCGCTGTACCCCTGAATCAATGTAAGCTTTGCTTCAAATGTTTCACCTGGGTGCTATGCAGAGCCGCTAGGTTGGAGGTCATCTTTGGAAGAGACATTTGCTAGAAATGGTATAGCATATCAGCAGGATATTTATTACGGTTTAGTATTCCACGAGGGCGTTTTCCATACTTTTTCAATCATTATCCTTCAGTATTAAATGCGTAACTCTGTAAAAATTATGCATATGCATCGAATATGAGCTCGCACACCATCCACGTAGTGTTTCCAATCTTCTCTCGCGATATGATGATTGTGTTTAGCCTCTAATATTATCTTGACCTTTACCATTGCATAACCCTTCCAAATATGCCCGAAGGAGTGTCATCACCCAGCCAGGGGCAGGATTGTGCAGTTCGACTATTCAGTCACCAACCACTTTTGTATTTTTACGAAAATTTTGAGTTTTTTTGAAACAAGGACCTTTAGGACACCTTTGTTAAAACTCATCTTTGATACTTCGTGGCTGTGCTAACAGGAACATCTTTCACGAGTCTATGATAATTTAAACTGGTCTACCATCCTTCTTCAGGGTTTCGTGACCTGTTTTTAGGGCTTATTACCATCATTTCGTTGACTTTAGCAAGAAGTGCAAATGAAGGCGTTTTTTTCACCAGCATTGTTGTGCTTTTCCCTAAAACCACGAAGAAAAACGACAAAACCCATCTCCATGAACTTTGAAGTCGAAGAAGGTGCGTTCTGAACGTCATGTGCTGAACCTCATCAAGTCCTCTCACGTGCTGTGCTCTTGCGCTGTATTGCGAATCAGCACCATCTTCAGCCATGAGATTTTAATAAACCCCTAATTTTGGTGTCACATAAGCTTCAAATCTCCACACAAAAAGCACTAGAATTCCATCAAGTAGTGATGTAACTTCAAAGCACTCTTCCATCCAGCCGTAAAGTTTTGTAAGCCTCATTAAAAGTGTTACAGAGGACAATTAAACCTAATTTATATCAATGGCCTAGCCACCAATTTATTTATAATATCACATTCTCAAGCGGCACTCTGCTTTAGATGTCGCCAAATCTGGACTACAATTTGACCATTTATTTCCCTTAAGCTTCAGCCTTTTGATGATTTGACTGCGGTGTGAGATTTAGAGGTGTCATCATTCCCTTTGAAATATCGAGCCATCTTATTCTTGATTGGCCTGTGACGGTGAGTTCGGACGTGAGTTGGGAGACGCCAAAATAGCTTTAGCTTTTCACATTCTCAACAGGTTTTGGCGAACCGGTACTTGAGATTCCCAGAAGCCGACCGTTACCCAATTTCACGCCGACAAATGGGCTTCCCGTTTTCTTTATCAAAAGTGATAAGTCTATCGCATCATCCTTTGGTTACTTTTGGAATGCTGTAGATATTTTCACTCCCTTCACCGCAACTTTCTGATTGTCAGGTGTCACTGCTTGAGCGCTCTCACATACCCAGTCAGGTTACTCCCAAACCGAAATACAGGCAGATCCCATATTTACAACCACTTTTACTACAGCCTATTCTGCAGTTACGTTCTTGCTTTCGCGAGTCACTTCCGGGTTCATTTTTTCATTATTCATGGTTGTAGGTGTAGCCTAAGATGCCCCCTGATTGTCATACTAAGGCGTTAACTTTTCAAAGGTTTAACCAAGTCGTAGGCAAGGTATCTATGAGGAGGTGGCTTGCCCCAAAATGAGTGTGCCTTCCATCTAAGTTACAAGGGCACATGGCAGCCAGCACCATTTACCACCCTACCAGCTAACATGGTTTCTAAGCCTCCTCGGTGGGCTAGTAAACTCGACTTGCAGTAACTGTTTAGTTGTTATCATTTAAACCGGATGAAGAAACACAATTAGTCATTTGGATTGAGTTTTAACTAAGCGCATCAAAGTACGAAGTTAGAGCGCCCCAAGACTTTCCCGAAGACGAAGGAAAACATTATACTCAATCAGAATGTGTATTGTAGCGGTACTAAAGGGTTTGGGGGTCGCTACCACTGCCCGAGAGACAGGCCATCTGGCGGAGCCCTCAAGTGGTCCGTTACCGAAACTGAGAGTTAAACAAACAATTAACATATTACAGAGGCGCCTAATAATTTTCTTTCGTCTTTTCAGTGGGAACTAACTGAAGAAAATTTATTAAATGCCTTAGGTGTTGGAATAATCACCGGTGTAAGCTACACCGCCTTTCCAACAATGCGCAGTCTTTTCGCGAGGTTTTGTCTTCGGCAGTAAAAATCTCAGCAATAACCACCGCTGCTTCTAACTCCGTTTTATATTCCAACAGTTTATTACACTTAGCATATGAGTTTTTGGTGCAAAGAAGAGGTCACATCCACTCAGAGCCTGAATGAATGCTAATGTGGACGAGAATGGAGCAGTATCACATTTCATCTCCCCCATCTTAAAGCATGGTATGAGATGCTTCAGAGGTGGGGTCCTTAATCGGATGGGCATTAAAGTGTTAATTTAAAAATCCTAACTAGTGGATAAGACGGCAATTGATGAAGCTGACCTCAGTTTCACTTAGTTTTACTTTAACAGTAATGGATAATTTTGGCGTAGAACTTACCGTCTCCCATCCACCCCTAACTTCTCTTCACAAATCCTCCTACCTCAAGAGACAAATACAAGGAGGCGTTGATGTTTGCACTGGTCAACGGGATCGCTTCTTCGCTGGCCATCTTCCAGGCTTGTGCCTCCTTCTACGTTGGGGCTGTGCTTCTCTCCCAGGACAAGACTACCGTTCTAGCAGTGTTCCGGTGAGCCCAATCCCATCTCCTGACGATAATTATCTCTTTTGGGAGGCTTAAATAAAACCCTAAACTCTTTTCTTAAATAAATTCTTTATCTTGATCCCGACTGGAGGTAGAATGGAATCACGGCAGAATCTGTAAACGAACCCATTGTGGAAAAGGTATTGTGGGGCCTCATAGAATTGTGCCTTTGTAGGCGATAATGCGGGCGGCTATAATGTTAAGCAGAATAATAATATTACCGATACGTTTTTTAATATCAGATGAGATGATTACCTTAAAATGCATAGAATGAGAGCAACTTCTTACTTTAACTCTAGCCTGCTCAAAACCACGCATTTTAACTGGGTGGATTTAAACAAGGAGAAAGAAAAATAAGCAAATTAGGGATAACTTTTGAAAAAAAACCCCAAAAGTTGCTTAACAAAGCATCTGCTACACGAAACACATCGCTATAATGGGCATTAGCAATGAAAAGTATTGAGTTATTGCTAAAGATATTAAAGACTTGATTCCAATAACATAATGTGGTCAGACACATGCTCAGCTAAACAATAAATTACAACTTCCCTTTAGAACTTATTCCGCCTACAGTTTCGGAAGCCAAGCCTTAGGACGTGTGGCATCACTAGCACCAGAGTTTAGGAAAGCCTCACATAACGTTAAGCTGGTTTTCGCCACACTCGACCGACAGACCAAATCTGACGCCAACGAGGGCGACTTTCCCAAGGAGCCGTTTGATGGACGCGTGGAGTTCCTCAATATCGACTTTCGCTATCCTACCCGACCCAACACACGTATTCTACGGGTTAGTATCCACTTTAAATGGTCTAATTAATCAAGACCACCTGCATGACTTCAACCAAATGACGACTTCTTTCTAAAGCGTTTCAGCCACACTGTCGAGGCGGATCAGTCTGTGGCACTCGTAGGCCAATCGGGATGTGGCAAATCCACTCTCCTTCAGTTGGTTCAACGTTTCTACGACGTGTCCGAACACGGTCCCAACAGCGGAATTTTCATCAATGGACGAGATGTGCGCACTCTTGCGCCCAATTGGATCCGTCAGCAGATCGGCGTCGTCTCGCAAGAGCCCAATCTGTTCGACCTAAGCATTAGGGAGAACATCGCCTACGGAGACAACTCGAGAGAGGTTTCCATGGAGGAGATTATAGCTGCTGCGAAAGAGGCCAATGCTCATTCGTTCATTGAAACTCTGCCTGAGGTGGGTTCTAATGTGGTTGTGTAAACCAGAAAGTTAACTCGTCTGTTTCAACGCAAAATGAACCAACGAAAGTCTACCAAAACAAACGATCCCAAAATTTCGATGGCAATCAGGTGTTATTAGGGAGAGACCGAGGTTTTAGATTCAATAATTTGAATAGTAGCGAAACTTTAGGTGATCTAGAAAAATCCTCCAGCTGCCTATTTTAAGAAAGGGCTGTTGTTTAAAAAAGAGATTATGGCAAGAAAAAAGACGTATACATGTATGATCTAGATGTCGCCTCCTTGGACTTTTCTGAAGGCCAAAGACAAAATAATACTCGGGCAGAATGTATATGTTCGAAATACAGTAGGGCTTGGTGTTACTGGTATGGCTCGGAGGCCAGTTCACCGGGCGAAGGTGTAATGGCGGAGCACCTAAGTTGATCCTTTACCAAAGCCGAGAGTTAGGCAAGCAACCAACGTATTACACACGCATACGTTTTCAGAGATCAAGAATGCTAAAGATCAGAGAATAAAGCACACCATTTTAAGGAAGTGTACAGCATTATCTCGGTGACTGCTTCCAATTTTAGTTACATTTTGAACCGGCGAGTAAGCACCTACTTTCACAAGCTGATACACCAGCGATGCTGGGCTTGAGGTGCAACATTTATTCTAAAACCCGTATGCTACACGTATCAGTAATATTAAATTAAAAGGAATCAAGTTTGATTGGAAATCGGAAACAAAATGAAAGCTCTTAAAAGTTTGATGTATATTTGCAAATTCCAAAGGTATACATAGTATCTGTTGCTAAAATGCTGAAATAATGTCGGAATCATCATAACTAGAACATCTAACTAACCTTTTTCTTTTTCATCTCACTCAGTCTGTTTGTAACATTACTTGGCGTAAGCAACTACCACAAACTGTCACGCATCTGTGACGCGGGGTGGCAGGTGACACAAAGGTGAACCCGTTAAGGCCATCGCTTCACTCCTACTTAAGCATTAGATGATGCACAACAGCCTAATATCATAGCTTCAATTTCAAAGGGTGAAGGATGTTATTTGCAATGTTTAAGGGGTGATTATAAATGCTAAAATGCTAGAGAGGGAACTTATGACCACCAGAACAACCTTTGAATACGCAGAGCTGCGTGCGTGCTCATAGGGGCTAGTTATCCACGTGACATTAGAAAGTGGATAGTCAAGAAATTTACACTTGATATGTCACGTTAACATTTCACATAAGGCCCGAAAATTGAAAGATTACAGATTTCCTATACGGTTTGTTTAAAGGCGCTCAATTTTGTTAATTAGCCAATTGTGTCAGCACATTAACTACGAAAGAGGTGATTACACTGCTTGAGTAGGGTTATAGTGCGGTGGGTGAAAACCAGTTTTACCACAAAAAATTTTCCCCCATGAGCTGATAATGTAGAACTTCATCGGTCTAGCCGGTTGGGTGATTATTCTGGTTAAATAGGGCTACGAGACGTCAGTGGGAGCACGTGGTTCGCAGTTGTCGGGTGGTCAGAAGCAGCGCATCGCCATTGCTCGAGCGCTAATACGGAAACCGAAGCTCCTGCTTCTGGATGAGGCAACCTCGGCATTGGACAACGAGTCGGAGCGCATTGTGCAGGCGGCGCTGGATGAGGCGATGGCGAAGGGTGGACGAACGAGTCTGGTAGTGGCACATCGTCTCACCACGGTGGAGAACTGCGACGTTATTGTGGTGTTACAGGAGGGCCAACGGGTTGAATACGGTCGACCGGCTGCACTGATGCAGGCCCGCGGAGTTTTCTACACCCTACACAATGTGGATGCAGCAGTAAATTAAAGAGGGACTAAATGGAGTCATCTTCCGCTTCTTCATCACCTTATTCCTTTCCTTCTTCCTACTTGCACGAATCACTTGCGTTGTGTGCTTTCAATTATTAACATTCCAAACAATATCTCTGTTAGTTAAAAAAATGTTTTCAGCCAATGGAGCATAGGCATGGGCTATAATTTTCACTGCGTATTCAGTTTTCCATTGTCAAAACGTAATGGAGAAGTGTGTCGTGAAGCCAAGGTTATTATGTTTGCCAAGATTGGGTTTTTTACTTGACTACCTGTAGGATGAAAAGCATTTGTGGAAATTTCTTAAGTGATCCTAATATCCACAAAAAACTGGGGGAAATTCTGTAGACAATTTGTAAAAGGTTCTAAGTATATATGACAGTAGGCGTCTAGTTTTGGGGCATTTACTGTTATCACAGGGTAAGGACCAGAAAATGGAGAACGGAGAGTTTTGAGTAATGTCAAAATATAATTGGCCCAGGCATCTGTGCAAAACTAAAATACTTCAGGTAACATGGTTTAAATACTTTTGGTTACTTTGTTATTATTGAAAATCTAATTGCTTTTCTAAAACAGTAAACTAAAGATGTAGGTCTATAACTTCTGGAAGGAATATTATTTTACATGATACTAAAAGCATTACACGGAAAATTAGCAAATCAGACATGTGATGCTTTGGCGGTTTGTTTATTTTTGAGTTTCATTACACGGGTATATAAGTTTTCTCAGACTGTTCAAACGCTCGGTGGTAGGACCTCGGTGTCGTGCCAGAAGATCCTCATTCCTTCTGTCCGTCAGTAACATACTTTTTGACCACACTACTGTAATGCATTGATTGCTTGTTTAACTCTTAGTTTCGGCAGCAGACCACTGAGGGGCTCCACCGTTATACCACTACCGATCGTGATGGGCTCCAGACCATGTCAGTAGCCACCAAGCCCCTAGGCTCATTTTTTCCTCTTGGAAGGCCCGGGGAGCTACAATACCCCTTGATTGCATCAAAATAGATATACCTAGCAGAAGTCCTGAGTTATACTACCGAACAATCTAGTCTGAATGTATTAACTTCAAATTCGTAACAGCTTTTAGCCGGCGTGCATATGAAGGGGTTTGACTAGTGCAAAAGATTTGATATAAGCAATTGCAAAAAGGGCCGATTTTAGCTAGTCTCGAAAGACGCTACAAATATTCATGGTCTGAATAAAATTAGCATTTCCAGCAGGAGCACAGGTGTTACGGCCGCAAAGGAAAAATACGTTCATTTTTTGTGTTCTACAACCTACGCGGTGCCCAATAACTTTCTCTGAATCCAAAATTAATGACACATAGTATTTTGTAATTTGCATGTAGTGTTCTAGAGGTAAGTCACCATACAAAAGGAAGTAAGACGGTAAAAAAGGCCATAAAATTAAAACACTGAGCGAAAGCAAAATCTTTTACATAGAAGTAATTCATTTTTAGTCTTGCTATAAACAGCCTCTAATAGTTTAAATTCACAAGGACTATATAGCCGAAGAATAAGCGGAATTTCGATAGTTCAGAAATGGGTAGAAAACATCTATCACACAAGAAGGGAGAAGAGAGCGAAAAAACGGAGGTAAATGACAGCCTGATATTTATTCAATTATGGGAACTAGGGCCATAAAGATTGAATATTTTCATGCACTCACATTATTTATAGTTACTTAATTTACTACCGTTTAAGCTAAATCAAATTAATATTTAACACGCAGGTAGTTTAAGAATAGGAAGAAGATACAGTCAGCCTAAATTTATTTTATCATGTGCAACGCATTAGCTACAATGTAATGTAAAACAGCCTTAAATTCATGCAACCGGGGTATGCAAGACTTACTTTTTCAGGTTAGATTTTCACAAAAATAAGACTACGCCTGAATATAAAGTATAAAAATAGCTTGTTGAGGTAGAAACTAGTAATTATTTGCTAACCAGTGCAAAAATTTTGCCTAATTATTATAAATTTTATGATAAAAATATTACACATCGTTGCTTTGCACTCTGAGGTTAATAATATGTTTTTTTTAGGATAAAAGCGAACAAAATGATGACAACGAGTTAATGTAGGAAGGCACTTTTTTTTGATATTTTTTCTAGATTTGATGAATCGGAACACGTTTCATTCTTCCAATTGGTAAATTCAATTACAATGCAGAGTATGATAATTAATTTAGTTCCGGTACTCTGATATCAAAGACAAAATAATGCTTGTTGTTGGCTTTATTTTTGCTTTGGCTGTCGGCTGCTCATTTCCAGTGAATCTTGTCATTTTTTCAAGAGTTATAAATTTGCTAACCGCCCCAGGAGATGTGGATCTTAATGGAATGCGTGAAATGGTTGGATGGTTTTGCCTGCTAGGTGCTGTCACAATGATTGTGGCATTCGTGGAAATGTTTAACTTTAGTTTCTCAGCTAGACGACAGAGTCGTCGAATCCGTCTCAAACTCTTTAAGGTACCTACTTGAAATTCACTTAATGGGTTCATTTGTTGATTATGTTCCTTCTTCTTTTTGCTTATTGCTTTCTTTATTTTTCAAGCAAATACTTAGACAAGACGTTCCATGGTTTGATCAACAGTCATTAGGTGATCTTATCACGAAATTGACTGCGAATATCGACCACATCGAGACCGGTATCGGCGAGCGTTTGGGAAGATTTGTTCAAAACGCGGCTATGTTCATTTCTTGCTATGTATGCGCCTTTTTGAACAACTGGAAGATTGCTCTGGTTGGACTGAGTGCAGCACCACTTATTGTACTCGCTTTTTCTGTCATGGGCCTTACAATGAGCAACTTTGCTATAAAAGAACAGAAAGCTTATTCAAAGGCAAATAATGTTGCCAGTGAGGTTTTCAACTCCATCAAGACGGTATTTGCTTTCATTGGGCAAGAGAAGGAGAAGCAGCGGTACTCCTCCCAACTCGGTGCCGCTGCAAAGGTCTCCTTCTTGAAGAATGTTATGCTTGGTTTCGGTGAGCTAATTATCCCATACTCATTTGGTGCATCGCACACCTGAGTACTCTTACCTGCTGACCTATGTTCATTAATAAAATATTGTTTTGTAAGAGTACAGTTTGCTAGAATTCTTTAGTTATAAGTTTTACACCCTTTTCTAGGTATCGGGCTGATTGGTGGTTCCATATTTGCATCTGCAGGATTGACTTTTTGGTTTGGTGTAAAAGAAGGCATTGAAAATGGTGTCGAAAGTGGAACCATCGTTTCTGTAGGTTTGAATATTTAAAAAATAAAAAAGACTTGATTGAATTCTTTCTCACTCCATTGCAAATTAGATAGGATACACTGCTGTTTTTATTTTTGTTGAACCAATTCCAAAACAAGATTGAAAGTTCTAGGATTACCAGAAGTTACTACGTTCAATGATTGAGCAAATACAAATTCTGCATGCATTACTCAAATGCATATCCTTGACATTGATCATACGTTAAGATTATAATATCTTTTTCCATTGTCAAATGGTTAGGTCGTCCTTGCCTTTATCGTTGGCAGCATTGCGTTGGGTCTGGTGCTGCCCGAATTCTCCTACTTTACTAGGGCCACGGCTGCAGCTTCGAACACATACTGGATCATAGAACGTGTAAAGCTCTTCTTTGTGACTTTCACAGATGGATAATAATTCTCCCCACTGAATTTGACGAAAAACAGTTACTCAATATTTGCTCCGTTCGCACTTCCAGATTCCCGAAATTGACAAGGAGGAATCAGGCACGAAGCTCGATATCATACATGGAGACATTGAATTCCGTAATGTCTCCTTCTCCTATCCTATGCGACCAGATGTTGTGGTGAGTGTATCTGGAGGATTCTTATGACCATATACTTACCATATTTTGTTTCTCGATTAGCCCGCTATACTTTCAGAGCAACTTTTGCATCGACAGTGAGGCATTAGACAACTACATATGGGATATGTAGGGTGTCGACCGTCCTCTGTATTTAAATCATTTGAAGGACAAGGCTGATTGTCACAAATGCATTTTCCGGGCTCATTCCCACCGTCTATCTCATATTCACATTCAACAACCCATAGTACCTGCAATCAGCTAATAGTGGGCTTCGGAATAGGAAAAAATGGCTTGTTGAAGGCCTTTCCATTATGTTAACCGGCTTACAAACCAATGCAATCGCTAAAAGTCACCTTTGCTTCACCATATTCGAGTTTTACAGTGGTTTTGCACCATATTTAACACTTGGAGATTAGAAGAACTCATAATTATAGCTAAGAAAAGTGAAGGATTATGGGAGAAAAGTGGCGAACCAAAAATTTAATGCACGAGCAGGCGGTAGAGATGACACATGTACCACTTGTTAGTATCAGAGTGGAGATTCAAAAGAGGACACTTGAAAAAAGCCAGATAAGAGGAACACCTAATATCTTATCTATTTTTTGCCAATGCTGAGCAGCTTTTCAATTTTACAAGTACTCTTGTTGCCAACCTACATCGAACTCGTATTAAATGACCGGTTCTTTGGCATACGACATTATCTTCTGAGGTAAATTAAACGCATAGCATTAAGTAATAACTTGAAGGCTAGTTTAGGGGGAAGGGCTTTCTTTCAAATATTTTTAATCTAATGTCAAACAATTGTCGATTATACATTAGATCTTACTGATGTCACCAGGTAACATTCAACGGCGGTATCTATATGCACTTCACAGTTCCCAAGAAATTTGCCATGCTGTCTGGACCTGGTATACAAGGATGACGGCATATTAATTGGCTATGAAAATGAGTTCTTTTATAGTATTACTTTAATAAACAAGTACCCCTCCTTGTAGACCCTAAAAAACTTCTCAATGAAAATTGGTGCAGGCCAGACCATCGCCATTGTGGGCCCAAGTGGGTCGGGGAAGAGTACTGTCATCCAGTTACTTCAACGTTTCTACGATCCCAGTGAAGGTCAGGTAAGATTTACGCCTATTTTTCTCTGCCCCTGTTTGGGTTGACTTAAATTTTCATTAGTATTTAGAAAGCCCATTTCCAGAGTTAGCACCTCCTAGAAAACTGAATCATTTGTCTTAAAAATATATAATCAAATGAAATATTCGAGCCTCTTCACAAGTACTTTTAGCTTTCTTACAAAGTTTAAAATTGCAAAGATCGGTACATGAAGGCAAATCCAATAGCATCCAACGTAGTCTCTCATTCCTAGGTACTGATTGATGGCCACGACATTCGAGGGTTTGATCTCAAGTGGATGAGACTTCAGTTTGGAGTGGTTTCACAGGAGCCAGTGCTTTTTGCCGCCACAGTCAAGGAAAACATTGAATTGGGACGCGAGGGTGCCACCTTTGAGGAGATCGAAACCGCCGCGAAGCTTGCAGATGCGCACGACTTCATAATTAAGATGCAAGAAGTAAGTCTGCATCAGGATGCCTTGACCACCTGAATTGTGTCCATGCTTCAGGGGAGAAGCCTATTTTAAATAGACTGTCAAAAGGCGAAATTTTTGATCAAGGCTGATGCTTTTGGTAAATGCAAGTCAACTTTCGGTTCTCAAAATTCGTAATGCACAAGAAAGTGTCGATTAGTACTGAGCGATTACCTCGAGTCTTGAATTTCCTAGATAGTCCTGCCCTTAAATCCGTAAATTCTGAGCCATTAACTTTACAATCTGAGAGGAACCGAAATGAATAGGTAAGATTAATCCTACTACCAGTGTCATTGTGATAATCTAGGAATACGAAACGATGATCGGTGAAGGCGGTGGTGGCATGTCAGGCGGACAGAAGCAGCGTTTGGCTATTGCCCGAGCTCTGTTACGAAACCCGCGGATTTTGCTGCTGGATGAGGCGACGTCGGCGCTGGATACCCACTCCGAGAGGGCGGTACAGGATGCGTTGGACAGGGCCGGTGTCGGACGGACTGTCATCATGGTGGCGCATCGTCTCACCACTGTGCGCAACGCTGACCGTATTCTTGTAGTAGACAGAGGTGTGGTGAAAGAGTCGGGTACTCACGATGAACTTGTCGCTCTTAACGGTATCTACGCTCACATGCTCTCAACTCAGGTTGGTAACACGTCAGATTGTGCGTTATGGTTATGGGTTATGATATCATGTCGACTCAACTCATTATGATCCTCTCAAATTTGACTCGTCTTTGTCCTGTCCTATCTCAGGCTGTACCTACTGCCTAATCTCTACGATCAGACGGAACAATAGAGTTGATTAATGAGACGTGGTAATAAACAACTTCACTTTTGTAGATAATCCCAAAGTAAGAAAACTTGCCGTTCTCCAAAACATCCTATTTCAAATCCTGTATTTGTATTTAAAGGAAAAATTTGCCACATAAACCTCTACACATTCTTTCAGTCAAAATGACTGCAAACTGGCTAAAAAAATAGTGGTACACCTTTAAAAACTCCCACTTTTTACTTCGTGAGACAATTGAAAAAGCTCAATGAAGTGGTGTTGCCATTTGCTATTCATCTGGTTTCATATCCTCAAAATGAGATTTTTCTTTGACTTGTCTTAATCAGGAGAAAAAGAAGGAGACCGAAGACTCAGAAAGTGAGCCAGAGCAGGGAGTGGAGAGAGAGCAATCCCCAAAACAAAAAGGCGTATGGAAACGCACTACACGAGATCCCGAGACTGAAAGCTCCGTGTCTAGTAGTAACGCTAGCTCTATGTCCCTTGTCATGTTCGCAAAGGTGAGTTTTCTTTGTTTTAAAATCCTCTAAAAGCCTTTTACTTTGAGGCAGTTTAATACTATTGGTGCCTGGAAAGGGAATAACTAATCGGCCTAGATAAATTTCACAAGCACCTGTATGAAGTAGATATCACGAAAGACCATCCAAATTTCTGGCGTAAATTAGTGAATGATGTCATTTGCCATCTTTACGTCTTCGTTACAGAAAAATGCTCTTGGAAGAGCATTTATGTTGAACAAACCAGAGTTCCCTTTATTCTTCCTCGGCTTGTTCATTTCACTCATCTCCGGTGTTATTCAACCTATATACGCAATTCTATACTCAGAAATGTTCAAGGTAGGTTTGCATTTTAGAGCCACAAAAGAGAATAACAATCTAATATTCGATTTGGATTGCTCACATTTGTTAAATAAGCCATATCTGAAAACGTTGTAGATATTTACGCTTCCAAATGACCAAAAAATGAGCAGAACCGTGTTCATTGCTAGCATGATGGCAGTATTGGGTCTCATACGTCTTGTCACACAACTTGGATCAGTACGTCAGTCAAAGATGTCACTTATGCCATTCTATTGCCCTATGAGTACATGCACTTCCCCGTCTGTTTAGAACGCTGCACTGGGCTGGGCTGGCGCCAAACTCACACAAAGAACCCGAAGTCTCCTCTTCAACGCCATAATTAAGCAAGTTAGTTGAAATAAAAACATGATTTATTCGATTAATATTTCTATCTATACATCATTAAACATATGGGCATAGAATTAACTTTACTATCCGCTCATGGAAGCAAAAAAGCGAGCTGTTGATCTGCAGGCCGAACCAAAAGGGTCAGTAAGAATCTTTGTAGCATAGTCTAGTAAGACAGAAGCATTCTCTCTTGACGCTTAGACTGTGATGGTGGTAGTAAAGCACCCTTCCTTCCCTCATTCCTTCCTTCCAGGAACCGGGATGGTTTGATGAGGTCGCTAATCAGCCGGGCGTGTTGACAGCTCGACTTGCCACAGAAGTGTCAAGTCTGGAGACCGTAACAGGTGCCCAACTGGGCACTGTTATGGAATCCCTCTGCCTGATTATTGCCTCTACTGTGATCACTTTCATGTACAGTTGGCAGCTTACTCTTGTCAATATCTGCTTCTTGCCCATTGTCGTTGCAAGCAGCGCGCTTCAGGTAAAGTTAAAAGTAGTCCCTGCTTCACATTATTTGTTCCGATTCTCCACATATCTGGTCTGAAGGTAAAACGAGTTCCGAGAAAAAGTCATAATAAATATCAGTCACTTTGCTGAAACCTGTCTTTAAAAGTGCTGCTCCTCCACCAACGCTTTTAAGTAATTTTAACATCGCATTTTTTACGTTTTCGATCACTGTACAGCATAGACATTAAAGTTGTGATGTTTCTGAATCCTCTGCTAAATATTGTTTTTAAGCATCTTGGTTCAGCGTTTGATGGATGGATTGGGTGAACATTTATAGCATTTGATCACAAAAAGCTACATTAATTTTCGACCCAAAAAGTTATTTGGGACAGAAATCTTAAACAGAGTATTAAGGAGGTGTTGACAGAACTGATGGGCAATTGTGCATCTTATTAGTTAGATTTTTTTGCTATTTTGATAAACCGTAGCATTTATTGCTGCTCCACTCTAACAGATGAAGAATCTGCGCTCCGTAATGAGCATTCGTGAGGTTGCTGGTTCTCAGGTGGTGCAAGAGGCGCTTTCAGCAGAGAAAACTGTCTTTGCTTTCGGTTTAGAAAACCACTTCTATAACAAATTCGTTGCAAAGTCCGATTCTGGCAGCAAGTAAGTTGATGAGTTTTGGGATGAAGTGAAAGATGCAGTTATGGTAAAAAACTGTGCTTGCTTATGTTTGCGGTTCAACTGCCTAGGGAACGAGTGATGGATGCTGTTCTTAACGGCTTGGTGCACGCCGCTGCGAACGGTTTGAGCTACTTTCAGACAGCGGCATCTTTCTACGTTGGTTCTGTGTTGATGAATAATGGCACCCTTGATGTGCTTGCCGTTTTCCGGTATGCTTTGTCCAGTCTATTTGGAAGAGAAAGATGGTCATAAAGGTCTGCAACATAAACTTATCTTTCCCTTTCTTGGTACTTTTCTTTCATCCCAGTACGTTCTCGGCGTTCAACTTCGGTGCCCAGGGTATTACAAGAGTGGCCGCTTTGACGCCCGATTTTAAGAAGGCCGGCGATAAAATTGCCTCAGTCTTCCAGACCCTAGATCGAGAAACGAAACTCGATGCGACCGAGGGTGACTACCCGACCGAGCCTCTAAGCGGTTCCATTGTCTTCAAAAATGTATACTTTCGTTATCCAACTCGCAAACACGTCAGAGTTCTACGAGTAAGACCTCACCGCCATTTATCACATAACATTTTATCAGAGGGGTTTTGGAAAGTGTGCCAATCTTTCTGCCCTGGTGCCAATTTAACTAAATTAGCGAAGGAACACTTAATTTTGGCTCTTTGCAATCCTCTCCCTTTTTGCGTTTAAGAATTTGAAATGAAGGAGAAAACTTTAAAGTCCTCTAGATTTGCTGGAGCCGAAAAGGTGGTGAGCAATGCGCGAGGCCGTTTGGTTCGATGCGAGAAAAGCATGGCAGACATTAACCATTGTGAAGGTCTCCTTGGCTGTGCCATGATTTGGGATGGACCTGTGACTACTTGGCAGTCTGCAATAAAGTCGGACAATCGGTCTGACATCAAGCAGTGTTATGCCGTAAAATAAGAAAGCACTAGGCTCAACTGTAGGATATCCTCACCAGATAGTGAGCATTACTTCATGCTGAAAAGAGTGGAATAGTTATTAATGCCGTTTTCTTCAATTATTTTAAGGCTTAAAATATGTCGGGAATTCAAGTTAACTTTGAGTACCGTTTTAAGCTTAACTACTTAATTTCGTCACCATGATATGAAGGGCAAGAGCAGCCAAGGCTCTTAGCATCCACGTAATGACTTAAGTGCTAGTCACTAGTATGCAAAAAGGCTAATAATTCGTCTTAACATTTGTGAGCATAAGAATCTTTGATAGTCCTTTAATAAAGAATTTGCAGGTGTAAAATCAGGAATAGCAGAAAAGTGATGTGTTGAAACTACCAGAAATATTTGACTAGCGCTAAAGTCTGAGGACAAGAGATAAGTCAATTTCAGCATGCGGACTGATTCACTTTGATAGCTGAAAAGGCTCCTAGAAGCGGGCTAAAAATAAAGTCTCAGAGAAAGTGCGCTTAAAAACAATTTGTGTTCCTTTTTTAGAAATTTAATTATACCGTACAAGCTGGCAATTCTGTAGCCCTCGTGGGCGCCTCTGGCTGTGGAAAGTCGACAATTCTACAATTGGTCCAACGATTATACGACGTCAGTCCTCACGGGCCGGGCAGTGGAATCTTCATTGACGGTCACGATATCCGTACACTCGCGCCCAATTGGATCCGTCAGCAGATCGGTATTGTCTCTCAGGAGCCAAACCTCTTTGACTTAAGTATTCGAGAGAACATTGCCTATGGTGACAATTCAAGGGAGGTATCTATGGAGGAAATCATTGAGGCTGCAAAGGAAGCAAATGTCCATGAATTTGTTGAGGGCCTACCAGAGGTGGGTTTTCAAAAACTAACTCTTAATGAGCTCTTTATTTGATCTTACAGTTGTCAACTACGTACGGATAAACCACCGCACTAACTTGTTCTTGTAAGGAATTTTTGTTGCCAAAACCTCGTCATGTTTATTGAAAGATTAAGTGGTTGATTTTCCTTTACATCGGCCTTAATGCAGTTCGGTTAACTACATGACAGGAGTGCGCAATGCAAAATGCGCCTTGAAAAGTGTGGATCTAATCAAAAGTAAATTGATAGCCATCTTAATTTTGTTGAAAGACCAAATAAGACAGGGGAGTTGAAAGGTAGTTCCACTAAGACTGTAGCTGGCATGTTATCCTGGTCTTAAAATGCAAAAAGACACCTTAATCATGCGGTTGACATTTTTATGCAGGGCTATGAGACGTCAGTGGGAGCACGTGGTTCGCAGTTGTCGGGTGGTCAGAAGCAGCGCATCGCCATTGCTCGAGCGCTGATACGGAAACCGAAGCTCCTGCTTCTGGATGAGGCAACCTCGGCATTGGACAACGAGTCGGAGCGCATTGTGCAGGCGGCGCTGGATGAGGCGATGGCGAAGGGTGGACGAACGAGTCTGGTAGTTGCACATCGTCTCACCACGGTGGAGAACTGCGACGTTATTGTGGTGTTGCAGGAGGGCCAGGAATGCGAGATTGGCTCGCCTGAGGGTCTGATGGCCGCTAAGGGCATCTACTACCAGCTGCATAATGTGGACGCCGCTGTGAAGCCGCACTAACCGTGCGAGGTCCCACAGGCGCCTACATTTTAACTACCGCGGTGATTTTGATGAATGGCATTATAAAACAGTTTTTATGAGTGATCCAGCATATTATTTTAAGGTGTGCATAATCTTTTTTGCCTTCTGTATTACAAAACAAATGCTTGTTTTACATTCCCCTCCGCCTTCGTCTTGTGAAATGCATTCCGAGTGGTTCGAGCCGATTAGCTTGACATGCGCCAGGAGTGGGGAGCACTGACGCACTGAATATAAAGTCATTCAGTCCTACTGCCAGTTAGCAGATCGTATGAAAGTCTTATTTCGTAAACCGTAAAGCTAAAATATTCGTGAACCACTTGCATACTACCTGACTTCGGATTAATTTCAATTTAATTAATTAATTTCACTTTACCAAAGTGTCTATCATATGTATTATACCTGATTAATGGGAGATATTTTTTAGTCTTGACGATTATAAGAGATTAGCATAAAATATACTGTATAGATTTGGCCACTTAAAAGCCCGATTTATGGTTCAAGTATTTGAATGGTTAACCTGCTGAAACAAAAATATGAATGCTGGAGTGATTTTTGAATTACATTTGATGTGGGCACTGAGAGTTTGAATTATGAGCATACCTGTGCAGAATGTGCGAAAATAGTACTGATGAAGAGTTGGCAGGGGTGATGGAGGATGCGAAATTGAAACGAAATCGCAAAAAGCTGCTAACAACTCCGAGAAATTCTTGGAAATTCTTTTAGAAGTACTGCGATTATTAAATGAGCTGTGCTTTTTGTTTCAGTTCCTTAAAATCCTCAAATGGACGGAGTTATGGGAGCTACTTTACTTCGCTGCCTTTGAGCAGAAGTAGGGCAAATTGGCAGCACTATTAGCACACGGGTCTGCATTGACGAAACCACGCATAAAACATCAAAAGTAACTAAAGGAGGGATTGAATAGGGCTGATTCAAGTGACAGGTGCCTGTGTTAATACTTCTTTCAGTCAATCGTAGTGTGCGTATGACACCTATTTGACAGACAGGATAGACACAACAAGTAGCTAATAACATATGAGAGAAACAATCGGAATATCTGCAAAGTTGCCTACGTTTAGGTAGTGAATAACAATTCTTTGTAACTTTCGAGCCAAAAACCACAAGTAAAATGTATGCAAACGCTTCTGAAAGTGTCGCTGTGAAAATAAACACCCAACATCCAATTATATAACCGATTGTTTGCGAGAAAACCCATTACTTAATATGGTGTAATCCACCATAATCTCCCCTGAAGACGAGTGAAGCCATAATACTGGGGCAAAAAATGTACTGCTGACTGTGACTACCGACAGCCCGAAGCCTAGGCTGCCCGTGGGCGGTAGAATGGTGGAGCCCTTAAGTGGCCCCACTACCTCAACCAAGAATTAAAAAAACAGTTGAATTATTTGGTAGCCCCTTCTCCACTTGTGACTATCGCCCCTGGAGGTCCCCTTGATCATCCTCCCGTGTCGGCCATTACAACGTAATCATTGCTGTCAGACACTCAAGACCCAGCCACTTCAATCATCGAATTTACATGCGGCTGAAAAGGTACTTGACCGCAATATCACCGATTCCTCCAAGCAATCCTTCTGGATCTAGAGTTACGTCTTGTATAGGAAAAGGGTTCGGGGACGGAGGAATGTGCAGACTATCATGCGTGTCCATTGCTAGTCCTAGGAACACCGGTTTCAGTGCTGTCCAGCCATGCCTATCTGGATTCTACCCAGCTGGTAGAAAAGAGGAGGAGGTAATGCGTTTTCACATATTTTATGTTTGCACACGGTTTAAGGATAATGTCGCTTTACTTGTAAATAGCATTCATGTAGTCCACGGGACTAGGATAGTTGCCGAAGGTAGACATCATTTTCAGCCCATCTGTTAGGGATCATCACCCAGTCTCCCATCCGCAGCATATGCATTCCTTCCACCTCACTGAATGCTTATCATATAGCAACAGAAATTAGGATAGATGTCCTTTAAACTCGAGTTCGCTTTCAAAGATGAAAGGAGACATAATGCCAGGGCTTAAAATGCCTTATCAACGTACAGTAGGGCTTGGAGTTACTGGCGTGTTTCAGAGGCTGGCCCACTCCGAGAAGGTACAGCGGTAAAAGTAAAATCCTTTACCGAAACGGAGAGTTATGCAAATAAACAACCTACTACAATAGCATAACAGGCAGCAACGCAATTTTTAGGCTGGCTTAGTAGCTCCTCTGAATAAATTCGTAAAAGTGTGCTCCTTCGAGATTTGATTTCCCTCGTGGTAACTGACTATTTCATATGGAAAGTGGTTGCTTCATTTAGAATACGTCTAATAGAGTTGTTTATTTACTCCAACAGGGACTGGTGTTATTTACGCTATGACCGAGTTACTTTTAAGGAAAGCTCGAAAACGTGGGGTATTTTCAGCTGTCTTTGTGGCCTGCACATAGTCAACTTATTTCCAGGGGTACCAGGCGTAACGCTCCTTTTATTCAGACGGTTTGAGGTCCACTCGCTAGATCCTTCATTCATGCGTTTTTTAAATCAGCTGCAAAAGAGGGGCACAAAATATTTTCCATAATGCCTAGATTTTAAAGTGTTCAGAAAGAAAAGCGATGATCTAATTTTGCAAGATGCAATAACTAGCATCAGCCATCAACGATTGGCGGCTGAGTTAGGCTTATCAATTTAATTTCATATGCTCAACAATTCGTATGATAGACACTAATAAAAAGGGCATTGGGGAAGTTATTGTAGATTTTGAAAATTCTGTACTTTTGTGCTAAAGTGTTGAAAGGTGGGACATCATGACGGCAGTATCCATACATGCACTTATTGGGTCACTTTGACTGGCTCTCTCCCTCTCGAACTAGTCGGAAGCACATTAGTCGAGCACATGGCCGAAGTAACATTGTGATACATGCTCGCCTGACCACACCCTTTATGCAACAAACCACCAAACTTGGACAACAGCATCAATCTCGGATCGTCATCAAACTTCTACTACCTGCAAACCTTATACTCTGTTCTCAACAAAGCAGCCTACTCAAGCAAAATGTTTGAGACCGGACATAGATAGAGTAAAAGCAAAGGTTTTGCACTGTGGCTCTACTTTTAAGCTCCCCTCATTATTGAAGTGAGATAAAGATGAGATAATATGGGGCTATAGCAGCATGAGACCGGGGACTGAAAATAAAATTTATTTAAATTCTCATGGATTTTGCCACCATTCACTGTAATCAAATTTCTTTTATCAAAAGAGAAATAGTTTTAATCATGGTATCGTAAAGGCGGGCATCTGCAAAAATGTACAAAGACGAGATTTTTCCCTTACCAGCTGACCTACCATTCTAAAAGTTGGCACTTCACTTCTAGCACACCATTAAAAAGTCAGATGTGACGATTTCAAAGTTCTCATTTTCAGCCAACTCGCCTGTAGCCGAGGTTCGGTGTTGCACCACCAGTTGAGGCATCTAGAATCTTCTGCTGGTGGATACTGGTGCAGTAAATTATTTTTGTCTGTGTAAAACCTAAGAGTCAGCGCTCTTTGTGAAAGGCAAAGTGGAGAAGAAGTAAGCTAGAAATTCACTCTTTACATCTATTGCTCCATTGTTTTCCTTTCTAAGTCTTGAAGTACGTTGAAGAGTATACGCGAAGTACTTTTACTCCCCAAATTTAATTGTGCCTTTTATAAGCTTATCCACAATCCACCAAGATGCATTGGCAGGATTGAACTTTAACCAGAAGCTGGAACTCTCCGCCATATGACCCATAGAAAGTTATCTAACAATGCAAGGTCACACTTTGTCTGCTAAGCCGCAGTCTTGATTGCTGTCAGTGGAGCATGAACGGATGATGTACCGTAAATTTTAAATGCACAAGTACATGTAACCCATCAAAGGTAGTTAGTTCTAGCTTTTTAAAAAAAGATTTGGGAGGTATTTTTTAGGGTAAAAGTGGACTAATTAACCACTAGCTTTGGCTATAAAATTACTTCGACAAAATAAATAAAAATAATGATAGCAACGAAAACTCATCAAATCATGCCACAAAATACTTAAATCGAAATATTTCTTAAAGAAGTTTTTGTGTCCTGGATTGGTGATACTCAACTCAGATGTAGACGTAACAGAATTACGTATTAAGGACTAATTCTTAGAGTGGCTCACGCCACTCGACTGCACATTGACTCGGTTGAGGCAACTGATATTCAGAGTATCACGAGGGTGGAAAGGCTGGAGTCATTGCTTGCGAGCGTAGATGTTCTTTGGCCTTGGAATGGAAAATTTGGATTTTGGAGTAAGTATCGAATGCCCGCCCTTTGAATGATAGCACATATTTGGTCTAAATAAAAAGCGTTCGTCTTATTTGCACCAGCCTTGGATATCGGAGAGCAGAAAAGGTCATGCACATCACGGTGTAGACGGCTACGATGGTTTGCCGTTGCCTGTTGAGACGTGCAAACTCCGTGCAACCGTTTGGATGGATGAATTACCAAGCACAGGAAGACGTGTCAGTTTATCGGTGCGGTTTATTGTGCTCGGCACTGTATTTCTCTGAATGCAGGACTGTCTGCCATTCGACTAGGCTTTAAGTCGATTACAAGGATGTCGCAGCCTCTCCTCGAGGTTTTATGCATGGCCCCTGGAGAAAGTAAAAAAACGCACCCTTAAGAAATGGCTTAGAAGCTCATATATTTGACTGATGCCTTTCGTACAAGAACACTCCTAGGAAAGCAAGAGAAGGCAACACTGTCCCATGCCAATCTCCCTTACCCTCCAACAATATTCCTCCAAGTATTCGTTACTACACTTTCTAGGCATTGAACACTTATATGCTACGTAAAATATATGGCTCAGACGTAATGATGTGACAGAAACAACGATGGCTGCACCAAGGTTTGCTGTTTTCCGAGAGAAAAATTTTAGTAAAAGTGAAATTAGCAAGGTTGAATCTCGAAGAGAAAAGATGATAGACAGTAATGGAGATTAATGAAT